TTATTATTATTATTATTCTTATTCTTATTCTTATTATTATTCTAATAATTATTATTATTCTAATAATTATTATTATTATTCTTATTATTATTCTAATAATTATTCTTCTTATTATTATTCTTATTATTCTTATTATTCTGATTATTATTATTCTTCAGGTGAATCGATTTCTTCAACTTTAACTTCTTAAACTTCAACTTTTAAATTCTCTTGAGTTACAATTTATTATTTTTCATCATGTTTATCTTAATTTTCCTTTGGTTTTTCATCTTATCTCACTTATTCATGATGTTCAGCTTGATGTTTATGGATATCATCATGTGAACCCTTTCTGCCAGGTTCTTGATGTTCCAAACCTTCATGAGCTTTCCAATATTTATTAACAGTTTAATCAGTGAGAATCTCGCTTGCTTATGGAGATGTCTTTAAGTTTTATTCTTGGAATTAAATAATTTATTCAACTAAAATAATGAATATTTGATTACCAACTTTAGGACTAGTTTCTGGACTATTTATAACTTTCTCTATTTCTTCAATTTCTATTAACATTTCAGGCTTTTTAGAGTTTACTTCTGAGATTTATTCTAATTCATCTTCTTCTTTTTAAGAGCTTATAAGATTTTCATCAACATCATCAGTATTTTATTATTCATGTGTTTCTTCTTCAACTTCAACAGTAGGTTATTAATCTTATTATTAAATTTATGTTTATTATTGAGAATATTTATTTTTTGGAAAGTTCTAGAGATAAAATGAATTATAATACTTTAAACATTTCATTCATGTTATCATCATTTGTATCAATTGGTATTTTAGGTTTTGGATTGATTCCAAGCATAAATTGATTTTCAATAGTCTTAACAGGATCAAGTACTTATTCAACATATTGATTCCATTATTGATTGTTTTCAATTTTATTAATGAAATAATAAGCAAGTTTACTCAAAATTCCAACATAACCTCTTTTAATTTTTGCATTCAAAGCTCCAATATTTTCTTTTTCATATCTATTGTACTTCATAATAAAAGATAAAAGATCTAGAGATAAGAACTCCTCTTATATGACTTCAAATTAAGGTCTATCAAAAATGAAGATTGTAATTTCATAAAAGTAATTTTGTAATTGATTGTTAAATTCGTATTGAATAACAAACTTCATAAGTGATTCATAGATTCCTTTATGATCAAATTGATTAATAAACTCAACATTATTAATTCTCAAGATAGATAGATATAATTGTATCAATTTCAATTTCATTTAGCTAAAGGGCTGTTATGAAATTCCATAGGTAGTGTTAAAAGCACCTTGAATAAGTAAATAAAATTACTGATGGATATCTTTTCAGCTAACAAGGCATTTTTGAATTCTTAGGCTATAGGATAGAATTAGTTATAGCTAAATTGATAAGATGGATTCTTCTCCTCTTATTATTATACATATCTATGAATGGCTTCAATTAGTGTGATTAAAACTTAAACTACAGTTGCTGAACTTGAATTTAACTAAGATTAAATTAAATATGTTTTACAGCAATAGCAAAGAGTTTTTCAGGGATATTAAGGACTGATAGAAATTATTCTGTCTTATTTAGAATTTCAATGAGTATATGACTAGAATTATCAGTAATGTCAATTTGATGAGTTTTATATTCAAAGACTCTAATTACTCTACGTAAGAGATCACTTCTTTCTTCTTAGAAATTAGTTTGATTATCTTATAATTCTTGATTTGTGTCTAATATAATCAATTTCTCAATAATTTCAGCAACATGAAATACATCCAAATTCTTTATTAAATTACTTAAAATTGATTTATGTTCTGGTTAAGATAGAAATCTCCATAACTTATAAGTTTATGCATAATTAATACATCATAACCTCTTTTTCTGATGATTGCACACACTACTTTGGATAAATAACTGGCAAGTGTTACATTTAAGTAATCCCTATCTAAGATATCAAATATCTTGATTAAGAATTCCTGTCTACGTTCTTCATTCTGCTCATAATTTGCATTTGATTTATCTGCTTCGAATAGATAATCTATGATTGGACCATTCTCATTTCCTATAGCTTCACTTATCATAAAGGGGTATCTTATGATTTTTTAGTTTAATCATTTTACCTAATCTAAGTTTTCTCGTTATATTCCTCATCCTCATTTACACACAAGTATCCTATCATCTTACTAAATGTATCTATATTCTTTGTAACACTTTAATAAATCAAAAATGCTTACAAACTTCCAAACTTTTATGCACCATTCAATTTGATTTCTTATAAAGAGTCTTCATCAAGAATCATCTCTAATGTACAGTTATCTTGAGACAGTAAAGGGTCTAACACTGAACTAAAACCAGAGAAAAAACGCTAGAAGCTTAAAAAATACAATCTATAAAATCTTACTTGAAGAACATCATTTTTATTTAATAATAATAGGAGAAAATAATTGTTTCTATTATAAATTAATAGTTAATAATAAAAACACAATAAAATAATGTAGAAAGATGAAACTTATATAAAAACTCCCCCAATTAGAAAACTTAATAATGGATTAGCTATTAAATAGAAAATCAATGAATTAAATAAAAAGAGTAGCATTAGATTTTCTGACTTGACTAAAGAATAGGCATCTAATTAAAAAATATCTTATAGACGATAAAGTCAACCTCGTAAACCAGTACATCGAATGTAATAAGGTATTTTCTTTCTTATTCACTTAAAATAGCTATTACTATTTAAAGAAATCTATCATAAGAACCCTAAACTCAAGGTACATACAGTGTAGTTTTTCCAAATAATAGCCCTTAAAAGAAAGATAAAAGAAAAGTACAAACAACTAATTGTGATTAATTTGAAGAATAGAAAAATAGTTAAGTTAGAATAGTTAAAGGTTTTTATCCATCTGATATTAATAATACCAAACAGATTTTAACGAATATTTTACAGGGTATGTAATAGAGAGCTTAAGCAGAAAAATCTTTTGGAATTATGGGATTATAAGTAGTTCCATTTAATAAAATAATGGAATAAAATACTGCATTTACTTAACAGACAATAAGACAAAAAGCCTTGTCTCATGATAAAGAAGTAGATAAATCTTAATCATTTACTGAAGAAATAGAAAAGAAAATTAAATTCAAAATACCATAAAAATGTAAATAAAAAAAATCTATTAATTATAATAATGCCAGTCCAGTACCACCAAAAATAATAGCTCCTTAAAGCAGTTCTACATAAATTTAAAATAATAATTTCAAATTTTCATTAACTGATTATTCATCTTTATCTAGAGAATAATTATTTTAAACTAAATTGTAAAATTATTAGCATTTCTTATTTTTGGTTTCCACTTAAAGTGGATTTTATACAGTACCATAAGATGGTTTGATTGATTTAAAATTTAAAATTGGTAGAGGAAATAATTCTCTACTTATTAAAGAAATATTTAAATTGAGATGGTGGTGGAATTGTTATAAGTACACTGAATTAATTGATTCTGAAAGTAATTTTATTTGGACATAAATTAAAGTATAGAATTATATGGACACTTAAAATTAATCAAAAAATGATATTAAGTAATTGATGAGATAGAAAATTAATCAACCTTAATCATTAATATAAAAAAAAAACAAAATTCAAATTGATTATTTATTGAGAATAATGAATGATGATTCTGATTATAAATAAATAGAAAGAAATTAAAAAGCGTACCTCAAATTAATAAATCAGAAAGGATACACCTTATTAAAAGTTCATCCAAATTTGAAAGTAATTCAATAATTATTAAATATAGATTCATAATCATATTGAAAAAAATTATCATTTAGGAAATAAGAAAGCTTTATATCACAATCTCAAAAGATATTATGAATTAACTAAATAGGATATTCATTCCATAATACCAATGACATTCCATGTATAAAAGGGATCTAGAGACAAAGTTTATTTATAATTCTTAGAACATTACAAGAAACTATCAAAGTATTATTATTTTACTATCTAGAGGCTCTACTTGGATAGTCAAACCTGGTGAATTTACAAACAGAGGAACTGGAATCATAGTTTGTCAAAATTTAACTGAGATTAATAAAATTATTAGTAAAAAATAAGTGCATTAAAATGGAAAGCCATTTACATATTTAATTTAGAGGTACATTGAGAAACCATTTCTATATAATAAAAGAAAATTTGATATCAGGTGTTACTTTCTTATCACTTAATTGAATAATATTTTTAGAGCTTATTGGTATGAAGATGGATATATCAGAACTTCATCAGAAGAATTCGATCTTGATGATCCTGCTAATCTTTATGTTCATTTAACAAATGATGCCATATAGAAATATGCTGATACATATGGGAAATATGAAAATGGCAATAAATTATCTTTATCTGAGTTTCAACGTTATTTGGAGAATTAACCAAAAAAATATAATTTTTATAAGGATTTATATCCTTAATTGATTGAAATAGCTACAATTAGCATAAAATCAGTATATTGTAAATTAGCTCCACATAAAAAGGAATTTAATTTTGAGATATTTGGATTAGATTTTATGATAGATTCATAATTCAAACCATACTTAATTGAAATAAATACTAATCCTTGTTTAGAAACGAGTAGTCCAGTTTTATAGAGAATAATACCTTAAATGGTTGAAAATGCTATGAGATTATCAATCGATACAATAATACCACCACCAGATGCTAATGTATGGCCACCTTGTAAAAAGCATCTTATTTTTTATGACAATTTATTAGAAAATAATAAATTTCAATTGATTTTTGATGAAAGAGAAGATTCTGAAGAATTAATAAAATTATATGGTGGATTGTTGGAACATGATGAAATTGATGAAATGGATGAAGAAGAAGAAGAATATTAAAGTGATGATGAAAGTTAAAAATTTGAATAGTGATATATTTATTGTAATGATTTTAAAAAATTAATATTACTCAAATGTTTGAAGGACAATGATTATTAATTAAAAAAGATGATGTAAGGAGAGGAACTACTACCAGATCATATAAATGATGAAATATATCGTAAACTAGAACATTTATATTTAAGATTAAATGAAATTGTTCGTAAAGCTGAAGATGTCCTAGATTTATCTTAATCAGTTAGTTTTTAAGCAACTCTAAAAAGACTTAATACTGCTTCTAAAGGAGAAAACTACTAAAAGATTCCTAAAAATTATTTCCCTCCTCCTTCAGATTAAGAATCATTTGAAAGAAAGTTCAAATTACTCAGAAGATGTGGACATATATTATCAGATACTATGTTAAAAGTAAAAACTTCTTTAGTAGAATTGCATGATGCAACTTGTAAACAAAAGTAAGATATAGTTAAAATGAAAAAAGATGAATATACAATTAAACATGAAAAACCATTTTCAATCAATTAACAATAGAAAAATGGAACATAATAATTAAAACCTCCTTAAACAATTTTATTAGATGAAGATGATGATATAATGATTTTACCAAAGATTGAATATGTAATAGAACAACCTTAGATGTTAAGTATTTCAATTGCTTCAGATCCTGTATATTATATCTCTTGTACTTGTTTACTTCAAAATACACTTCAATAGTAAATTCCAGAAGAATTTAAATTATGCATTGCTATTGAATCTTTACAATATTATGATAAATTCTATTTGAATTCTAATATCATACAAGAATGCAAGACTGCAAATAGAATATTACTCTAATTAAATGGAGATTCAAATTGCGTAACTAAAAATTGTATCTTTTATGAGAAAGTGTATTTGAATATGATCAAATAACCTATCATACAATTAAACTTTGCTAAATACAAATAGGTGAGTAATACTATTTCCCTCTCTTCTCTGATATTACAGATTTATTCAATTAATAAACATTGTTTTTATATGGGATCTATTAATTTAGTAGATTAATAGGGAGAGCTACCTTTTAAAAGGTTGGAAATATTAAGTATTTAATTAATCTATTACATATTCAATCTACTTCAGGTTTAGTGATTAATGCATTCAGTCAATCTCTTGATAAAAGTTAATTTTTAATTGATTTCTTAACAGCCATGATTAATTTAAATGGTAAGGAAATTGTAATTGGAATCAATAAACTTACATTTCCAGAATGTTAAAGGAATCCTAGGATTGTTTTAGTTCGATATACACATAAATTAAGTTAATAAGATAAAGAATTATTACAATAAAATTTAAATGATGGAGTTGATGGAGGATGTAGAATTAATGATTCAAGTTGTAAATTAAAGAGAATTATAATTATCTTTAATAAAGAAAAGATATTCATTCCAGAAATAAGTAGAAACTTAAAACATTGGGAAATTTCAATAGATTTTTTAAGATAATAATGCGAAACTTATCATTCTTAATATCTAATACATTATATTGATTAAATAGTTAAATGTAAAATCTAAGATAGATTACCAAAGTTCTTTACTGTTCTCATTACTCTTATCAATTAGAAGACTAACAATGTTAAGGAATTTGATTAATAAATTATAAGAGACTTTGATTAATTTATTAAGAATAGAAATTATGTTAATTATTTTAGTTTAAAGACTTATCACAAAATAACTTAAATTGAAAATTACTTATAGGAATCATTGAAATCATAAAAATTATTTTCTTATTGTAAGGACATCATAAGATTATTAGGTATTGAAGAAGAATAAAATTAAAAACAAATATATATATATATATATAATTAATAATAATCATACTTATTTCATCAATTTAAATAGGTCCATATCTGTATTGAACCGCTTACCTTAAGAGGATTATTTAAAGGATCCTGAAATCAATTATTAAATATTTGAATGTTCTTTTACTTAAGATACTGGTGATAAACATATTTGAGTCTTTTATTACTGTTTTGGTAATCCTTATTATCCTTAGATCTATCTTGGTTTTGTTAATTATTCTAATATGTTTTATCTATAATCTATTATTCTTTTATTAACATATTCAAAATGTGGAAATGAACGAGTAAATTTACCCTATAATTATATTTTTAAAATTAAACCTATTTTTCCAATCTTAAATTTTCATAAAGCTTTTTTTAAAATTCATGATCTCCTTTGCTAAATTCCAATTCATCAAAATTATATTTTAATGGCATTGGTTTATAACTGATCTCACATTTCCTTTTAACTAAGGCTTCAATATCACAATCTTAAAACCATTTGTGTTATAAAATAGCTTTGATACCATTTTATGCTCCCAAACGTTTAGAAGGATCTTTTATTAATAATTTCGAAATCAAATCTTTAAGATCAGGATTAATATCTTTATATGGAGGAAATTAAAGTTTATCATTTAAAATACTATTATAAATTTAGTCTATGTTTCTACAATAAAAAGGAGGTGATCCAAAGATAAATTCATAAAGCAATGCACCTAAACAATAAATATCCACCATATAATTATGTCCTTCTCTTTTTAACATCTCTGGTGACATATATTCAGGTGATCCACAAAATGAATATGCTGTTTCATCTCTATTCATATTTGGTTTAGACAAACCAAAATCTGATAGTCTTATATATCCATCCAAATCTAATAATATATTTTCAGGTTTGATATCTCTATAGACAATCTCAAATTTATGCAACTCATTGATTGCTAAACAAACTTAAACAAAATATTATTTTGCTAATGGTTCTGATAATCTTTTCCATTTTCTCAAATGATAAAATAATTCACCACCTGCACAATATCTAAATTTAATAGGATATATTACTCCATAACAAAAACAAGATAGAATTTAGTTTCAAATGAATAAAATAATTTAGCTAAATAAGGAGAATTTAATTGTTCCATTACATATTTTTCATTACAAATGATTATTTCCTTATTAGATTTAAGAATGAAGTTCTTATCTATCAGTTTCATTGCATAAAATAAACCATTATCTCTCTTTCTTACTAAATATACTCTTGAAAATCCACTATTGCAATATATATATTAATTATACCCTACACCTATACATTTCAGTATATCATAATCTTCAATACTCATTTGATTACCAACTGAATTTGAATAATAAGGTTCTAATTTCAAATGTCTTTATTCTTCAAATACTTCTAACGGTTTCAGTTCAAGTGATAAGTAGTAATCAATATTATAATTCTTAACACTTGAGTGTGTTTGAAAGTGTTTTATTTTATTTACAAGAGTCGGATTCACTTGTAGTACCTTTCCAATTAATTTCTTATATAAATCAGTTGTATTTTAGTAAATGCTAATAGGAACAATAAATCTAGTTTAATAATGATTGAATTACTTCTGTCCATTTAAAATTAAAGAGATTGTTATTTCAACAGGATCTCTTTCACTATTCAATGTTTTCATTGTCTAACATCGACCAAATGCTTAATTTAATTTATTTCCAGATGGAGATTGTACTCTAGTCAGATTTGAGTTTACACTGTGAAAATCTGAGGACTTCTTCTTATGTAAAATTGAAGTTGAAGGAATTCTAGCTGATAAAACTAGAGATTACATAATATAATTTAAAAATAGTAAAATCAATTTGGTAGTGATTGTATTCTGCAAAAATTACTATTATTAATAATACTAATACTTCAAATTGATCAAGTAAATCTTGTATTCTATTATCCTTATATATTTGTTGTATTCAAAATATAAAGTAATTAGATTCTACAAAGTATGTAATTAAAAATTTAAAATATAACTTATTTTCTTATAGATGATTTATAACAACAAATAATACTAAAGAAAATCTTTTAAAATATTGATGTCAACAATATATAATACTATATATTTTTAATTTATTGAAAATAACTTTGTTTTGATAATGTTGAAGATTAGCCACTAATTTATAATGCTAATCCACTTATAAATAGAATTTTAGTATAAATTAGATTAAATAAAGAAATTGGATATTAGTAATTTCACATAAATTTAATGATAGAATAATTGATTTGTATTGCCATTTGAGAAGGAATTGTAACTTCTTTTTTCTTTATTGTTCCAATATGCCATTTTAATATCTCACATCTATTATGCTGTTTTTTTTAAATAAAGAGAGAGTAGAGAGTTAACTATGAAAATCATAATTATTATCATAATCTCTTTTAGAAAAATTAGAAATATTATTTTATAAGATTATATTCTAGTTATTAGAAAAAACAATATGAAATTTAAAAAGAGTATATTTTTATTATTATTACTAAAATCATTAGATTATAGAATATATCATCAAAATGGATATTAATTTAGTTAATAAAAATAAGCATGATCATTATTTTTCTTTAAATATAAATTAATAATTTTATAATAGTTCTTATTTCTCTAAATTGAATCATCAATGAATATCCTCCATGCAATTTCTATAGATGGCTTCATAGTCTATTATTAAGAACATCATTATAATGAATTTTTGAAATTAAGTTGAACATTATATAAATTCAATCTAACTTAAACCCATGCATAATTATATATATTCTTGTGCTTTATGATCAACAAGTTCAATCTATTAGTATAGTCATTATTATGTTAATTTATATAAACATTGCATTTATTGATTCATCAATATACTATACTTAATAGATTTTTCTCATACAATCTGGAATTTTTGTAGATCTTAAATGATTGAAAATCTGATAAAGAAGATAGATCAAAAACACTCTCTTAGTCCATAAAATTAAATAATCATTTTTTTATCTATAATGCAGGGGACTGAGTAGGTCTATATTGAGTACCACGTGAAGCTGACATATACACTAAAGGCTTATCTGTTAGATAATTGTCATAAAAGGAGGCTCCTTGTTAACTCAAAAAACTTGGTTATAGACCAAATGATGATTTTTCTTTTAATGATGACTAAAGAGATAATATTTCTTCTTCAAAAATAAGTTAAATCATTAGCTCACCTACTTTAACATCATTCCAAATTTATATTATATGCATATCCTTACGTTCTTTAAGAACCTTTTAAATATCAAGTCTTCCCATTCCTTTCATTATAGGATCTCCCCAATAATCCCATAGTTAAAAATCAATGAATTATGAGATTGTAATATTGAATTTATCTCTAAAGTCATTGAGTCCATGTTAAAGTTTCAATGTATTTGTGAAATACAATTCTTTACCTGATGCAATCAAAAAATAAAACTGACTTGGTTGTCCTATTTCATACTTGAATTGTAATATTTTTAGTTGTGTGTTCATAACGATAATATATTAATGCATAAACTACTGTCTTCAAAATCTGCATCAACCAATCCTATTTAACTTATTAACAAATTAAATTCCCCTCTCCATACCTAGTAAGACATTATTGATCCTAAAATTAACAGAAAAGAACTAATTAATACTCTCTTAAAAACTATTAAGAAGAAATCTAATCAAAATGAAAAACCTAAGAAAAGAATTAGATCCAATTCTAATTCAGGATATTGAAATCAATTATAATGTTTTTCACATTCAAGATTATTACACAGAATTATTTCAATTAAAAAAAGTGATATCCAAGATTATTTTACCAAAAACTTAGTAATTGTCAAATTACAATATGTTATAATTCATAGGCAAAGGAAAATATAGTGAAGTTCAATTAGCATGTGAAATTACTACTGGAATACATGTTGCACTTAAAATAATAAAAAAATAATAAATTTAGTCTATTTGGAAGAGTATAGCATAAGAATTGAAAATTTAATATCTTCTCAATCATCCAAATAATGTCAAACTCTACACTTTCTTCCAAACAAGTTATTATTTATATATATATAGAGATCTAAAACCAGAAAACATTTTCCTATGATATGATTGAGTTAAATTAGCTGATTTCACTCATTCTATCTATTCTCCAAAATAAGAAAGATCTACATAATGTGGTTCTCTAGGTTACATTTCCCCTGAGATTATTAAGGGAGAGAATTATGATAAAAGTACAGATTTGTGGTATTTGGGTGTACTAGCATATGAATTATGTAGTGGTGAAACTCCTTGGGAAGATCTATCTTATTTGGAAGTGTAAGAAATCATTTTAAGTGGAAACATAAGATTTCCATCTAAATTCACTCCAGAATCAAAAGATTTCATTAAAAAAATCTTATATTGAAGTATTCTTATAAAAGATGATCATAAATAAATTAGTAGATTATCTATATATTCTAATATTCAATCAGAATTATTAATTATTTTTGAAAATACTCAATCAATTATTAGATTAATTTATATTCTTAGATATAATTAAAATAAATATTATCAGTAGGTAATCATTTTCCTTAAAATTGGAGATCTGATATTTAAGAAAATCTTTTTGAATCATTATCATAATATTGCAATTATTTAATTTATCTTAGCAATTTGAAGAATTAAAATGACAATTAGATTAATATTTAAATTATAAAAAGAAATTAACAACAAAATTTATTTATTAACATTAATGGTAATAATCCTATTAGTATTTAAGGATAGGAATTGTTAAATTACATTGATGTATATTGACAATTGCTATTTAAGTATTGAATTATATTTTATACAACTAAGGACATTAAAAGTGTAAGTCAACAATCATTTTTTTAAATTGAATTTTATGTGTTTATTATCGTTTTTATAGATCAATATAATTTTTATGTTAAAAAATAAAGAAATATTTAAATTATATTAGTATAGAGTAGTTGCTGAAAAATTAAGAGAAGAAACCTAATAGATTTAAACTGATAAAATCCTTTAATGAGATTGTTCCTTTTACTAATACCTTTATTGAAAAATGAACTTCAATACCGAAAGACTTAGAATTGACTTTTTTCATAAAAAAATAAAAATTATATTTATCATGCATCACAGAGAACAAAGAATAACTTAAAGAGCTTTTTCTTCTACTTCCCCAACTACTCCAACCATGAGTAATGCTTATGCATCAGCAATGAAAAATATGCAAGATAAATTAAAATATGATGGCATACGAAAATCAATTGATATATCACCATAAGATATAATAATAGAACATCTTAAGCAATAAATAAGTGAATTATCTGGAGAAAAGGAAAGACTGCAATTTCAATTGTCTAAAATCTAATAAGAGCTTGAAATGAATAACAAGGCATCTTAATAAATAGAATAATTACAAGTAGAGAGACTTTAGCATTTAAAAGATTATTAAGATCGTGTATCAGAACTAATAAGAAAGAATGAAGAACTTAAACATGATAAACATGAGCTATAATCATCAAATGAGTATCTTTAACGACAATTATAAGCATATAAAAATAATGAAAAGGGTTTATTACACAAGGCAGAATTAAAAAAGTTTGAAGAAAATTCAACTCTTTTGAATACTATTTAAGAGTATAAATAGAAGTTGGAATATAAAGATTCAATAATATGTAATCTTGAGAGTAGGATTGATTATTTAGATAAGGAATTATAGCATATTTAAAAGGAATATGATAATTATAAATAATAGCATCCATAAATTAGGTTGAATGAATTTGAAAAACAAATTAATAATTTAAGATACTAATTAGATGAAAAAGATCGAGTATATTATAAAAGTATTGATGAAGTTTAAACAAATAGAATATGTAGAGAAGAATAAATGGCTAAGCGTATTTAAGAATTAGTAGTAAAAACTTTGGAATATTAGGATATAATATAATAATTAACCTTAGATTATAAAGATTTAAATATGAAATATTAATCAATTCGTATCAAATTTGATTAGGAAGATAAAAATTAGAGATAATTTAAGTAAGATTTTGAAGAATCATATTATAATTAAGGATATAAGAATTAAAAAACTGTAAATAAATTAAACTTGGATTAAATTTTACCAACATACTTTAGTCCTAGAATAAATGAGAATACAAGATAGAGTTAATTAAAATAAGTAATTAGAGATTGTTTAGAGGATATGAAAAATACAGGTTAAAGTCCTGAAAAAAAAAATGTTGCTAAAAAAAGATTAACATCACCTATATCACCTTAATAATAAAATGAAATTGAAATAAAATTGAAATTTTTAAATGAAAGATATGAAACACTCATACGATAAGCATAATAAGAAAATGATATGAAATGTAAAGCAAATATAAGAAAATAGCTTCTTGAAATTGCAGAATAGATAAAAGAAGCTACCAAAATTAATAAAATAATTTGATTTAATCATATTTACTAATTGATATTCAAATTTAAATGATAATTTATAATCTTAACATAAAAAAAGTTTATAAATATGTATAAGAAATAATACTTTAATAATGTATATTAAAAAAATAGAGAGTATTAATAACACTAAAATAAATGTTATATTATCAGTAATATATATATATAATGAAATCAATATTTAAAATTAATTATATATAATCATTTGATTATTTTTTAATTAAGTTTATTTAGTATTTTTAACCTTTCAGCTATTAGATTTTCTCGCTTTAGTAATTAATCTCTTTAAACTTTATTTTTATATGCATCAGATTTTGTCATTTGTACATAATTTTATAATAACAAACAAATATATGCAGAAAATTTATATTGAGCTTTAATTTTTTGTGTATCTAGCAACATCACTTCTTATAAAGCATTTAATTATTTTTCAGTAAGTATTTTATTACTTTCAGGTACATCATATCTGAGATATGGACGAGATAACATCTTTTTAATTTATTCTAGAGTAATAACTTCAGGAAAATCAGGATATATTGAAATATACATAAATTTGAACACTTAATAGATTTCTGGTTCTAATTCTTTAGAACCATAAATTTTATTTATTTCTTTGAAATCCCATACATTATCCCAATCTATAAATATATCTTCTTCTAGATAATTTTATTCAGGTATCATATTGATTATTTATGGAATTTAAATTAAATTATTTTGAATATTCTCTAAAATATGCTAGTATTAGATAATCCTAGTAGGCAGAGATTTACAAATAATTAAATTAAATAATTTATTTACTCTTCGTAATTGCATAATTTATTTAACATTTAAATACATAGTAAATTAGATAATAATTTCTATTCTAAATTTTTAAAATAAATTGCAAGTTTTCTTTTTATGTACAATCATATTTTAATTTTAAAATTAAGTTGAATTTTAAGTTTTGGTATTTTTCTAAGATACTAATGAAAATTAATAATGGATCTATTGGAATTCAATGAATAATTGATTAAGTTTAGATTTTTATTGGTTATTATTTTCATTTAGGATAGAAATATCTAATTATATTTTCATTGTATAAGTTTTTTATTTTAATAAAAGAAATAAATTAATACTTATTTAGTTTTCAATTTCTTTAATTTAATTAATCTAATGAATTATATAATTTATTATTAATATAGATCATAACCAAAAATTGAATACAAAATTAAGTAAATAAAGTTCATTTTTTAATTTACTAAAAATTAAAGCTCTTTTTAACCCATTAAAGTTGAATATTGTATGATAAAGGATCTGGATTTTCATTATTTTGATTTTAAAATCTTTATTAACCTAAACCAAATGCAGGTGGATCTTTAGAAATTGGTTTCTTATAATTAGATGTTCTCTCTATCCTTTCATCTTCAGATTCTTCTATAATTGCTTATTTCCATCTTTCTTCTCCTATTCCAAATGGTGGTTTGTCTATTAATTATTCAATATTGTATTCAATTTAACTTTTCAATTTCTCTTAAATAGATCCAAGTGATGTATCATAAAATCCTGGAGGTGGTACATCTTCATTAGTTTTTAATGATGTTCTTTTAACTTTACTTTTAAATGGACTTGATGAAACATCTTTTTTTTCTATATTGCTAGTTTCATTATAATAATATCCAGGTCCAGGAGTATTCTTTTATTTTTTTTTAGAAAATCTTGGTAATCTACTACCAACCTCTTAATTAGGACTTTGAATTAACTTTTAGACTATTTTATCTTTCATTGAAGTTTTAGGTGAATATGTTACTGGACTAGGTGAAATTGAATTAGAATTCTATTTAAATCTTTCTGCTTTTGGAAATTCTACTTATTAACTAATAGAAATTAAAGCTGGATTATATTAACCAGGTCCAGGTATATTTTAATTTTTAAGAGCAAATCTTGGTGCTTTTGTTAATAGTTTAGCACCTGTAGAAATAGCAGTTGATTAAGTTTAATAATAACCTGGACCTGGAGTTGAATCATCTAAATATTCATATTATGAGGAATCAGAATCAGGTGTAGAAGACTTTTAGAAACTATAATAGATTTTATTATCTAATCCTTTTTTAACATAAAATTTAGGTTCTTATGATGTAGAAAGCTTAATTTATTATCCAATTTTTCTATCTCTATACCTATAAAATCTATCAACATCATAATGTCCAGGACCTATAGGATTCTCTACTTCTTCATGTTTAGAGGATCTTCTTGACCAATTACTTACTAAACTGGCATGTTTATTAAGTTGAGAAAGCTATGTATCATAATACCCAGGTCCAACGTTGGCTTATTATCTCTCTTAATTTATGTGTTAAAATACTTTCATAAGGTATTGAATTTGCTGTTTAATAGGTTCCTGCATACATTAATTATTCTATGATTTTTGGACGATGAGAATGAGGATGTTTATGTTTTTATAACATAGTAATATCATAATATCCTGGACTATAATAAAAGATAATATTATTACCCAACTAACCCATATTTCTCATCTTTAAACCTTTCTTCTTCATTTTTGAAGATTGCACTAGCAACTTGACTATTTTGAGATGAACCTTTATGATCATATGCACCTGGTCCAGGACTTAATTTTCTTGGGATTTCAACCAAAGGTAAAGATGGTACTTGAGTGCTCATTCTCTCCCACTTCCTGTCTAGTTCATAAGAGCCGGGACCTGGTGAAGAATCCAAAATTTAACTTTGATTACGAGAACGATAAATAAATGCCATTTATATTATATATATATATTTATTATTCAAGCTAGCAAGCATAGACTAAATTTAGATCCTGGTTTGATAATATATGTTTTAGATTCACCAGTCTCTATAGCTATGATAGGTATTTAGTCTTTTAAAGCTGTTGCACAATCTGCTATATTTTTAACATATTGGCTTAATTGAGGATTCAATGATTTATTAGCTAAAGGGAATCCAAATTAATCAACAATCAATGCTCCTTAAACATTATCTTACATAATTAGATCGATTTGTTATTGTAATTGCTTATCCATTTAAATAATTAATGATATTAAATTGTATTATATGAATCATATATCTATCATAAATCTTTAATATTGGTAAGATATTCAACACCTGGTAATATCTTTCCTTCCAATAATTCTAATGAAGCACCTCCACCAGTTGAAACATGACTAAGTTTATCATTAGCCTTATTAGCTCCAACAAGATTAACAGTGTCACCACCTCCAACAATAGTTGTAGCACCATTTGAAGTCTATTTAACCAAAGCATTCAACATACTAACTGAACCATTCTTGAATTATTCAATTTCAAATGCTCCTTATGGTCCATTCCATACAACTAAAAGTAAAATCTAAAAAATATAAACTTGTTTTAGCTCTTCCAATAGCTTCAGCATTTTCTCTTTATGTCAATTATCCTGCATCTAAACCTAACCATCCATCTGGTATTCCTGATTTAAGATCATGTAATGAAACAGGACTAGATGCATCTAATCCTGTACCACAAATGAAATCTACTGGTAAATGAATTTTCACATTCTTTTCTTTAGCTTTAGTAAGAATTTCATCAACAATTTTATATCCTTCTTCATCAAAGAGTGATTTTCCAATAGGAACATTATGAATTTTTTTAAGGAATGTAAATGCCATACCTCCACCAATAATCATTTCATCTACTTTATCAAGCATAGATTTAATTAACTGGATTTTATCAGCAACTTTAGCACCTCCTAAAATAACAAGGAATGGTCTTTAAGGTGTTTCTAAAGCTTTAGCAAAATAATCAAGTTCTTTCTTCATTAAATAACCAGCAACTCTAATTTTATGATCTATTCCAACCATAGATGAATGAGCTCTATGTGCAGTACCAAATGCATCATTAACATAAATATCTCCTAAAGAAGATAATTCTTTTCTGAATTTCTTAACACTTTCTTTATCTGCTTTAATTTTTGCTCCATTTGCATCAACACCTTTTCCTTCTTCTTATATATGGAATCTAAGATTTTCTAATAAATTAATTTATCCATTTCCAGCATTTGTAGCTTCAGCTGCTTCTGAACCTACACAATCATTAACAAAGTTAACTTTAGTGCCTAATAATTCTTCCAATTTAGGAACAACTATTTTAAGAGAATCTTTATCAACTCTAATATATATTAATATTATTATTTATTACCTCTTTCCATCTGGTCTTCCCATGTGTGACATTAATGTAATATTCTTTGGATTTTATTCTAATATCTTTTTAATTGTTGGAATAGCTCCTTATATTCTAGTAGCATTCTTCACTTTGCCTTCTTTAATAGGCACATTGAAATCTACTCTTATTAATACTCTCTTATTAGCAAATTAACGTAACACATGATCAACACCAGCCTTAGAACTCAACATTAAGATTATTATATTTATCTATATAAGATATTTGACTCTTAAGTTTATAAATTAATTATGTTAACATTATTATTGCTACAAGTGGTGTTATCACAGAAGATTTTAGATTCTCCACTTGAGTAAGTCATATGGTGCAAATCAGAAACCTTCATACTTACAGCAAAAGGTATGCTCTATAAAAATTTTACATCTGAAATGCCTAAATTTATAAGCAATGTAATTCAATCTAAAATGTTTTTGTTTAGTTTACTATAAGAGAAATCTTATAATCTGAAGCAGATTCTTAAGTACTTTATTTTATTGGAGATTTTGATACATCTTATGTTTCATAAAATTGTGGAAAAACCTATACTAAATTTAAACATGATAAGACATTACATGATTTCAAACTAAATTCTTTAGAAGCACATAGTCTAATGGCTTTTAAAGATTTTAGATGTAATTCCTCAACAACCTTGTGCAAAGATAAATATAAGAAATAGATTTATGTAAGTAATGATTATGGAGCAAATTGGAGGATGGTACTTAATAGAACCAGAGATGCTATATGGGATAAATTAATTGAATTACCAGAAATTCCTGATTCTAGAATTGTTGCATCTTATATCAATGATTAAGGTCATTAATAAGTAAGTTATAGTGATGATTACTTTAACACATTTAAATTACTTAGAAATAATTCTTACGGTTTCTATTAGACAAAAGAATATCTCTTCATTTTAATAGATGCTGATAGTTTTAGTAAGGGTTATGATTTAGAAGTAATTAAATAAGGTACTCTCAATCCTGTGGAATTAGTATTACCTATAGAGGATCATTAAAAATATACTTTTACTGTACTTGATACTGTTAATGGATCTATATTCATTTCTATTTCTCATCTTGAAGATATGCCTAAAATAATGAATATCTATTAAAGTGATAGTACTGGTACAAAATATACATTATCATTATTAAATAATGTAAGAAGTTTGGATACTGGAAATTGTGATTTTGAACCTATTATAAGAGGAACATATATTGCTAATATTTATGATAATGTTGAATTTGAGAAATTTAAAATGAGAAGATCTACTAAGAATACTGATGGAATTAAAAGATTAGAGAATTATAAATAAACAAGAATTACATTTGAATAAGGAGGTGAATGGCATGCTTTAAAAGCCCCTAAATATGATTATAAAGGTTAACCAATATAATGTAATGGAGATTGTTCATTACATCTTCTTGGAAGAAGTGAAGCTCCTCGTAATAGAATAATAAGTCATTCTTATATTGCCATAGGTACAGGTAATACAGGTATTTATTTGGGAAATGAATATAAAACATATCTTTCAAGAGATGGAGGTCATACTTGGTTTGAAATATTAGATGGAATGCATATTTATGATATTGCTGAAAATACAGGAGTAATTGTATTTGTGAGTGATGAAGAATAAGCAAATGAAATATTATACTCTTGGGATGAAGGTATGACATTCTAAAAAATTAAAATGAATGTTACTTTTGATATAACAAATGTAGTATATAAGAATGGTAAATTCTTATTTCATGGAATATAAGATAGTAAAACTCTTGGTGTTGCAAAACAAGATGATTTTACATCAAGTGCTCTTAAAGGAGTTGTTGTATCTTTAGATATAAATTAAATTATGGTTAGAGAATGCTAAGGATTTGATAGAGCAGGTGAATAAGATTCAGATTATGAATTTTGGTATCCTTCAAATTATGCAGGAGATAAATGTTTATTTGGATAAAAAGAGAAATATATTAGAAGAAAGAGAAGCTCTTAATGTTATAATAAGTAACCTAATTTACCAGTTTAAACTGAAAATTGTCCATGTACTAAAGCAGATTGGGAATGTGATGTAGGGTATAAAAGAGACATCTATTCAAATTGTGTACCTATGAAAGAAATTAAACCAAAAGCATGTAAGGGAACATATTTAAAAAGTTAAGGATATAGAAAGATATCTGGAGATGAATGTTAAGATGGGTATTTATAAATATTAAGAATTTAGTGTTTATTTGGGACCAATCGAAACAAAATGTACTGAAGAAGATTAAGTAACTCAAAAAGATAATATTAATATTAAATAAGGTAGAGTAAGTGATATACCAAATTATACAGAACCTGTAAAAACACAAATTATTAATCCTAATAAAAATATTGATAAAAAGGTTGATGGTGGCATTAAATACACATATTTAATTTTTGGAGTCATTTGCTTAATAATTACATATATTATAAAAAAAAAGTATTTTGATGTGAAATATTAAACAAAAAAAAGATAGCCAGCATATTATTATCCTGTTAAATCATAGGAAAAATAAAGATTATTTGGTGAACCTTGAAATGTAAATTTAGTTTTTTGTATTTATTAATATATTCTACATCAAGTATTAACTATTATTTTTATATTTAAAATAAACAAATGGGAAAATACATTTGTATTATATAATTCTATTTTTTAATAAATATCAATCAAAACATTAGACTAAGTCTTTTATTTTATTAAATTTATATTTATTATAATTATATTAATTAATTCAAATGTCAACTTCTCCGTTGATTAAAGTTGCTAGTTCAGCCTTTTCAAACGGATCAGCATTGACATTTAAAAAAAAGTAATTATCTAATTCTTAAACACAAAACTTTATGGCTGGTAACTCTCCACTCAAATCTATAGATGAAAATGAGTAATCACCTTCAAAAATAATTAATATTTACTCAGATAGTGCTTTATTTAATGTTGGAAATTCTTATTCAACTGTTAAAAATGCTCCAATTATAGAAGAGGAGAAAACACATAAAACTTACACTTATAGTTAAATGCCTCCAGATGAAGCTGAGAAAGCATATTGTGAAAGATAAAAAATAATAAAAGAATAAATAAACAGAACTAAAAATAGTGGAAAATTTAAACCAAAAAAGAGAATTGATCCAAATAAATCATCTACTTTGAAAAGTGTTTTAAAGAAATAACAATTAGATTATTCAACAGCTTAATCTTAATAAATAGATGTTTCAAGAACATCTTAAACATTTAGAAGAAAATCAATTGATTAACCAATACAAACAGTACCTAAACCTCATCCAAAAGTAAGTAAAATTATTGAAAATAATAATTCAAATAATAATATCAAATAATCTTAAATAAATAGTTCAAATGTTCTATAACAATCTTTTCATTAATAATTATAAAGTAAAAAATAATAATTGTTAAATGAAATTGCTTAATTAGATAAGGAAATAGTAAAAGAGAAAGAAAAAAAGTAATAATCACATGTATAATCAATCAATATATCTCCAAGAGTTTAATAAATAAAATAAACTCCTTGTTAAAAAGATGATCTAAAATCTACATATGAAAAAAGATAATAGATGAAAAAGGTTGCAGATAAAGAGAAGTAACGTAAGGAGATGGAATAATGCACTTTTAAACCTTAAATTAGTAGCAATACAAATAGAAAATTGAATACTTCCTAAAGTTCAAAATTTACTCCTCTTACTTCACCTAAATAAACTTAAATTGCTAATTCAATAAAAGTACCTACTCGATCTTAATCACAAGAGGATAGAATTGTTAAGACAGATGGATTATAAAAAGATTAAAAGTATGATTTAAATTGTAAGAAATTATATTAAAATTAGAACGATTATAAAGAATGAATGAGAAATATAACATGATATTAGAACAATCAAATAAAATTAGAAACCAATTTAAATAAAACTGAATATTTTTAATTATTATTTATATGGATATCGATGAATTATTAGATGAGATAGATCTGGACTATAAGCCCTCAAATTCAAGAGATAGAAGTAGAAGATCATTTGTAGATCCACCGTAAATAGAATTATTTAATGAAGGAAAATTGAAACAAAAAAAATTTCAAATGATCCATATGAATTTGATAGTATTTTAAAATCTTCAGATTCTCCAATTGATAAATAATAGTCCTATGCTTTTGTATAAAGACCTTAAACAGCTATTATAGATGAATCAAAAAAACAAAAAATGGCAGATTTATTTTAATTGCCAAAACCAAATGTAGTAAAAAATTAATAGCCAATCTAAACAATAGAAGATTAATCTAATAATAATAATGATCTTATATAGACTTAGAGTAGAAGAGGCAAGATGAGAATACTTTCGTAAAATAAAGGATAACCTTAAAAAAGTGGAATGGATTTAAGTTAAGACCCAATTTTTAATTATAATCAATAATCTGAAATTGAAAAATAATCAATTCAATCAGATTATTCAAATAAATAAAATAAATAACCAGATATAGCATTCAATATTAATAATAATAATAATAATATTAATAATATAAATTTATAAAAATTATAAGATGAAATATAATTATTAAAATAAGATAGAGATAAATTAAATCAAGAGATTTAATAAATAAAAAATGAAAAGAATAAATTATAAGATGAATTAGATATTGAAAAGAGGGAGAGAACAAGATTACTTTAGGAAAAATTAGATATTGAAAAAGTATTTATAAAAGAAAAGGAATAACTTAAATAAGAATTTGAAAGAGAGAAATAAAGAATTATTGATACAGCTAAATTAGAAGTAAAAATTAATATTCTATATAATTTTAGAATGAATTAATAAAATAATAATTAGGAGAATAAAAGTAACTAGACAATTTGGCAGAAAAAATAAATGTTAGTGCAAAAGAATTAGAATTATTAAAGAACTAATTATATTAAAAGCATGAATAATAAACTTAAGATAAAATTAAATAATTAGAAATAAAAAAAAATGAAATTTAAGAAAAGGAAACGTAATTAGAAAAAGAAAAAACTTATTTAGAAAATGAAAAAAGAAGATTACAAAATTTATAAGATGATTTAAGTAGAAGAGAATAATTGTTTTAAGCATCAATTGATGGTGAAAAGAAATCCTTATAGAGTGAAAAATAATTATTATAGGATATTAAAGAATCATTGAGAAATTTGGAATTGGAAACAAAAAAAAGATTAGAATAAGAGAATTTATTATTATAAAGATAAAAGTAATTATATTAATAATATTAATATAGAAATGAATTTGATATTTAAAAACATGAATTAAATTCTTAAGCTTAAAATAAATTAAGATAATTAGAAGTAGATAGATAGATTTTTGAATAATAAAAAATAGAATATACAGAATTTACATAAAAGAATAATGAAATTATATAATAAAGATATGCAGATATTGAAAAATAATAACAAAAGATAGGTGCTAAAGAAATGCAACTAATAAATTAATAAAGAGATTTAGATATGAAAAATAATTAAGTTAACAGTTTGCATGCTGAATATACAAGAAAATTGAATTTGGTTGAAAATGAGAGATAATTATTATTAGATAAATTAAAGGAAATTAATGAAAAAGAGAAAATTTATTAATAAGAAATCTCAAATGTCTAAGAGTTTAAATAATTATATTAATAAGAATAAGAATAAATTCAAAAGTAGAAGATTGAATTAAATTAACAATTAACAATGAACTAATAAAATAAAATTTAAATTGAATAAGAAAAGACTTAATTGAATATGATGCATAAAACATTATCTAATTTAAGATAAGAAATTACTTAAAATTCTCTATAAGGTTTCTCTTAAACAACAGCATAAATTCCTATACGACTAAATTAAAAGACTAAAATGGAAAAACCTAGATCTGCATAAAAGATTCCTTTTAATACAAATACAAATCCTTCTATAAATCAAACATCTTCAAATTTTGATGTTGGCAGTTATATGAAATATCTTAAAAATGTTGATTATTTACATTGAAATCCATTATTTAATACAAAATTTAACATTTTTTCTATTCTTTTTATGTTACCATAAAATAAAATAGTGTAATCTTATTGTGAACTATAAATGAATGATTTTTTTTAGTTTCATTTGAAATACTATTTTGATCTTAATTATTTTTGTTTTAATAAAGTATTATAGATAATATTCGTTAAATTCAAAATTTAAAGATGAACTAACAGAGATGTCCCAATAAATAGAATAATTTATATCGACATTAAGCAATTAGATATAAAGATGATACAATCATAGATTCCACCCACACTAAATCATAAACTTCGGATTAGAGTATTAAATTAAGAATAATTTGAGAAATGTCCAAAATCTCAGAAATTAAAGTTGTGAATGATTTTTCAATTGATTCTTAATGTTTAGATCGTAGTAGTATTCTAGAATAATCATTGGAAAATGATTTGCGTTAATGGCAATAAGAATATAAGATTGATAATTTGATTGTTTAAAAACTTGAAAAAGGTTCAATTTATAAATTATGATTAGAAATAAAAGATATTGATAATTAAATAGTTTAGATTGCAACTTAATTTGATGTTTGTATGAATTTACAATAAAAAACAGAAGCCAAATTTAAAGAATTTTAATAACTTATGAAAGGTACATAATTTATAAAGTTTTCTCGTTCAAATTGTAAGAAATGGGATTAAAGAATGATATTTTATTGTTCTTTTTTAGATTCAATATGTTGGAAATCAAATTCTACTAAATTTCCAACAGCCAAATAAACTATCCCTATAGATTCTATTATATAGATTCATACAAATTACAATAAGTAAAGATATATCTGTTATAATGTAGATATAAATTAATAAAAAAGAATTTTGTTTTACCTCAAAATGCTGAATAAGATTGTTTTTTAGCAATTGAAGCAAAAAATGGTATTAGATTAGAATTACTTGCAGAGAATAAAGAAGATTAATTATTATATGCTAAAATTTTGAATTTATTAATAAACAAGGAAAGAAACATTAAAAACTAAAATTAATATATAATTGAACAATATTGTATGGATATTAATTTAATAAGAAAAGTATTATATATTAATATATAAAAATAGAATTTAGAGGGATCAAAAAAGAATTTCTTAGAAACAATAGATAAATTATAATAAAGTTTTATTTCAACTACTTCAACACTCTTAAAATAAGAGAGAGAAAAAACTAAAACAATTAAAAAGAAATCTTAACATTATGCTTTTTAGAGTAAATTATAATTGGAAGATATGAATAAAGAAAATAAAATGTAGAAAAAATAAATAAAAGAATTACAATTAGAAAATGATTATTTAGAAAGTAGAATAGAATAATTATAAGAATATTACACTTAAAGATAATTATAAATTAAGAGTTCAACTAATCCTTAATAAGTTTAATTATATCAAATAATAAAAGATATAATTGGTATGAATGGAGATCAAAGTATTCATAATGAATCATAATATGAATATTAACCATAAGATTATCATGAAGAAAATATCAAAAATTTATAAAAGCTTTCTACTCTTTATGATAGATAACATAGTAATGAAATAGAATTAAGATAATTCATTAAAGAATTACAGGAAGAGAAATCTTCAATAGCAAATTAATTATAATAATCATAATTAGATTTACATGAATAAGAAATGTATATAATTGAATTAGAAAATATAAATAATCTATTACAAACTAAATTATAAGATGTAAATTAAATTTTAGAATTTAAAGAATAATAGTTTTCTAATTTAGTTTAGGATATGTAAAAATTATAATAAGAAATACCTAAATTAATGTGTAATAATAATTAAAATACTTTAAATATTGAAACTAGAAGACTATAAACTGAAAATGATAAATTAAAAGATACTATACATACTAAAATAAAAGAATTAAAAAAGTAAACATTATTATAATTATTTTAGTTAAATGTTAAAAGAAGAATAAAATTGGATGAATTTTTATGTTTAAATGATTTCTTACATTTGTTATTACATTTGTCCAGATGATTTATCATCTGATATTAATATTACTATTCAAGGATTGTATTATAAATTGTGTGAAAAAGCTTATGGAGAATCATAATCTTAATTAGATAATTTAATCAATTTAATTAGACAAAAAGCTAATTTCTTTTAAAAATAATATAAAGAATAATTTGAATAATTGTTTAAGGATTAATAAACAATATTATGTAGTATAGTATCAAGTATTAAATAAAATCTAATTTTTAGGATTACCATCTCCAAAAACTACTAATTCAAGATAATCATCTCATTTAACTTTATAATTAGATAAGACATTTTAATCTCCAAGTAGAGTTTTTGTAAAAAATAAGGCTAAGTTAAGTAAAGATAATCATCCCTTGGATTCCATATAAATATAATATTTGACTTAATTAATTAAATGAATTAATTCTATATATATATATATATATAATATGATTCATTTTTAAAACTATTCAAGTATATTTTACGGAATAGGTATACCACATTTAAATTCAAACCCAGCTTGATGAAGTAAGGCAACACAGGGATAAATAGGACCTTTTTTAAGTAATTCTGAAGATATGGCTTTGCCTAAAAAATTGCCATTATATGAAAATGCCAGGACTCCTCTATTCATATCTAGTAATATTCCAAGTTCTCCATTATTTTTAAATTTAACACCATATTCAAAACCCTAAATTGAATTACAATAATTACATTAGAATTGCTTCCATTTCTAAATTAACCTACTGTGTAATAAGCATATCCAAAATTATAATCAGAGAATGCTGTTTTGAGATCATATTTATCTGATGTTGAAATACCAATTTTCATTTCATTTTTTGTCATAGCCAAAGGTAAAATTTTCCAAAAATGAATTCCTTATTAGAAACCAACAGAAGAAGTGACTGTTTTAAATGTATATTCATCTTCTTGTAAAGTAATAGTTGATTGTTTAATTATGATTCCTTAACCACATCTATCAAAAACGAAGTTAGAAACCCCAACTTGATTAAATGATAAGTATTAAGGTATCTTCTTAATTATTTATATTGGTTCTTTATTTTTAATAGATTATTCTAAATTAATAATTTCTTTTCTAATTTTTGTGAAATCTTGTTATTCAAGTAGAGGTTATATTTTATTGAAATATAGACATTCAATACTACATACTTTTTCATTTATAAATATTGAATTAATATTGTTTTGACACATCTCAAAATTTATACATTTCTCATTTAATTATATTTGTTGTGTTCTTTATTCTATTACAGGTTACTTAGGGGGAGGCTTTTCAATTTTTTTAGGTTAGATTATTTATGATTTAATGAGAATTTCATCATAAGCTTCTTGTAAAGCTGACTTTTTAATAGATCTAAACTATTTTGATTGGCATTAAACACATTCATAGTTTTTACCAAATATTTCTTGTAGACACTTCTTACAATACATAAATCCACACTTTTCACATATTTAAGCTTTGATAGCTAATTTTATACAAAGGGAGCAGTCAAAACCTGTTTCTGTCATTTTGTTGAATTTTTATTTAAAATTAATATATAAATAATTAGAAAATTGCTATTTATAATTTGCTTTATGAATTTACAGAATCACATTTAACTCATATAAACACTTTGATTGGAACTACCTTTATTAGTGAATTATCCTTCAAATGCTAATCTGTCCATCTTTTATTTGATTTCCAATTCTTTTTTGATATTTTGATATTTTTATAATAATCTATATATTATAAGATGTAACTGTACTTTTCTAAGTCGAGACTACGATTTTTCTTTTATTCATCTTATCCTCCTTTAATTCTTTATTGAAGAGCATTGATTTCATTTCTATGTCTCATTTTTAATTGTTTCAACTAAGTGTTTATTTTATAAGTCCTTTCTATTTAGTATTTCTAATAGTCAACTTCTTCTATTTAGACTCTCTATTCTTTGATTTTCTATGCCTCAACATAACAAAAAATTAAATAAATGTATACTTCTTTTGTTTAGCTAAATATTCTTCTCTTTTTTTGAGATTGAGAACATCAGAAGATTCTTTTGGCCTTGAAGGAATAGTTCTTTCTAATTCCTCAGAGACTTTATTAAATTCATTTTATTATTTGTTTAATAATTCTGATTCTACAGCTGAAGCTTCATCATTAAATTTTTACATCTTCTCATCCCAGAATTGATTGAATTAATTATATTCTTCAAGATGAGCTCTTTCAATTTCTTACTCTTATTAATTATGGGCCTATTGCATTTCTTTTCTCCTTCTTTATACCAATTATTTTTTCAACTCCACTATTCTTTTTTGAGCAGCATCTGCCTGCATATATTCTGCAGATTTCTCACATGAATCTTGATATTGCAAAAGTGTTTTTATATATTATTCAACCTCATTAGCAGTATTAAGATTTGGTTCATTAGGGAAAAGATCTTGAGACATTAATGCTTTGATATTTTGTAATTAATAAAATTTTCATTTTTATAAGAATATAACTATACAAGTAATATCGTCCCTTGCTAAACTGTTCTGTAAATAAGTAAAAAAAATATACTCTACGCCATGCCTACGTGGCTTCAATTATAATACGTTCAGCTGCTTAATCAGGATTATCTTTTTCCAAAAATGGAATTACAATACTCATTACCTAATTGAATATTAAAGTACCTCTTCATTACTCATATATTCCCAAACTCCATCAGATGCAATTACAATAAATTGATCTTATGCACTAATAGAGAATTGTTTGATTTCAGGTTCAGCAATAACTCCAGCTTAAGCACCTACTTTATCACCAAAAGATCTAGTCATTGCCAATCCAGGAGCTTAAATATAAGATAACCAAACTCTAAATGGTCCTACACCATTTCCATGAAAATCTAAAGATAATAATAGATTCACAACCCTTTTATTATTCAACTCTTCCTCCTGCATCTAAAATTCGAATTTTTTCTTATGGATCATCTGGTTTTTGATCTTTACTTAATTCCACTACTTTCCATCCATTATCAAATCTACACATAATGGCTCTAGAATCACCAACATTTGCAGAGTATATCTATATCATTTAAATTAGATACCATATCTTTTTTTATTAGTAAAGATACAGTTGTTGATCCAGATAAGTTTGTATCAATTTCTGAATTCCATAATTCTTTGTTTGTAATTGCAAAAGCCTTTGAAATTTGATCATCCAAATCACTTGTTTCTTTCAATTATTTTCCTAAATGTTTTGGCAATTATTATTTAATCTAATTAGAAACCATATGACCATATTATCCATGTCCATCACAAACTGCAAAGAACTTATAACCCATACTATTAATAAGAATATTTTAAACTTTTCTAAATTCTTTGGACATAAAATAGCTGCATCTTAATTTATTTTTGTTGCCTTATTAGGTTAACAACCAGCCTTAGTTCTCATTGCAAATTAAACTGAATTTCTTTTTCCTTATCTCCTCTCTGGTGTAATTGATTTTCTAATGCCATCTGTCTCTGATATTTATTTTTTCCTTTATAATTATTAATCACTTAATTGAAGAGAAGGTAATTTGTTCACTTTTCCCTTATAAATCAATACTGTCTACTCTATCTTACTCAACTTTTTCAAAGGAGGTAAAGCAGGTAATGATACATTCCCTTAAAACTTACTACTTGTAGGACCTACATCAACACTTTCAGGATATCTAGGCAATAATCTCAATAAGTTCGCTTTTTATGGAGAATACATCCCTACAGGCATCAGACTATTGTCTCTTTGTAATTTTGCGAAAGAAGACCATTAAGGGTGCATTATTATTTTAATTAATTTTACAATCGTTATAACAATATTATTATGCCAGCTGAATGTGTGAAGGTTATAGTTAGAGTCAGACCATTTAATTAGAAAGAAAGAGACAATGGTAGTAAACCATGTGTAAATGCAAATGAAAGTACAAATTCTGTAGAACTCTTTAGAGTATTAATGCAAAATTTATTGTATTACTAGAATTAAGATAATGATTAAAAACAATTTACCTATGATTATGTATTTGGACCAGATACACCTCAACTTTAAATATATTAATAAACTGCATTTAATTTGGTAGAGTCTGTGGCTGAAGGATATAACGGAACCATTTTTGCATATGGTTAAACTGGTATACTATATGAATTATCCTATAGGTTGTGGTAAGACATTCACAATGATTGGAGATCCATAAAATGTATATTCAATCACATAAATCTTAGGATAACATGAAAGGTATTATACCAAGAACATTTGAATAGATAATCAATATTATCAATAATAATTCTGATTCAAATAAGAAATTCTTATTGAGATGTTCATATATTGAAATTTACAATGAAGAAATACATGATTTATTAAGTAAGGATGTTAAATAAAGATATGAATTAAAAGAAGGATAATAAGGAGTATTTGTTAAGGATTTGAATATTCCAATAGTGAAAACATTGTAAGAGATGGATAAATATATGGTATTAGGAGCATAGAATAGATCAGTTGGAGCTACAGCAATGAATAAGGAATCAAGTAGAAGTCATTGTATTTTTACAGTTTATATTGAATGTTCAATGAATGATGAAAAAGGAAATGAACGTATTACTGCTGGAAAATTGAATTTAGTAGATTTAGCAGGAAGTGAAAGATAATCTAAAACATAAGCTACAGGAGATAGATTAAAAGAAGCAACTAAAATTAATTTATCATTATCTGCATTAGGAAATGTGATTTCAGCTTTAGTTGATGGTAAAACATAACATATACCATACAGGGATTCTAAATTAACTAGATTATTATAGGATTCATTAGGTGGTAATACTAAGACTATAATGATTACTGCCATTTCTCCATCTGATTTTAATTATGAAGAGACATTATCAAGTTTAAGATATGCTTCTAGAGCTAAAATGATTAAAAATCAACCAAAAGTAAATGAAGATCCCAAAGATGCTTTATTAAAGGAATAAGCTGAAGAAATTAAGAAACTAAGAGAATTATTAATGAAATAAAATTAAGACAATGGAGATCGTTAGAATGTTGATAATAATGGAAAATTAAATAATGTTAATAATAATAATCATCATGAATAAATAAATTAATTCAAAGAGATTAATAATTAATTATTATAAGAGAAATAAAGATATGAAAATGAAATGAAATAAAAAAGTGAATAAGCTGAATAAGAAAGATAAGCAAGATAAAGATTAGAAGAATTATTAAAAGAAAAGGAATAAATGATGATTAAAGGTGGTAAAGGAACAGATGATGATAAAAATAAATATAAGAAAATGTAATAAGCTATAGAATAATAAAAAAAAGAACATGAATAATTGAAAATTCAATAAGAATAAAAAGAAAAGGAAATGCTTGAAATTGAAAATAAATATAATAATGTTTAAGATGAAGTTGAAAAATTAAGAAAATAAGTTAAATATTTAAAAAATAAATATGAACAGTAATAAAAAGAATAAGATGAAATGAAATAAGATTTTGAATATGATAAAGAAGAGTTTTTAGATACTATTAGATCATAATCAAAAGAAATTAAATTGGTTACTGGAATTTTGAGAATGATTCTATTACAAGAAGATATAGATAAAATTACTAATTGTTGTGAATGGAATGATGATTTAGAAGAATATAAAATACCTCCATTTAATATTAAAGCTAAGAAAGTCAACTTTCCTAATCTGCCTTATTAAAAAGCTATGGATTTAATTGATGTAGAAAAACAAGAAAGACAAATTGAAATACATCATAGACCATTACCATCAAGTTATAGAGATGTAGAAAACAATAGAAATTAATCACCTGGTAGATAAAGGAAAGGTATAAATATGTAATCAAAGTAGGAGAATCATAACCAAGAATGAATGGTAATACAGATAATAAGGGATTAAGCATTGTAGAGAAAACTAAATTAAATTAATAACTTTTAGAAATTTATGAAGGAAAAACAAATAAAAATTAAAAAGATGAATTGCAATAATAATAATAATAATTATAAAAAAGAGTAAATTAAAAAATTATTCTAAATCCTATTGATAATAGAGGCAATCCAGTTCCTAATCTTAATAATTAATGTGAAGCAATAATTATTAATAATAATTAAAATAATAATTAAAATACTTCTCAAATTACTCCTCCTTTAGTTAAAAAAAGTAATCATATAAATTTAATATTTTAGTTTCAAATTTAAATCCTTTAGATTAAAAACCTCCCACAGGTAGATTGGCTTAACAACAAAAAATTTAATAATAATACTGATATATATATATATAAAATCATTCTTAATAAATATGCGCTCCCAATTACCAAACTTATAAAATATTATTGTCTTCAACACTAGAAATGATATATTTTTCATTAAGATTCCAATCTAAATCAGAAACTTTAGATCTATGTCCTCCATGAACAAACTATATTGAATTAATATAAATATTACCAATAATTCAGGTGGTCCATCTTATGCTTCTTCTGGTGTTTATGATCTTCCACATCTACCAAAATCCCAAATCATACATCTTCTATCAGCTGAACTACTAACAAATATTTTCATATTATGTGGTGACCATTTCAAAGATAAAATTTAATCACCATGACTTTCAAAAGTATGAAGTGGTTTTTCTGTATTTCTCATATCAAATAGATTGATTCTCTTATCTTCTGATCCAGTAATAAAAAAGTATTCATTAAATGGATTAAAATCTAAACAATATATATCACCAGCATGTGTTTAAATATCACTTAATGGTTATGGTTTACGAGTATCCCAACTATTTAATAATTATTATTATTACATTCTCACATGTCTATCATCTCCACATGAACCAAATATATCTGGATGATATCTATGCCAACATACATCTTCAATTTATAAATTATTTGCTTAAAATGTTTATTTTGGTTCTGGTGCATTAGTTTCAACATCCCAAATACATAATTTACCATCATAATCTCCTGTTAATAGATGTCCTAATTTCTATTCACTCCAAGACATACCAAATCTATAATAAATTTGATATATTATATATACCCTTCTTTTTAATGTCCTACTAATTTCAAATCAGGTTTTACTAAATTATTAGATGGCTATGAGGGATGCTTTATATAATCAAAAATATGAATTTCTCCTTTTGTTGTGAAAGTGGCAATAATATTTGATTTTTATGGCATGTATCTTGCTCTATTTACTTCTCCTTCATGGTTAATTCTTACATCAATTTCTATTCTACTCTCTCCAGTAGCTTTACCTATACCACTTGGTTCATTCTATTTATATTCTGAAGGGTCTTATTATACATCAGAATCTCTTGGCAATCGTACCTTAAATAATTATTAGTTTTCTGTACTTTAGCAATCATCAATGAATTCATCTCATTATCCGCAGTATTTGTTCCAATTATCAATTTATGAATTGAATAATCTTAACCTGGTGGTGTTTCCTTTTTTGGAAGCCATTATACTGTCAAAGATGGCCACTCAACTGGATGACTAATTGCTAAATCATATAGAAATGGAGCATTCTTTTTCCATATTTTATATTCTTCATTAATTGTAGCTTCTTATGATTATTCATCAAATATCTAATCTTAATTTGCTGCCATTTTGGCTCCAAAAATTAAATTAATTAACTTTCATTATAAAAAATCAATTAATCATTTCTTCATCATCTTCCTCTTCTTACTATAATTCATTTAACACATTTAAGTGTTCAATTTAAGTATCATACCATATTACTCCATTTGATGGTAAATCTCTAACACTTGGTGATAATATTTCAATCCAATTTTTAACTTTTCCAAATATTTATTATAAATTTTGTATTCTCTTACTCTTTTTAAATGCATCATTCTTATCCCAAAATTCTAATGTAGTCATTCCTTTCATTGCCAAATACCAATTCCAACCTGAAAAAGCTGATAACATGAAAAACAAAGAAATATTTAAGGGCCATACTAATGAAAATGCTTTTGATTGTTAAACTCTGTACTCTTGAAATTGATTGCTATCTCCAGTTAAACCAATACCTCATTACTATATTTAAATTCAAAATTGAAATGTAAAATGTTCCTATCACAATATGAGTTAAAAACAAAATAAAGTATCGATGATTCTAATGTCCAACACATTATCCAACCCATGGACAATGATGATCCATTTTCAATACACATTTATTACATATACTACAATGATGTGTTCTCTAAGGTTTTGGTAAACAACATTTATCACAATATTTTAAAGTACTTTGGTCTAATTTTATTGCTATTTATGATTTATTGAATTAGCATTTTATTGGATCATAAATAAATGGACCTTCTACTTTATCATCTTTTTTTATAAATATATCTGATGTTAATCCTGGAGACACTATTAATACCAATCCATAATTAAATATCACATTGAATGCTAAATTATCAATTCTCTATTTACCTTCAATCAATCCAATCAACATCAATACAATAATTAATACTTTATTCCTGTAAACCAAATAATATAATAGCATAGTGTCATAGATAAATGAATAAACAATAAAATAATATAAAACCATAAAGAATCCTATTAATAAAATCCCCACAAATTTCAATGCGAGACTATATATCTATTTTATTTTTCGTTTCTCATTCCGATTTAGTTTATTCATATTTAATTTTTTTATATAATATATAAATATATATTTTAGTCTATTGTGTAGAATGCTTAATTTTTTAATTTTCTAATGATAATGCTACTTAATAACTACTATATATACAGAATTAATACTTCTTATATTTAAAACCAATTCATGCAACTCTGATAACAAATAATCTTTTTGGTAAAATTAAATATAGAATTTACTCCATCAAAAATATATAAGAATTAATAAGAGCTAATTTAGTTAACTTCATTGAATTATAACAAAATATCAAATCATTTCAACTATTGGCTAAATTAATAGAATGAATATACTAAAAAACAACAAAATGTTAAATGATATTTCTTTCATATATGGTATAATTATATATTTTTATAACTATTAGAAAGTATATAANCTATAATTCATTTAACACATTTAAGTGTTCAATTTAAGTATCATACCATATTACTCCATTTGATGGTAAATCTCTAACACTTGGTGATAATATTTCAATCCAATTTTTAACTTTTCCAAATATTTATTATAAATTTTGTATTCTCTTACTCTTTTTAAATGCATCATTCTTATCCCAAAATTCTAATGTAGTCATTCCTTTCATTGCCAAATACCAATTCCAACCTGAAAAAGCTGATAACATGAAAAACAAAGAAATATTTAAGGGCCATACTAATGAAAATGCTTTTGATTGTTAAACTCTGTACTCTTGAAATTGATTGCTATCTCCAGTTAAACCAATACCTCATTACTATATTTAAATTCAAAATTGAAATGTAAAATGTTCCTATCACAATATGAGTTAAAAACAAAATAAAGTATCGATGATTCTAATGTCCAACACATTATCCAACCCATGGACAATGATGATCCATTTTCAATACACATTTATTACATATACTACAATGATGTGTTCTCTAAGGTTTTGGTAAACAACATTTATCACAATATTTTAAAGTACTTTGGTCTAATTTTATTGCTATTTATGATTTATTGAATTAGCATTTTATTGGATCATAAATAAATGGACCTTCTACTTTATCATCTTTTTTTATAAATATATCTGATGTTAATCCTGGAGACACTATTAATACCAATCCATAATTAAATATCACATTGAATGCTAAATTATCAATTCTCTATTTACCTTCAATCAATCCAATCAACATCAATACAATAATTAATACTTTATTCCTGTAAACCAAATAATATAATAGCATAGTGTCATAGATAAATGAATAAACAATAAAATAATATAAAACCATAAAGAATCCTATTAATAAAATCCCCACAAATTTCAATGCGAGACTATATATCTATTTTATTTTTCGTTTCTCATTCCGATTTAGTTTATTCATATTTAATTTTTTTATATAATATATAAATATATATTTTAGTCTATTGTGTAGAATGCTTAATTTTTTAATTTTCTAATGATAATGCTACTTAATAACTACTATATATACAGAATTAATACTTCTTATATTTAAAACCAATTCATGCAACTCTGATAACAAATAATCTTTTTGGTAAAATTAAATATAGAATTTACTCCATCAAAAATATATAAGAATTAATAAGAGCTAATTTAGTTAACTTCATTGAATTATAACAAAATATCAAATCATTTCAACTATTGGCTAAATTAATAGAATGAATATACTAAAAAACAACAAAATGTTAAATGATATTTCTTTCATATATGGTATAATTATATATTTTTATAACTATTAGAAAGTATATATTGATTAATTTACATATAATTGTATAAGTAAAAATTTATTATAAATCCAAGTAATATATTATCAATGGGAAATTAATGTACTGCAATAGATCATTGTTCAAAAGCAGAAGTCATATTTGATACTACTAATAATGATTTATATACAGAGAATATTGAATTTACTGATAGGCCATCTGAAGACTTTGTTTAATCAATACGAATGAGTTATAGACCTTAATAATCAATTCCAATATAGAAAGTATAGGTTCCAATAGAAATTGAAGATAAAATAGAAGAACGACCAACTTATTAGTTTCCAGATGGAGTTCTCTATACAGGGTAATGGAAAGGTACAATACGAGAAGGTCATGGAATACAAGAATGTAAAAAGATTATAAAAATAATAAGGGCCGGATGGAGCAAGGTATGAAGGACAATTTCATAATAATGTACCTCATGGAAGAGGGAAATTTACTCATGCTGATGGAGATATTTATGAAGGAGAATGGAATCAAGGATAAGCAGAGGGATTTGGAACTTTTTATTATAAACTGAATGGAAAGTATGAAGGAGAATGGAAAGAAGATGTATAACATGGATTTGGGAAATAAGAGTGGCCAGATGGATCAAGATATGAAGGTAATTATGTAAATGGAATGAAACATGGGGAAGGAAATTATTATTGGGCTGATGGAACTTCTTATTAAGGGGAATGGGCATAGAATTAATTTAATGGTTAAGGAGCATATATATGGGCTAATGGAAGATAGTATGAAGGATAATTTCTTAATGGTTTTATGCATGGATATGGAGTATACAAATGGCCAGATGGGAAATCATATTAAGGAGAGTTTAAGAATGATAAAAAAGATGGTTTTGGAGTTTATACTTGGGCTGATGGCAAGAGATATGAGGGAAGCTTTGTAGAAGGATTATAAAATGGAAGAGGAACTATGGTATTTTAAGATGGTACGATTAAATAAGGTATTTGGGAAAAGGGAAAGAGAATGGGATGGTTGGATGATAATAATGAGTTACAGAAAAGTTTGATAATGAGTTAATATGGAAATTAAAGTTTATATTAAAGTTAATTGCCAAGTTAAATTAGAATGGTTTAAGATTGATTTAGATATTTATTTTTACTAATAATTAAAATTGATATTATCTAATAAATAAAATGCAATAATTTGAGGAATAATAATAATTTGATGAATGGATATGTATATGAAGTAATGGCTGGACAAGATGGATAAGTAATTGAGATAAATGGAAATTTATAAATAAATAAATAAATAATATTTAATATACTAAAGATATGTATTATATAAGGTTGTATTAATAATAATTTAAAATTGAATAATTTTTATATCAAAAAGAAATAATATTCAAAAAAACATGAAGAATTAAATTATGAAAATTGATTTGATTTATTGTTAAGAAATTATAAAAAAATAACAAATACATATAAATATATATAGATAGTTTGTTAGAAAGTATAAAAGTATAATTATAACTATAAATATGTAATTTTTTATTTATATATTACTTTATTATTTCAGACAGCTGAGGCTCCTGAAATGATTTCACATAATTCTACTGTGATTTTAGCCTATCTAACCTTATTGTATTCAAGAGTCAATTTATCAAGCATTTCTCCTGCATTCTTAGAAGCATTTTCCATAGCATTCATTCTAGAAGATGTTTCACTAGCAAAATTATTCAACATTGCATGATAAAAAGCAGTTGCCACATAGTATTCATACATGTAATTCTAGACGAATTCCTTTTCAGGTTCTGCTGTATCATATTTAGTAACCAATCTAAATTAAGCAATAAAGTTCTTTCTATTGAGTAAATCAACACGCTTAACAACTTATTAAACAACATTCTTAAATTAATTGAAAATGACAGAAATTTAATCAATGTCTTCTGTAACATTAAGTTGTATTTGATGTGCAATAGAAGAACTATTTGCAAAATTAATTGGTGTTTAAATAGCTGTTATAGCTTGAGTAAGTAATTCAGGGAAGGCTCTTTATAGGGCTCCCAAGGACTTAATGTAAAAATAATATTTTTTACTTTTTCTCCAACCAAGAATAATTTATAAGCATTACGATTTTATCTAACAATGCTTCTTGTTTCTCTAATGATTGATGAATTGATGCCACCACAAAGTCCTTTATCAGATGTAATTGGAACAATTAAAGTCTTATTAATCTTAAATGTTAATTGCTTCTTTTATAGATAAGTTTCTTAGGCAAATAAATCTTAGATTGAACGTATTCCAAAGTGCTTTCCATTCTCTAATCTCTAAACATCTTGTTTCATCTTAGATGCTGCAACCATCTTCATAGCTTTGGTAATCTTTCTAATTGATCCCACAGACTTCATTCTTTGCTTCAATTATTTCAGATTCAATGTGGCGAATGCATACTAAGGTACTGGAGTAAAGCTACTCCATAGACCGAGTGTGGCACCCTATAATCTTTACATTTTTAATTAAATAAATAAATCTTTATCACAAAAGAGTATATTATTTTAAATCTCAACCGTAATTAAAATTAAAGAATGCTCCACACTCTTCGCTCCATACAAGCTCCTTTATCCCTTAATAATACTGCTCGTGCACTCTTCGCCAAATTTGTCAGAGACAAGCCTCATCTTAATGTCGGTACTATAGGACATATAGATCATGGTAAAACAACTCTTACTTCTGCCATCACAAAAGTCTTGGCTAAATAATAGTAATTATAAAATATAAAGGAAATAGACTTGCTGAATTCCAAGAATATGGTAAAATTGATAAGGCTCCTGAAGAGAAGGCTCGTGGTATCACAATCAATAGTGCTACAGTGGAATATCAAACAAAAACTAGACATTATGGGTAATAATTAATGCTATAATTTATTTCACAGTCATGTAGATTGTCCAGGACATATTGATTACGTCAAAAATATGATTACAGGAGCTGCTAAGATGGATGCTGCCATTTTAGTTGTGGCTGCCACAGATGGTTGCATGGCTTAAACACGTGAACATGTGCTTTTATGTCGTTAAGTTGGTGTGGAGACTATTATTGTGTTTGTGAATAAAATAGATTTAGCCAAAGATCCAGAAATCCATGAATTGGTAGAGATGGAAATTAGAGAGCTTCTTAGCAAATATGAATATGATGGAGACAATGCAAAGATTGTAAAAGGTTCAGCATTACTTGCATCCAATGATTAAGAACCTGAATTAGGAGAAAAGTCTATACTTTAATTACTTGATACTATGGATAAAGAGATCAAAATACCATAAAGACCAATTGATAAACCATTTTTAATGTCAATAGAAGGCACATATCATATTGCTGGTAGAGGAACAGTTGTAACAGGAACTATTGATTAAGGTAAAGCATCAATCAAAGATAATGTTGAAATTGTTGGATATGGAAAGCCAAAGTAAACTGCAATTGTTGGAGTTGAAACTTTCAAAAAACAACTTGATTTTGGAGAAGCTGGTGATAATGTAGGAATTTTAATTAGAGGTTTAACAAGAGATGATGTTAGAAGAGGATAAGTTTTATGTAAGCCAGGATCATTAACTACTCACAATTGTATTGAATCAAATTTGTACATTTTAAAGGAAGAAGAAGGAGGTCGTAAAAAACCATTCCCTAATGGTTATCGTCCATAAGTAAATGCAAATTATTATTAATCTTAGATGTTCGTAAGAACTGCAGACGTTGCTGTTACATTATAGTTACCAGAGAATATTAAAGTAGGTATGCCAGGAGATAATTTCACTTGTAAATTGAATCTCTCATATAACTTACCACTCTATTAAGGTCAAAGATTTGCATTGAGAGAAGGAGGAAAGACTGTAGCTGCTGGTGTTATTTCTAAAATCTTACCAGATGAAGTTGCACCAACTTCAAAAAAATAAATCTTAGACAAACAAGAAGCAGCTGGTATTATTATATCATTTATAATTATAGAAAAAAAACAAAAGGAAGCTGATGATTCTAAAGCAGCAGCTGCAGCAAAAACAGCCGCAGCAGCAGCAAAACCAGCAGCAGGAGCAAAACCAGCAGCAGGAGGTGCCAAACCTGCAGCCAAAGCACCACCTAAGAAATGAGAATATATATATAATAATAATATAAATATATATATATATAATATATATATATATTTAACTGAATTTATATTTAATAGTTAAATAAATGCTCAAACTTGATTAACAATCATAAGTTACATCTCAACATACCCCTTAATAACCATATAATCAAGAATTAGAATAACATCATGAATCAACAATGTATATGTCTTTAAGTAAATTTTAATTCATTTTTAGATTATCATAAGACTCATTAATAAACATATTCTTAAGCAAATTAGTTTAGTTAACATTCAAAATTATTTGATTTAAGAAAAAAGTACCTTAAAAATAGAGAGGATACTTAAAGAAGATCAGTTTCTCATCATAGTAGAATACCTCCTAATCGATCTCCTCCAAAGACTCAACAGACTAAAAAATAGTATTCACCAAAACAAGAAAATTTTCCAGTTTAACATAAAAAGAAGACTGTTCCAGTTTCTAAAAATTTAGGTAGCAATTTGAGAAATATTCTTAAAACTAATTTTGCTCAATAACCTATTTATGAGGAAAATCCTTAAAATGAAAATATTAGAAAAGAGTATTCTTAGATTGTTTAAATTCCTAATGAATATTAATCAATTGATAGTTATACATTTATAAAAACACTTGGAATTGGAGCAACTGCTGAAGTAAAGATGGCTAGACATAAAGATTTAGAGATTGATGTTGCAATTAAAATATATGATAAAAAGAAAATGAATAATATGCATTTAAAAAATCTAGAAAGAGAAGTTGAAATCTTAAATTAACTTAAACATCCAAACATAATCAATTTATATCATATGTATGAAAATGATAAGTCAATATATTTAATTATGGAATATTCATCTCCAACAAATTTAGAAATTTTTATGAAAGGAAGACCATTTAAAAGAATAAATGAAGATGAAGCTAAAATTATATTTCGACAAATTACAGATGCAATTTATTATATGCATTAATAAGATATATGTCATAGAGATCTAAAATTTGAAAATCTTTTAATAGATTATAATACAAGAAAGATTAAATTAATTGATTTTGGATATTCTATTAAAATTAATGGAAAATAAACTTGTTCATGTGGTACTCCATAATATATGGCTCCTGAATTAGTTAAAAAAGGATCTTATGATCAATCTGTAGATATTTGGGCCTGTGGTATAATCCTTTTTAAAATGGTAACAGGTGTATTCCCTTTTAGAGGTAATTCAGAAAAGGATTTAAATAAAAAAATTTGTTTAGGCAAAATTGAATATCCTTCATTTGTTTCATATTAAGTCAAATAATTAATATCAGGGATGTTAAAAGTAGATTAAAAAGAAAGATTAACAATTCTAGAAGTATAATAAAGTTAATGGTTATAATGAATATTTAATCATTATTTTGTTATTTCGTTTTTAATTACAAATCTCTTATTTTCATTAAATTTCATAATAGTTAATTTTAATTCTTTATCTTTTTCTTTTAATTATCTTTCTCTGATTTCAACATCCATTGTTAATTATTTTCTTTCTTTTTCTAATTCTTTTAATTTTGATTAATTAATTTAATTCTTTTATTCTATTTCTTAAACTAATTCATGCAATTAACTTTCTAAGATTTCAACATCATCTTTACTAATTAATTTCTTTTTCTTTTTCTTATTATATTCTTAAACCCTATTATCAATCCATCTTAATTTCTCAACTTATTTATAACAATTATTATGATTTTATTTTGATTAATTTTCTAATTATCTTAATTATTCTTATAATTACTTAGTTTTTTGTTTTTCCTATTTAAGAATATTCAATTTTTCAAGTTTCTTAAAAATAATAATAATAATATTTACTAATTTTTCATCTTATTCATTAATACCAAGTTAATTTAAAGCTAATTACTATTAATTATGTATTTTCTTTATAGAATTATTCTCTTCCTTTAAGATTTTTTCTAATTCTTATAGATACTTTAATTTATCTTCTAATTTAGTTATTTCTTTATCTTCTAAACTAATTTATAATCTACGTTAATTAATTTCTATTTGATTTTAAAGTGATTTAATTTCAATCATCTATTCTTTGATAATGTTCTCATAATCTTATATTTCTTAAGATTTAATAGGAACTTATTTTTTTTATGTTTATTCTTTATTAATGATTTCATCAAATTTTAAAGCTATATCTAAGATTTATTATTTTAAATCAGCAATATGGGCCATAGATTATTTCTTAGGTGTTCTTGTCTATATAATTACAAGCTGTTTTGTATTTTATTAAGTTGTTAAACTTCGTTATCTAACTTAAATTTATTTTATAGGTGATTGTATTTATTATTATTATTAAGGATCTGTATTATTTTCATTGACTTGCTATTTAATATACTGTACTTTCATTATATTCTAGAGTTGTCTAACAAGCTATATCTCTTTCTTCAATCATAACAATAATTTATATATAATTATTTATAAATCTAAGAATACATATAAAAAATAAATACCAAATATATGATTATAAAATATTAGAAAATATAAAAATCTCTTTATTTATTATAGTAGAATAGATATATAAAATAATATCATTTAATATTCTTACATTTTAGAGCTATTTCTAATAATTTAAGTTATTTCTATTTTTCTTTATTTTCTTATATTGAAAGTGTTTTTCTTTAAAATAGATCATATGTTTATCCATTATCTCTAGCTTAATTTATATTGGTAATTGTTTATTATAATTAAAACTAGTATTTAGTAATAGGTTTAGGAGTATAAATCATTTGTTTAGTATCTGTTAAATTATTATTGCTAAATATTCTATTAATTTAAATGAAATGTTTAATTTATTATTCTTATTAATCTTTATTTCCAATATATTCATCTGTTTTATAATGTTATCTTTTATATTTTTATTATTAAATGATGAATTTTGGAAATTTAAACTTAGTTTATGTTTAACTTTTTGATTCCTAAATTGTATTCTATTGAATTTAATTACTTTATGATCTATCACTATTAATCTTTTATGTTTATTAGATATCAGATAATGGTTACAAAAACCTTTTTGATTTTGGTATTGATTGATAATTATCTTTGATATCCAATTATAGCTTGAATTTATTTTTTTTCAACTCTTATTATTACTTTTATTTTTCTATAAGCAATTATTACTGCTTAATGAATCTATCATCATTTGGATCAAATGCTCTATGAGTCTCATATTTATATTATTCATTTATTGATAAAAACTCCATCACTTTTTTCAATTCTTCTATTGTACTATTTTATTTTTTCTACATCTTGTACTTTACATATTGGGATGAATTCTCTTTGTCAGTAAAGAGATCTAAAATACATTTCAATAATGACTTGATTTAGAAGTAAGCATTTTATCTGAATCTTCTTTTTTTTAACATAAACTATAACTACGAAGATTTTAATGTAAGATAACTCTATCTATTTTCTCTTCTTTAATTTTATGAAACTTTGCTCTATCTAATTAATCGGCATCATCTATCCATCCTGAAATCTCCTCTTCAATCATTAAACAAATAAAATTAGTTGTTAATAAATAAATTTTATATATATATAATATAATTCTTTTATACATATACAAATTAAACACTTTATAGATTAATGATATATTGATCTTAGAATTAAATTGTTAAAATTTCCATATACATTTCTTAGGCTTTGTAAAATTACTTTGCAAACAATAAATAGGTAAGATCAAAATTAATTAATTAATTAATAAATTAATAACAATACTTTAAGTTTTATGTTTTATTTATAATTATCAACTTGAGATCGTTTTATTTTATTGATCCAATATGAAAATGTCCCTTATTATGCTTAACTCAAAACAAATATTAATAATTATAAAGAATCAATAGTTTTAGTAATTATTTAATACTCTAATTTAAATTTTAGATATTTATATAACTTATGACAAAAGTCAATATCATTAAGTAAAAAATTCAATATATTTCACTTTTGTCCTAATCCTTTTAGAGTATCGAATTAAATAAAAAATAAAAATATAAAAATCTTTTGTTATAATATAATTTTAAATTGTAAAGTAATTTTATTTTTGAAAAGTTCTCAAGAGAAAATACTCATCGAATAATTTTTATTATAAAATTTTTGATACTTAATATTTATACAAATAAGTATTTATAAAATAAACACAAAAGCATCAAAATTGCAATATATATTTGCAATTTAGAATCTTCATTTTTTCATTACAGCATCTATTTATTTAGTTTTTTTTAGTATAGATTTTATAGGTAAATCAGTGTACTACTATTATTTATTAAAACTCTAAGGATGTTTAAAGTTGGCATTTGTTAATTCAACATTTGAAAGTTAAGAAAGTGTTTCCTTAATCTGTAACACTTCTTCTGTAGGATTATAAACACAAACAATCACACAATTTTCAAAATCAATTGAATAAGTTTTACCTTTAATTATCTATCTTCCCTTAGTGTCATACCTCTATTTTGATTGTATAGATTTTTGTTATTTGTTTATATTGATAAACGGCTCTTCTGGTATAAAATCATCCCTATCCTCTATATGTATATTAATTTGGAGTAATAATTTTGGACCAAGACTTGATTTATTCATTTATTTTTAATTTTTAGATTTTTAATAGGTACTACAAGCAATTTACTATTGTATATATCAACAATATTATGAATACCAGTTCTAAAGTAAAAAGGAAGAAGTTTAAACTAAAATTTTAGAATGGGATTGTACATAAAAAATGAAAAATTTAAGTTTAAAAAAAATCAGAAAGAACTTCAAATAATTTAAAGTGGAATTTTAATAAAAATAAAACTGAATTAAATTATTATAATAAATAATTTATGGGTAGTACATGCAAAAATATTTGTAAATAATAAGTAGCAGAAAAAGAATTAAATATTAAGGTTATGAAAAAAGTAAAGTTAAAATAAAAATAACATTCAAATGGAGATTCTAAAACTGATCCTTATTGTTCACCCTAATTATTAATAAAAGAAGAATCAATTGGAGATGAGTCTAAATTTAGTCATACTTAAAATGATTAACCACTATTTGTTAAGACAAAACAAATCAATAGCATTGCTGTCCCAACTGATAGAAAAAATCGGTTTCTAAATGATTAAGAGTTAGAAGTCAAGTATTTGATTAAATAAAAGTATGTTATATTAATGATATGATAAGTTTGTTAAAAGAATAAGAAGAATTATAAAGATTGTAAATAGAGTTTGAAATGTAAAAGTAATTACAATAAGAAGAATATGATAGAAAATAAAAAGAAAAAGAGAAATCTTAATAAGAACTTGAGAATTAATTTTCTTTCTAAAACTCATTTAAACAAGCTTAAATTGAATAACCATATGTTTAATCCTCCTCTAATCCTTATTTACCAAGATAAACATCTTAATTTGCACCAAAAAAAGCAGATTGTGATACTGTTTCTTAAAAATCTCAAATTTCCAAAACACCAACAATACCTTTAAAAGATCAATAAGTATCACCTAAAAGTGATATCATGAGAAAAAGTGCTTTAAAAAAGATTAAACAAAACAAAGAAGAAATAGCAAGTAATAATGCAAGTATTGGTACTCCTAAAAATGAGACAAAAAGGAAATAATAATCATAAGATGCTTTTGAAAAAATGTTTAGTGAATGTTGTTCTTTTGATGAAAGAAGTTAAAGTGGAAGTCATAAAACAGTAAAAAGTGTAAAAAGTATACTAAAAAAAAATACATCTTTATCTTAAAGAAGTATTTCTATGGGAAAGAATTCTATTAAATCAAGTCATACTGTGTTTAAAATTAAATAAACTAAAAAAGTTAGATTTTCTAATGATACTAATTTTAATAATGAAAGAAAAGGTGTTCCTAAACTAAAAAGAAATTGGTGGGAATTTTGAAATTCAAACGTCAATTATGAATTTAACTTACTTTAATCTTTGATACTAATATGTTGTTATATATATTAATGTGTTAACTGTTTCATTAGTTATTTTATGTTAATTTTTATTTGATTACATTTTCTAAAGTTTCTAAATCTTAAGCAAACTTTCTAATTCCTTCATTTAATTTTTCAGTACCCATTGCATCTTCTATTATATAATAAATAATATAATATTACAATTCATTTCCCATCTATAAGTTTTTTCATCAACATTTACTTTCTCAATATTTAATTTCTCCAAATTTTCTAATCTCAATTTTGGTTCTAATACTGTCCCTTCTAAACTTTATAAATCATTAAGTAATTTAATTGGAATAGTCATCCTATCACAACCACATAATTCTGTTGCTTCATCTACTAAACGTAATGATGCAGCCTATAATAATTAATAAAATCTCATTATATACCATAACAATAGTATCATATTTGAATTTCTTAAAACTATTCCAAATACTAGTTACTAATTTTACACCTGGATGATTTTATTTAGAATAATCTTCACCACTTTTATTTTTTGTAAACCAATCTAAAATTCTACCAACAAATGGTGAAATCAATCTAACACCTGCTTATGCACAAGCTAAAGCTTAATGATAATTAAAAATGAGTGTCATATTGCATTATATTCCTTCTTTTTTTAATGCTTTAGCTGCTTAAATTCCTTCCCATGTACTAGCAATTTTTATAAGAATTCTCTCTTTAGAAATACCAGCTTATTCATATAAGAGAATAATCCTTTTAGCTTTATCAATAGTTGCTTATTTATCATAACTTAAACGAGCATCTACTTCAGTTGAAACATAGCCTGGAACTAACTTAAGGATTTCTAATCCAAAATTGACACTCAATTAATCTGTTATTAATCCAATAACACTTTTTTGTTCTTCTGGATTTAATGTATTAAAATTGAATTATGGTATTTCTGGTTCAACAATTTCTTAATTTTCTGGTTCATCCTTCTTCTTTCTAGAATTTGTTCTTTTTGGTTATTTTTAACTTAAGGTTAATAAAGAGACATACACTGGTTATTTTGAGACTTAATAAGCTTTAATTCCTTTTTAGATAGCATCATCAATCAAGGCTTGATATTCTGGTAATTTGGCAGCTTCAAGTATTAAACTTGGATTAGTGGTGGCATCTTAAGGTTAGAATTTTTAGATATCATTTATCTTGCCTGTATCTGCTACTACCACAGTATGCTAGAATGAGTATAGATGATAAATACATCTCTAAGAGAATTAAGAGCATTTGGATTTGATTTAACTTTCTTAGATGGTGAGGAACCATCATGTTATACTTCAGCAGCGTCCATAATTAAATAATAATACTTTAACACATTTTAAGTATTTTGAGTGGAATTTATACTAAATTATATTTAATAAAATCGCGCCTAAAATATGAGTGCAGAAAATGAAATACAAGAAGAAAGAAATAATGAAGAATAGTATAGAAATTGGAAATAGAACATTCCATTTATGTATGAAATCTGCATCAATCATCAAAACAACTGGCCATCCTTAACAGTTTGTTGGTTGAATGAACTTGAAATGTCTTTTGCATTATTATCATAGTGATCAAAATGACAATGAAATACATAGATTAGTAGTTGCCACTTAGACCAATAATTAAGAATAGGACTATATAAAATTGCTTAAAGTTGCTATTCCTAAACAAATAGATGAATAATTAGATTACACATTGTTAAATAACATTTGTATCTATAATTAAATATCTAAAAGGGAAAACATAAGGAGTGGGTAAAGTATAAGAAGAATTGTAAATTCCAGTAGAAGTTGAAATTAATCGAGTTCGATAATAACCTAATAATCAATATATATTAGCAGCTTAAGCAGGAGATGGTGAAGTTGGTACTAATTTAATTAATATTTATAGGCATATATGACTTAAGTAAATAATCAAAAGTGTAAGCTTTAAAAGGATAGATGAAAGAAGGTTATGGATTATCTTGGAATCTTATTAATTGTGGATAATTATTATCTGCTAGTTATGATCATAAAATATATCATTGGGATTCTATAACAGGATAATTGATAAAGTAATACAATTTTCATTCAGCTGAAGTTGAAGATATTTGTTGGCATCCTTAAGATCCAAATATATTTATATCATGTTCTGATGATAAAACATTTGCTATGTAAAATTATATTAATATTATAATCTAGTTGTGATATTAGAACAAATCAAGGAGTTACAATATAATAAGAAGCACATTCATAAGAAATTAATTGTGCACAATTTAATAATTTCTAATCTAATTTATTTGCAACTGGTTCTAATGATGCTTAAATTAAAATGTTTGATATGAATAAACCAGAGGAAGATATCCATACATTTTCAAATCATGAAGATGCCATTTATAGTCTATAATGGTCTCCTCATTAAAGAAATTTACTTGCATCTGGTTCTGTTGATACTAAAATTGTTGTATGGGATTATTATAAAATTGGAAATGAAATTAAAGCTGAAGATGAAAAAGATGGTCCATCTGAATTATTGGTATATCTATATATATAATTATATTAATTAGTTTTATCATGGAGGACATAGATCTAAAGTAAATGATTTATCTTGGAATGTTAATCATAAAAATTTATTTGCAAGTGTAGAATAAGAGAAAAATATCCTTTAAATTTGGAAAATTTAACAATAATTATGGGAAGAAGATGAAAATGATGAATATATCAAATCTCTAGTTTGAAAAAATATTATTTATAAAAATTATAAAAAAATTATTAAAGAAATACATAAAACTTATTTATCACATAAGAAGTTTTGTTTGATAATTAATTAGAAAATAATGTCAAAGTTTTTATAAGATTAAGATAATCAGACTGAAAGTGATAGTGATAATTAATTTAAATAATAAAATTCCTTCAATTCCAAGTTTTTCTAAAAACTTCAATTTTAAAGCAGTGATGATGATAATCAAATTAATGATGATAATAATTTTAAACAATAAAATTCCATCAAAACTGTATTCTTATAAAATAATCCAAATTAAAGTGATGATGAAGGATAGAATCATTAAAAAATAATTAATAATATCTCTTATCATTCTAAAGATAAGGATAATACCAATGCATAACAACTAGATTAAACTGATTTTTAAAAAGAATAAAATGTTAAAAGAAAAAAAAAATAAAAAAAACATCTAAATGATGAAAAAAATTAATAAATATAATAAGAATTAATTAAAGATAATGCAAAAAAAACAAAAAAATTAAAAGTTGCTGCTTAATTAGCATTAGAAATGTAAGAACAAAAAAGAGCTATTTAATAAGAAGAGAGAAGACTCGAATTAATTTAATATGAAGAAGAGGAATAATTTTAAAAAGAAGAATAAATGCGTATTGATAAATAGAATTAAAATAAATCAGGTTTTTATCAAAATATTTAAATTAAATGTGGCACTCTCAAATAACAACAAAAATAATTTTAAGAAACTCTTAGAAAATAAAAATTAATTGAGGAGTTGATAAAATAAGAATAATAATAATAATAATAATAATAATAATAATAATAATAATAATAATAATAATAATAATAATAATAATAATTATAGTATAAAAAAAATAAAAATAATTATTCATAAAAAGAATTTTATGCTTGCTCTATTTTAGGTGATTTTGAAGCAGGAAAAACTACAATAATCAGAGGATTAATTAATTTTATGAAAAAAATAGGCTTTTCTATTGAAAATTTTGGTTATTCATATGTTTGTCAACCAACTTAAAATATTGAAAAGTTGTTTGTTTAAATGCAATCCTATTATCCTGTAGATTATTAAAACTAAAAATTTATATTTTATGATCGACCTTAACAGTATAAAAATTTCCTAACTTATCCAAATTGTGATATAGCAATAGTAATTGTTGATATAATACAAGGTTTAGATTCAAAAAGTATCAAAGATATTGAATATCTTAAATTACGGTAGATCCCTTTTATTATTGTTCTTAATAAACTTGATAGATGCTTTGAATAAAGAAACATACATTAATTAGCATATCAATAATTATAAAATTAAACAAAAAATTGTAAAATTATTTTTAATGAACATTTGAAAAATTTATTGAAGTAGTTAGCCAAAAAGAATTTGAAGGCAGCTCTATATTGGGAATTAGCAGAATCTAAAACCCACATACAAATAGTACCTACTTCAGGAAATTTTGGAATAGGTTATGAAGATTTATTAGCTACAATTGTAAAATATCTTCCAATTTATCCGATATTGAACAATTAGCCTGAATATTTAGTGTTAAATAATAAGGATTATGAATAAAATTAATCAATAATAGAGTGTTTAATAATTAATGGACATATAAAAAGAGGAGATTATGCATTAATTGCAGTAGATGGATATCCAACTTCTATAAGAGTATAAAATCTTTAAGAAATAAATAAAGAAATTAAAATGACTTATTTTGATAAAAATTGGGTTTCAGTTAATGAAGTTAAAACAAAGTAAGCATTTGTAAGAATAATAACTGAAAAATTATAATCAATTTTTTAAGGTAGTTAATTTAAAATTGCTAATTCAGATGAGGCAGTTTAAGAAGCATACGAGTATATTAAAAATTAATTTTTTAAATCTTTGTCAAATATTGAACTTGATAATGAAGGAGTTGGTGCTTTTGCTTAAGATTAAGCTTCACTTCTTAAATTAGTGCAATTTCTATAATAAAATAAAATTTAGATTTGTTTTTCTAATATAGGAATAGTTTCCAAAGATCAAATCTTAAAGTTTGTTAGAAAATGTTAAAAAAAGTAAAAGCAGGCCAACCAAAAGTAAAATATTATTTAATAATTAGATAAGAATGTATTTTAGCTTTTGGAATTAATATTTAATTGGATATTATAGATTTTGCTAAATAACATTAAATATAAATTATTTCTGATGATAATTGTTTTTCTTTGATAGGAAATTATTAAAAATATATCAAAAATATATGTGAGTATAAAAAGAAATAGTTGAAAGATTAAACAATATTTCCTTGTCTATTAAATGTAAATATATATATTAATATAGTCTAGATTGTAGAATTAATTTAAATATCAAATCCTATGATATTAAAGGTCGAGATAGTATAAGGAATATTAGTCATTGGAACACCACTAAGTTAGTTTAGCAGAAAAAAAGCTAATGTCTAATAAATAGGAGTAGTAAAGAGAATAGAATAAAATTAATAAGCTTTGATAGAGGCCCGTATCTAAAATGGTTTAGTTACTATAGTAGTTGAAGACAATCCAGATATGAATTAATTTCAGTGTCAATTTTTGAACAAACCATAACTTGTAAGTAGGGTATATATTCAATTTATTTAAAGATTTCTAGAAAGGAGATTGATATACTTAAAGAATATTATAGAGAAGAATTAACTTTTTAGGATTGGTAACTTGTAAGGGAATTAAAATAATATTTTTCAATTGTTTGAAATTCATTAATTATATATATTATTCATAGATAACAATCTGTCTTTTTTTTATTGATTAAGGTACTATAATATAATGATGTTGAATCATTAATTTTTTTTATCTGAACTATTTACTACTTATTCTTAGAAACTATTGGATGAATGTGATTAACTTATTAGTTATATCATTATGTTAAATATAAATTTTTAGTATTTTTAAATTCATTAGTTTATTATACTCTTATTGATAATCTAAAATATCTTTGACATGTAATTTCAATATATTCAATATATATTTTACACAATTATTTGAATCTACAAATAATATAATATTATTAAATAATTGATTCTTTTTTTTATTATAGAGTAATAGCATTCTAATTATTATTTAGTTTTTGTAACGTTTTGAAATTATTATTATTTTATTTATTAATAGATTCTAATTCTCTTAATTATATTAAGTTTGATATAATTGATTAAATATGATTGATATAAAGATAATAAGTTTATCATAATTCAACAGTTTTACATGATATTTAGTTATAAAAATAAAATGATTAGTATAATATATTAAAAAAATGCAATAAATTTATAGAAGGAATAGTGGATCGTCATATAATACTGATGAAGAATGTGAAGAACTACCTATATAACCATTATAATAATAATTTAATAATCCTTAACAAGGACTTGGTCTAATAAATGAAAATATAGTAAAAAGCCTAATGAGTGAATAATAAGCTAGAGAATTAGAAGAGAAAGTGGAAGAATAGGATGTTGTAACAATTGAATAGGATATTATTGATCATGATGCACTATAAGAAGAATTATTGAATAGTGTTCATTTAAATGTTCTCCCACGTTAGAAATCTATTTAGATACAAGAATATTCTCAAATCTTACCTGTTGTTATGTAGATTTAATCTTTAAAATCATAATTAAAGAAATAAAGAGCCAATATCGATTTGATGTGTGTTGTTGATGTAAGTGGATCAATGGATGGAGAAAAAATAAAGTTAGTACAGAACTCTTTGAGATACATATAAAAGATCTTAAAACCAGCTGATAGATTATCAATAGTTAGTTTTGCTACTTAAGCAGGCATAAATTTATAATGGACAAGAAATGTGGCAGAAAATAAAAAAATTATAAAGAAGGCAATAAAAGATATTAGAATTAGAGATTCAACTAATATAGCATCAGGTGTTGCATTAGGTTTAAGAATGATTAGAGATAGGAAATATAAGAATCCAGTTACATGCATGTTTGTATTAAGTGATGGTGTAGATGATGATAAAGGAGCTGATTTGAGATGTTAATAAGCTTTACACAAATATAATATTTAAGATACTTTAACAATAAATACTTTTGGTTATGGTTCTGATCATGATGCTAAAGTAATGAACAATATAGCAAATTTAAAAGGAGGATAATTTGTATATATAGATTAAATTTAAAGAGTATCTGAACATTTCATATTAGCAATGAGTTCAATGTTATCAGTCAAAGCTAGAAATGTGATATTGACAGTCAAATAATTAAATAATGAATTTAAATTAGCAAAAATATTTGGTGATGATTTTTTATGGAATAAAATGAGTGAAATTGAATCCTAATTGACTTTGAATTATTTAGTTGATGAAGATAAAAAAGAATTTGCTTTAGAAATTGAAATACCTAGTTTTAAATAATAGGAACTTTTTAATGAAAAAATATTACAAATTGATTTATAAGGTATCTTTCTTGGATTGGATACTGCTTTTAAGAAAACATCATATATTTAAATAGAATTCACTAAGAACGAGGTATAATATATACCAGTGGAATTAGTCGAAGTTAATTATTTAAGAGCCAAGGCAGGTGATAGAATAGGTTAAGCAAAAGGATTAGCAAATGAAAAAAAATATGATTAAGCAATTTAATTATTGAATAAAATGATTGATGAGATTGAGAATTCAATATTCAAAGATAATAAATAATTAGTTGTAGTTTTAAAAGATTTAAATGATATCAAATAGATTTGTAAACCAAAAACTTATGAGAAGGATGGTGAAGCAATGATGTTATACAAATAAAAAAATCATATTTTCAGATAAAGATCTATAAGTATAATATATTTTATAATTATTAAGATAATTCTGATGAATGGTGTTAAGAGGAAGAAGAATAAATGGATTAATATAGAAATGGAGATTTAAATTTGAGTGCTAGTCTTAGTGGTGGTAGTATCAAAAGTATTGGAAAATAGAAACTCAAATAATAAAGAAGGAATAGTTGTTCACAAGAAGGTTCATAGGAATAATAGGATGAAGAAGATAATTAATCAAGTCCAAGAATTATATAAGGTAGACTATCAGATAGTGATGGTTCAGTTAATTGTAAACAGAAAAAATCAAGAAGTTCTTCAATAGGTTGATATAAATTAGTTTATATTTTTATGAAAATAAATAAAATTTAATTAATTAATTAATATTGGATTTATGTCAAAAATAAAAAGATAGTTTAATTAATCTATAATTTTCTACATTATTTAATATAAAACAAAAAAAAATAGAAAAATAATGTATGTTATAATTTATTATTTATTTTGATATTACTCATTTTTATCCTTTTTTTTGAAGCTTTTCTTGAACTTCTTAAAGTGTTAAATTTTCTATTTCTTCATAAAAGGTATTGAAGTCATAATTAATATCTTTAAATTCTTCATATGGATTTTAGCATATTAAAAGATAAAGTAAAAGCAAATTAATTTCAGTTTCTTTACTATTTAGATTTTTAATGATTTTCAAATTCTCAACAATTATATCTCTATAGAGCATATGAAATGTATCATTTGCTTCAAAGTTATTGTTTTAAATTGATAAGAAATTCTTAATCAAACTTGATACGGCACCTGTTGCTTTTCCATTAGCTAATTCTTCTTATTAAACTATATTGCATTTTTTTGATATTTCAGTATAGAAATCTAATGAATGTTTCATATCCATTGAAATTAATTAAATTAATTTTTGATATTCCTATATATCAAAATTAAATGATATACTTAAGATGCTAAAAATCTACCCCATGTTTCTTTATCAAATTTATCATGATCTTTTCTTTATAATTATTAATTGACTCTTTCAAGATGAACCATTTGATTTTTGGCTATTAAATAAATTAATCTGAAATAATTATCATTTGCTAGCTATAATTTGGTTTATAATTTAATTATTTTTTGTATAACAAAGTTAAAAAAGAAAGCAATATTTCTTTCAAATAGAAAGTAATTATTATATTTTAGCATTGCATCTCTTCTCTTTTTCTCATTTTTGTAATTGCTCATAATAATATCAGCCTAAGATTTTAAATGTTATAATTTACATTAGAATCAGAATCAAATTAACTTGAAAATTTAGCTGATTGAGATCTAGCTTCAGCAGAAGCTTCTAAAGTTTATTGATTAGAGTTTTCAAGAGTATTAATAGGATTTTTAGCCAAATAACCAACAACTAAATTTTGATCAATATATAATTTATTGAGACTGATGGATTTGGAAATTTCATCTTTATATATAACGATTATCGCTACCTTTTTCTTTCAAGATATTTTTCATATTTTCTTTGATTGTCTCTTCATCTATTTTAATTGTAGGATCTTCAAAAACTCCTTCCCAAGATATTCTGTCCTTTTCTTAAACTCTCAACATTAGAGTTATAAGTTCTTTGATTTTTTGAGATCTTACTGGCTTTGGTGGAAATTTTAATGACTTATTTATAGATTAATTGAATATAATACTTATTTTTTTATGTTCTCTAATAGAGAATAAGCATTTTCAGCAGACCATGGGGTTCTACCATAAAGAAGTTCATAAAACATAACTCCAACAGACCAGACATCACATTTGGCTGAGAATGGTTGACCTTCAAGAATTTATGGTGCCATATAAAGAGGTGATCCTAATCTTGATAGATAAGCAGGATCTAAAGAAAAATTGAATTGATAAAAATACCATTCATTTCTGAATCCATTACACGTGCAAAACCAAAGTCAGTAATCTTAGCCACTCCTTAATGAAGAAGAATATTAGCTGGTTTTATATCTCTGTGAATAATCTTCTGCTTATACAATCTTTTAAATCCTTCGACAATATGTTTGATAAAGATCACAGCTTCAAGCTTATAAAATTATCAATGAGAGTTACCTCACTTAATCTTTTTTCCTCCTTTTTGGCCATATAATCTTTTAGATCTCCATCAGCACAATATTCAAGAAACATGTACAAATAGTTATTAGTACGTGCTACATCAAACAATCTTACTATATTTGGATGATTGATTTTTTAAAGGATAGCTATTTCTCTTTTAATTAACTCAATCATTTTTGGAGTATCTGAAATTGTCTAATAAAGTTAACTCTTCACAAATTTACAGCTATTTTTATGGTTTTTACAGCCACTTGTTTAGTTTCGTCTTCTTAAAGAAAGCCTCTATATACGATTCCATAAGCTCCTTAGCCCAAAGTTTTGTTTACTACAACATATTTGTCTACTTTCTTAGTTGTCCAATCTTCATTCATCTTTTTTAAGATATAAAATAATAATTAAGAAATGAAACAAATGAATTTTTTTATATTCAAATCATTCACTAATTTGAATAATATATTTAATTTATTCTTTATTAATAATATTCAATCTTCTGAAAACCTATTAGAATATTGTTCAACTACACTATTTTCTAATTCATTTATTTATTTTTTGTTAATTAAATATTAACAAATGTTAATATTTTTTTTAACTTTCCTTAATCCACTTCTAGCTTAAGAATAAGCTTCATTACCTCCTCCTACATTATCATATTTAAAAGGTAGTGAATACTAATTATTAATGGAAACATTAATGGGAAAATAATATGGATACACTAAAGCTTAATTAGCTGAAATTGGAGGTTAGAGTGTTGCAGAATATATCCTTTATCTATCAAGAATAGATGTGCCACTTAAAAGAGTTATATTTATAATTGGATAAGATTTTTAAGGATCCTCATATCAAAACGGATATTTTGGATTGGCAGCTGCACGTTATTTGGCTTAAAGAAAAGTAGAAGTTGATGTAGTTCTTTTGTATTCTAATGATCCATTAAGAAGTAGATTAGCAATGTAATGTAAATCACATTCAGCAACATTACATTTTGATATTCTGTAAAATCTATAAGAACAATTAAATGTTTAAATGACAAAGAACATATTAGCTAATTGGTTAAATGATTATGATCTAGTTGTTGATGCCATTTCACTTACTTCAATAGAATAACCAAAAACTCCTGTTAGAGAATTTATGCATGCCTTTTCAGAAGTAAATAAAAAAGTACTTGCCATCAATCTACCAGTTGGATGGCATACTGACAATGGAAATCTGTATAATGTATATGAGCCATAGTTTGTGATTTCCTTGGGATTACCTTTGAAAGGTATAAAAGAATTTGAAGGATAACATGCCATAGGAGGTAGGTACATACCTTAAACAAATACTTTTAATTATGTTTTGCCTAAATATAAAATTGAAGATAGTTTCCATTTACTATAAAAGTGAATTTTATATAAATTAATTTGTCATGTTCTAAAAATTTGGATAACAACTCAAACCTATAATCAATAGATCATCTTCTGAAAATAGAAAAGAATAATCAGTTACTAAACCGAATTATCATTTTACATAAAAAAGAGAAAGAAGTGAATCTAGAGTACCATAATCTACAGTTGAAGATTAAAATCAGAATAATTTAAAACAATAATCAAATTTTAACTAAAATGCTCCTGCACAAAGATTGACAGTAAAGTTGCCTGACTTAAAAGGCTATTAAAAATAAATGGAAAAATCAACATCAGGAGCTGATCTAACTAAAAAACCACCACTTTTAAAGAATAGACTTATATTAGATTCTAAAACAAAATAATAACCATAAGGTTAATAAACTTCATTAACTCAGACTCTTCCTATTAAGAGTTAAAGAGAGGATATATAGACTTCATAATAATAAGGAAAAAATAAATTAAAAATATCACATTATAGTTAATCAAGAGCAGGTTTTGATGGTATATAAGAGAAAACAAATTAAGATAGAGAGCTTTGTTTATAATTAGATGATTATAATTATGCATTTGCAGTTATGGATGGTCATGGGATGGATGGAGAATATGTTAGTTCATTTATAAAAGAATTGTTAAAATGTATGAAAAATTTTATATATAAATATATAGATAATCTAACTAAATTTTATAAGGTATTTGATTTTCAAAAAGTATTCTTTGAAATGCATTAGAAAATGAAATTTTAAACAGAATTTGGTTGTCAATTTTCAGGTAGTACTTTGACAGTATTATTGATAAGAGAGAATACTATTTCATGTGGATGGGTTGGAGATAGTAGAGCAATTCTAGTTAAAAAGAATTAAAATAATTTAAATGTAATTGAATTATCAATGGATCATAAACCACATTTGGAGAATGAAAGATAGAGAATTGAATAAAATGGAGGAGTAGTTGATACATATCATTTACCTAATGGAGCTCCTATTGGACCATCAAGAGTATGGGCAAAAGGAGCATAATTTCCTGGATTAGCAATGAGTAGAAGTTTAGGAGATACTGTTGCTGCAGCAATAGGAGTTTCATAAACTCCAGATATTAAATCATTGGAAATTGACAATAAAGAGGATATATTTATAGTTTTAGGATCAGATGGAATATGGGAATTTTTAGATAATTAGAGTGTATTATGAGTTTAATAATCAAGATTGCTGAAATGGTGTATCCGTTTTATTAGAAGAATGATGTTTAGGGAGCATGTTAGAAGATTATTTAAGAAGCTGTGGCTGGATGGAAAGCTCATAGTGAAGGAATAGATGATATTACTGCAATTATTATTTTCTTTTAAAATGAATTGTGATAATGTTAGAAATCATAATTTAGCATTTACTTCTCTCATTTTTTGAATGTAACTAATGCCATTGTGTACTTATTATTTATTTAATGAATTTTCTTTTGAAGCAAAATTGTACATGTTCATATAAACATCACCTTCTTTTGGAGCTATCAAACTTTATAATGAATTATCAGACAATCCTTAAGCCTCAACTAAACTTAAAGCATTTAATCTTATAATTGGATATAGTGATTCCCTTGTGTCTTAAAGTGTTTTTATTTATTGACTATTAAGTTAATTCTCTATTTCTTATATATATTATATTACTTAATAATAATCCTTACATGTTATTCAATAACATACTAATACCATATATTCTAGCTAACACTGTTAAAATTGTCTTTGTATCTTTTGCTTTGTTATTAATAGTATCTAAGAAACAAAGCATATTAAAGTAAGGAATGAATGTAGATGCAGCTTTAGCTAAAGCAATTCCAGATTTTGTATCCCAACTTTCTTTCATATCAGAATGAGACATTAATTTTTATGCAGCATATTTAGTAAGAATGGCACAATTTAAACCTAGAAGTGCAATTAAATTATCAAGAGATGTAACATCATCAACTTTAACTGTTTCTAATGATAAGAATTTAAAGAATTCAGGAACTGCATTTGGTTTTGATACTATATGTTATAATTATTTAAGTAAATATCTAGCTAATTGTAAATTCAATATAGTATTTTCTCCTTCTAAAGTAATCTAAATATGATTAATAAATATATTACATTAGGAGACATTTCAAAGAAAATAATTGGTAATCCAGAATAATGAGCAAATCCATGTCCTCCACAACTTAATCTACACCATTCTGCACAATTTGCTACAAAATATGTATAATTAGCTTTGGCTCCACTTAATACAGCATGAGTTAATCCAAGTAAACTAAAATCATTTTATTAAGATATTCTATTGAAATTATCATTTACTAATTCTTTAATTTTTACACTTCCAAAAACACAAGCATAAAATTCAGCTAATAATGGGAATAATTTCTATTATTAACATTAATAATCTAAAATTCTTATTTCCTATTTATTATCATCTTTAAATTATTTTCTATATAATGAATAACGAATAGCTATTGTTAATGCTCTACCACCAAATTTTGTATATTGATCACAAAGAATATTTCTCATATACATCATACTTCCATATCCTACTTTTGGATTACCTTATCTCTCTACTTTTCCATCTCTACTAACTTTTATGTATCTATTTAATAAACTATCCAAAGGAGCTCTAAAATGATCAAAACTCATGAATCCATTATCCTTTACTGAATAACCCATTTTTGGACCAATATCTCCTATTTCAATACCTGATAATGGTTTATGAGTCTCCTTATCTCTTATTCTAATCCAAAAAGGATGTACTCCATATCCTTTACCATCTACTTGTAATTAAGCAAATACTAAGGCAAATTCACAATACAATCCTAATTCTCCTGGCCAAACTAAATTTAAATAATTTAGTATTACATTTAGTAGCTTCTATATTTGGAGTGTGTATAACAAATTCTGAAGTTTATTTATCAAAAACAGCTACTGTTTATAAATTCTAAACATCAGAACCATGACCTAATTCTGTTTAGGCATAACATCCGAATGCATTGAGATTCTTTAATAGAGTCATCCATTTAGAAATCTATTCATCTGATGCCAAAACTTAGAATGCAGGTATGACCATGGCAAAATGAACTGTAGATATGAAGATACCCTATGGACATAGTACATTTGGAGTATAATAATTGGGATCAGCCAATTGTATTGTTTTGAATGCTTCTATTGTTCTTTCAGCATTCAAAAGAATCTTAGTTAAATAATAAATAAAATATAAACTTGATCCTATCTTGATTTATTGTAAAAATCATGATTAACTTTGAACATAGGATGATTATCAAAGAAGTTTTATCTTTCAAGAAATTTATCAAAGTACTCTTTCCCACCATAAAGTAAATGTGACATCTCTAATTATGGGAATTATCCTTATTTTCTTTCAGCTTCTAACATTGTATTTTTTTATAATTATTTTTTTATATGATGATGCACTTATTATGTAAATATTTTAAATAATACGCACGTAAAATTAATATTACATATTTCAATAATATTCATCTTCTTCAACTTCATTAATGGTAAGTTACTTCTAGTTCTTTCTTAATCTTATCATCAACTAAACTATTAAATAAATATATCATAAAGATATTTAGTTTATAATAAAAAGGTTATTAAAATCTTAATTCAATTCTATCTTAACTTTATAAATTGAATTTTTACTTTATCTTTCTTCCTAGTTGCAATTGGAAAATACTTTTCTGCAATTTTAACAATAGCCTATATAAATTCAATTTATTAAATTTAAAATAAGCTATCACTTTCCAATTCTTCAACTAATCTCATAACTTATTAAATTTACATTCAACTTATATTAAGGAGATTAAAATTAAGACATATAATGCATATACTAATCCAACATCATTTTAGTTGCTTAAACAATATTGACTTAAGTATTGAATCTCTCATATTTATCATCTGATAATTATTATATATCTTACTTAAAATCTTCCAGGATTAATCTATAAATGAACTACTGCTATAAATTTCAAATCTACATCAGCCAATTTTTAACTAATTTCCATCTATCAAATGACATAAATAAAATAAGAAGTTTAGTTAACAGTTATTGAAAATAAATCTTATGTTGGATTTACATTAATCTAAAATCTATATATTTCCGTCATTTTTTTACAGGCTTTTCATAACAATATTTTCACTTGATCCTATTCTTCCTTTTTCATTCTGAAAATAATGATTTTAAGATATCTTTATTGATTTTTAATTGTAAGTAATGATATTACTTATTATTAAATTCAGTTATCATTTCAAAATAGATATCTTTCTATTTCATTTTGTTAGATCTCATAATATTATCTTTTTAGAACATTTCCAGATTTTTTATTATGATTTCAATAATTATATAGTAATTTTTAAATTTAACTAAACCAATTCTTGATTAGACTTATAAAATCATATATATTTCTATTAATTTTTAGAATGTATAATTTGAATTATTGTTATTTAATTTAAATATTGTTTATATTATACTAATTATAATACAAATATTTAGTATAATCAATTGCCAATTTCAAATGTTTCCTTTTCACTATCATTTGTTTAATCCTATTTTGCAATGACTCCTGAATTTATTTGTTTTTTAAATACAATTTCATCAAATTCTTCTTCATCATTTTTAGATAATGTTAATGTTTTTATTATAGAATTTTACTTAATTTTTTCTCTTTGCATTGTAAAAGATCTAGAGACACTGTAAAACTTTTATTAATCTAATGGTACAATACTACCATTTCTTCTTTGATTTAACTATTCTGGTGATGAATTTATAAATTACNTTCATCTTCTTCAACTTCATTAATGGTAAGTTACTTCTAGTTCTTTCTTAATCTTATCATCAACTAAACTATTAAATAAATATATCATAAAGATATTTAGTTTATAATAAAAAGGTTATTAAAATCTTAATTCAATTCTATCTTAACTTTATAAATTGAATTTTTACTTTATCTTTCTTCCTAGTTGCAATTGGAAAATACTTTTCTGCAATTTTAACAATAGCCTATATAAATTCAATTTATTAAATTTAAAATAAGCTATCACTTTCCAATTCTTCAACTAATCTCATAACTTATTAAATTTACATTCAACTTATATTAAGGAGATTAAAATTAAGACATATAATGCATATACTAATCCAACATCATTTTAGTTGCTTAAACAATATTGACTTAAGTATTGAATCTCTCATATTTATCATCTGATAATTATTATATATCTTACTTAAAATCTTCCAGGATTAATCTATAAATGAACTACTGCTATAAATTTCAAATCTACATCAGCCAATTTTTAACTAATTTCCATCTATCAAATGACATAAATAAAATAAGAAGTTTAGTTAACAGTTATTGAAAATAAATCTTATGTTGGATTTACATTAATCTAAAATCTATATATTTCCGTCATTTTTTTACAGGCTTTTCATAACAATATTTTCACTTGATCCTATTCTTCCTTTTTCATTCTGAAAATAATGATTTTAAGATATCTTTATTGATTTTTAATTGTAAGTAATGATATTACTTATTATTAAATTCAGTTATCATTTCAAAATAGATATCTTTCTATTTCATTTTGTTAGATCTCATAATATTATCTTTTTAGAACATTTCCAGATTTTTTATTATGATTTCAATAATTATATAGTAATTTTTAAATTTAACTAAACCAATTCTTGATTAGACTTATAAAATCATATATATTTCTATTAATTTTTAGAATGTATAATTTGAATTATTGTTATTTAATTTAAATATTGTTTATATTATACTAATTATAATACAAATATTTAGTATAATCAATTGCCAATTTCAAATGTTTCCTTTTCACTATCATTTGTTTAATCCTATTTTGCAATGACTCCTGAATTTATTTGTTTTTTAAATACAATTTCATCAAATTCTTCTTCATCATTTTTAGATAATGTTAATGTTTTTATTATAGAATTTTACTTAATTTTTTCTCTTTGCATTGTAAAAGATCTAGAGACACTGTAAAACTTTTATTAATCTAATGGTACAATACTACCATTTCTTCTTTGATTTAACTATTCTGGTGATGAATTTATAAATTACTGATATTATAAAGACACTGGTCTCACATCAGGAAGCTTATTTAATTTTTATATAGATTACTTATGAGATCCAAACTAAAAATGGGAGAATTTATTCAAGTTCTCTATCTTATGTATCATAAAAGAAATCTTTAATTTGAAAACCATTATCAGAATTCAATGCAAATGATAATATTGAATTCTGAAATTATTTAATATATACTTACATCAACAATTACAATATCTTTCAAATCACGACCTAATTTATTTAAGTCTTTAGTCAATCCACCTTTGATAATAGTGCAACTCTCTCTAAATAATCTTTCTATTGCCTTTTTATCAGGATCAATATAATCCATTACTGGCATAGCATATTCTTTGAGACTTGCAGTCCATAAAATAATGTCATAAAAATTGTTTAGTTCATCAATAAATTGTTTAACACCTGGACGAACAATAACAAAAACTTTGAAATTTTATGATTAAACGACAATCTTATATAACACTAGAATGGTACATCCAAACATAAATCATAATTATCCATAGGTTGAAATTGACTGTGTACTAATGTTTCATCTAAATCCAAGACAATAGTTTTCTTTTAACCTAACTAAGAATTAATTTTCTAATAATACAATAAAGGATGATTTAGGAGTATCAATTTCATGATGATATTAATTTTGAGATCCTCGTTTCTTTTTATCTTTAAATATTTGCAAACAAGCACATAATCGAGAAAAGAGAGATCTTTGTTCTTCTTATTATTAGTATATGATTTAATTGTTTGACATTATAATATTTATTAAAATATTTATTTTATATTATTGTTATCAATTTATGAAGTCTGTCATCTATCTTCTAAGAAAGTGTCTACTTTAAACTCTTTTTTCATTAGAATCAATATAATCATCACTAATTAATTTAATTTAGATTTATTTATTAAAGGAGACTCTTTTAGGTGAGATAGCATTAGCCATTTATGGAGAAGGTGTAGATTATAAAGGTTCAAGAATAATATGTTTTTTATTTCGTATAGGTAATGGTTATTCTTCTACTAATTCAAAAAAATCTAAAACATCTGAATGTTGACTACTATTTGAATTTTTTCTTTTTAATATACTTTTAGGTTAATTGATTTAGGTTCCCAAATCTTCAAATTTGACTAATAGTCCTTTTTTTTCATTTTTTTATTCTGGATTTAAGGAGAATTTCTTATTCTTGATAATTGAATGATATTAAGATCTTGATGTTTGAGGTTCTTGTATTTAATCAATAAGACTATTTCTGGCAGACAATAATGAATCAGTTGCTCTACTAGTGTGAGGAATATTTTAGAGGGATTTAAATTATTGATACATTTGGATTTCAGGTAAAAATTGAGTTTTAGGTTGTTATTGAAGATTTCTATCCAAAGGTTTCAGGTCAGAATAATAGGAAGACTTATAAAGCATATTAAATTAATTAAATAATTTTGATTTTTTCAATTTACATTAAGAATAGGATCAAAATCATTAATAATGAATTAATGTTCTACTAGTCTGTTCTCCATATTATTAAATTTAGAGACTCTTTCTTTATTATAATTAAATTCATCATCAATCAATGTTGATAAAGTAACGAAAGCAAATTAATTTGACTGAGATCTATTTTATTTACCAAACCATTAAGAACTCATTCTAAATGTTGGTACTTATGGAAATTAGGTTTATAAATTAACATCTTTAACTCTCTATTTTAACAATGGAGCTGATTGTTATTTCTATGATGTTCTTCTTGCAATATTAGATTTAGCATTTGTAATAATTTCATCAAATTTTAATGGAGGAGAACATTGTCTTGTGAGTTTCCTTGATAATTTTAAAACTGATCGGACTCTTCCATTTTGAGATTGAAATTAATGTATTGTTTTTTATGGACTAAATTCTGATCTAACTTAAAATTGTATTGGACAAGGTTGTCTTAATAATGTTTTTACACGATTAGTTGCACATTCTCGAGATTTTATATAATTTTTTATCTTTTCTTATAGCATTAATTAATTCTTATCTGTATAATTATATATAATTTAATGTTTCATGAATTTTTACAGGAGTTGGGTCCTCTCAAAAATTCAGAGCTTCCCTTTCCATTTAGAAATTAATTTAAAATTAAAGAAAATTTCATCAATCCAAATAGCAAACATTTTGATACCATAGCTTAGAAGTATATTATCAATATTCAATTTAGATTATTATCAGAAGAAAAAGCAAGTATCAAAAGAAAATGGGATAAATAATGCAAAATGATGTTTATTTGGATATTAGGTAAGTTTTTTTAATTGAAAAATAAAAAAACCATCAACCCTACAGAAGAAGAATGGACATAATTATCTAATATTCTTAAAATAGAAGAAGTTACTCTCAAATAAAGATGGATAACTCTTATTAATCCAGTTTCAAAGAGTATTAATTGGGATTCAGAAGAAGATGAAATCATTCGATCACTTATGAAGTATATAATATTCATATTTGTAATCAAGTGAATCAGATGAAAAACATATTTGGACACATATTGCTTTAGAATTGTATAATTAAAACAATGGACAATACATAAGAACTCCCAAATAAGTCAGAGAAAGATGGATGAATTATTTAAATCCAAAACTTAAAAAGTATATTTACAATTTAACAAATCAATAGAACTAATTGGAATTAAGAAGAAGATATCCAATTATTGAACATGGTTGTTAAGAATGGAAAGAGATGGTCACTAATTTCCAGTCTTTTGGATGGCAGAACAGAAAATCAAGTAAAGAACAGGTAAATATTTAAAATATTTAAAATAGATTTAAGAGTCTCATTCAAAAAATCTATAAAGATGAAGACGATGATGATATTGAAGAATTATAGGCTATTAAGGAGTATTTAAATAAATAGAATGGATAACAAGTTCAGGAACCACAAAAAGAAGAGTCTCAAATTAGAGTTAATTATTTGAGATAGGTTAAAACTAAACCTAATCTTAAATAATCTAATTAAATTGAAGAAATAGAACTTTAAACAAAGAAAAGAAAGAATATAAAGGATGTCTTACAAATTTAAGAATAAGAGCATGTTAAGTCATCACAAGATTCATTAAAAAAATCAAAATAAAAAGGATCCAAATTAAAAGTAGAAGAATGTTAATAAGATATATAACTACATTAATAATAATAATAATAATTATAATAATAATAATAATAATAATTATAATAATAATAATAATAATAATAATAATAATAATTCTCATTTGAATAATAATTAAAAATACAGTAGTAATTCTAATCCTAATTATTAAGTGAAAATAATAAAAAAGATCTCTCAACTCCTAACACATTATATTATAATATTTAACCTTCCTTTTAAAAAATAGAGGAAGTAAAAAATGATCAATATGGATTTAAATAAGTTTAGCAATCTCCAATTTAATAACCTAATTAATACTTATATTAAGGATTTCGTCCATATTAAGAGGATATACAATAATAATTTTAACAAACCCCTATTTAAATGTTAATGGGCTAGTACTTTAAGAATTACTAATAAAATTATAATCTTATTTCTCCTTTCCCATAAATAAACCAAACTCCTATGGTATACACTCCTGCCTAAGCAATGTACATGTACAATAATAATACTCCATATAATATGGGCGTGTCACCTCTTTTGATTAGAAGCCCTTATCCTGAGAATTTATCTCCAAATATAGCTCCCTAATAGCAACAGCCTTAGGCTTGTTGGCAAACCCCTCAATAAACATCTATTGATTATCAGCAGAATGAATAAAAGTTTTCTATGGTATGACTAATATAATAAAAGTAGAATAAATTAGAATTTCTATAGTCTAATAATTTAGTTGATAAATGGAAATAGAAAAGAGTAAATGAAAAATAGAATGCCTCGTTTCTGGAATCCTTTTAATCACTTGATTAATGAATTAATTTTGTTTAATGATCTATTTTCCATTAAATAAATTTCAACATCATTATTCTGTTTAACTATAGCTATTTTTAAATATATATATTCATAATATTTAAATCTGAGATAATATTGATTTATTAATAATATTCATTTTTGAAAAAATCAAAATGAGAGATATCAATTTCTCAAACTAGATATAAATTTGAAGATGAATATTTTAAACCATTATATCATAATATCTTTATAGATAAATTTTAAAATTATAAATAATTTATAGAATTATAACAATTTATCAGTTTACACTATTAGATAATGAGTAATCAATATCAATCATTGAGACACTAGTTTTCTAAATTAAAAATTTTTTAATTTAAAGTGTTTTGTTATCATGCATTACATTATTATTCATTTATTATATATATTATCCGGTTACAATTTTAATTTAAACATATTTTGAAGAATTTATAGATTATAAATCATATATCAAATAAATAATATTTTAATAATAATTCTCAACTATTTATTAAAATGTAATCCTTCCATTATTTTCATTTTTACTTTAATAAGAAATTTTTACTCTTAATATTACTAGAACAAAATATTAAACAAAATCCTATTATTTTTTCTATTATCTATAATTTAACAAAAGTAACCATAATATTTTTCAAATTAACTATAAATCTATTATGATACATTTAAATTCTCAATCCCAATAATAATAATATTCAAAATACTATATAATTTTGTAATATTTAGTATTTTTTAAATAAAATATATTCGTTTGTATTTATTTTCATTCGATTTCTAATTTTATGAAGATTTTTCTTCAGGAAAGAACAATGAATGTAAATCAATTTCTAAATTATTTATATAAATTTATTAATTTCTGGTTTTCAATAAATGAATAAAATATTAAGAAAGAATAAATTGAGTATTAAATATTTTAGATCTTATATTTAAATCATATATTAAATAATAATGTTTTAGGAAGTCTCATTAAACTATTTTAAAGTACCAAGTTCAAAATATGAAGAAACATAACTATTGGCAATCTTGGATTGTTCAGGATCCATGTATAACTGTAAAATATAAATTTTATTTTATAGATTGGCAATATGTGGCAAAATACTATAATGAAATAAGGAGTAAGGTAAAACTGCATTGCGCAATTACATTTGATACTAAAGTAAAAAGTATTCCTTAAGCTGATCTTACAAATAATATTAATACTTATGGTGGAGGAGGAACAAACATAACAGTAGCATTCTTAGAGTTAAACAAATTGTTGTATTCTCTAAAATAAAAGAAGAATGTTACTGTTTTATTTGTCTCTGATGGATAAGGAGAATTTTCAAAAGAACTTATAGATAAGACAAGGCCAGCCATAGAAAATTTAAATTTTATTTGTATTGGTGTTGGCAAAAATTTTCCTACATTTATTTCAATGAATTTAAGAGAATTATACCATAATGGAGATAGATCTATTCCTCCATTATTTTTGGTTGACATAAGTGATTAAGGAATTGATTCAATAGATAAGAGATTTTAAATTGAAATGCTATCTGCAGCTGAATATATGAAACATCAAAAACCTATAAAGATTTCACCTTGCTATTAATTTCCTTGGGATTAAATTACAGAATTAGTTTGGCCTGATTCTTGGGTCTCATTTTATTCTGATGAGTTGGAAACAGAAAATGGAAAATTATAAAAAATAGAAGTAAAAGGAGAATAAATTGGATTAATTGCAGGTTATTGGTTATAAAATTTATAATTAATGTCTTTAAGAAAAAAGGTAGCATAAGAAGCTTAAATAGCTTTGACTGAATTAAACAAATTCATTTTTGGGAAAAAATTAACATTTTTAGAGAGAGTATAAGAATAGAAATCAGCACTTAATTAAATAATTTAAGAACTTAAGTTTTTGGCATCTGCTTAAACATTATAAGAATTAGATGAAGCAACAGCTGCATAAAGACTTAAAATTGGAACCTAAATTGGAAAGTATCATAATAAAGCTTTGAAATTTGCAGGTGTATCTGTAGAAGCATTTTAAACATACAAATAAGAATTTATAACTATGATTGAAAAGACTAAATTTGTAAATTATGATTTTCCAGTTTCAATACTTTCCTTATAAAATTAAGTTGATATTTTAACAGATCCAGATTTAATTGAAGGTGTTAAGAATTGTGAAACACAATATCATCTAGTATAATCTCTCCCTATAATTGGATATGCTTTGTATGTAAAAAGATCAGATCAATCAAGAATCAATCCATATACTGTTGAAGTACTTAATATTGCCAAGATTAATAAATATATTGATTCATTAGCAATTATAGATTCTCCAAATCATGAAGTTGAATTTAATATTGGAGATAATGAAAAGGAAAAATTTAATTGTTTAGTTCCATTATATCAACATGAAATTCTTATTCCTTTTTTAAGATCAAGTATATTTCATATTTAGATGACATTTGTATTAATGGAAAATGCAGATACTTGTTTCGAAAATGCTTATGCTGCATTATTAGGCAATACTTTATTGTATATGATTTGTTAAGAGGAAAACTAATGGAAATATGAGATGATTGAATTGATTAATTCTAGTTTTATGTTGGCTTATTCAGATTCAGCCAAAATTAAATATCATATGGATCATTTATTATCAGATCCAATAGGAACAATGGCTGATGAAAATTTGTAAACAAAAACATAATGTGAAGATTTATCAAAAACTATTTTGATGTTAAATTAAATAAAGAATAATTTCAAATAAGATTAATTTAAGATGATAATATAACGACTAGTGATTGAAGCTATCTGTAGAATTACAAGAAATCATTAATTATTCAAAACAGTAATGGAAGTTGATTTATAATTGGAGAATGAGATTATTAATAAAATTAAATCATAATTTACCATAGAGGAATTGGATAATATATAAGATTTTCAAATATTGAAATAAAAAATAGAGGATAAAATAAAAACATTAAATATTGATTTTAATACTTTAATATGTAAGATGGAATTCAATAAACCTTAATTTTTATAAATAATTAATGAACAGAAATTTAATATAAAGACTTTGTAATCAATTTATAGGTATTTTTTGAATGAAGAATTACCAGAAGAACTATTTATTATAGCTACTTATCATTCACGAATTGAAAAATCTTATGATAGATCTAAAAAGGAAGTTGAATGGAGTTTGAATAAAATTTTTAATGAATTACTTATTGAAGATCAAATAAAAGAAAAGTAAAAGTCAATATCTCAAACTGTATTTGATTAATTAAAAAATTAATGCAATTATCTTAAAATAAATAATAAAAACAAGAATAAGAATAAAGTATAGGGTAATAGAATTCCAAGAGTAGAAAGGAGAAGAATTAGAAAGTAAAAATTACGAGAATAGAAACTATTATAATAATAAGCATTTTAATAGTAATAGCCATGATAATTATATTTAAAACTTTAAAGTTATATTATAATCAAATTATCAAAATTTTTTAAGATTTTGAATTTAGATGATCCTATTTCTTATTCTATTAATGTAATTTACCAAAAATACATTTATTTATTTCTCTATATTTTTATTTTAAATACTTTTAACTTTAATTTAGCAATCTTAAACCTCAATTCCCTTTATAAATCAGAATATTGTAATTTCATTAAACAATCTTCATAAATTTTTATAATTAAATATCTTTTATTAAAATTATCCTATATAAAAATATAACTTTAAACCTCCTCTCTGAAATTCAATTTAAAGGGAAATCATTAATTTTTGTTTTGTTTATCTCCTTCTTTTTTAATTTATGAATTATCTTTTCATTAGATATACTAGTGGTATAATTTTCTATTCTAATTCTTCTATTTCTTTTTTTCTTCTTATAATTATGAGGTTAAGTAATAATTTTATCCTTTATCTTCAATTATTTCCTTATTATCCTTAATTCAAACAATCACCTATTAAATTCCATAAATGTATTAAAAGAGTCAACTTGATATTTTTAACTCTTCTAGTCATTTGTTAAAATTACTCTTTTGTAACTTATTTATATAATTTGAATAAAATTAAAAGAAATAAATAAATCATTATTTAAAAAGAAAAAGCTACGACTATTAATATAGTGAATTTAAGAAATGGATTCTAATGCATCGCTATATAAATATATTTTTTGATATCATTGAAATTAATAATTCTTTAATTATTAGCTCTATATCTTAATCAAATACAACAAGCACATTTACTACTATATACAGATCAATTTTATTTTCTATTTAATACTTAATCAGAAAGATTTATAAAATTAATAATTGCTTAATAATTTATTATTTGATATTCATTTTACTAATAACATCAATTATTAATTCTTAAAGGGATTCAAGTTTGAATATGAAAAATATTATTAGATTATACATATATTAGATGGCTTATACTCAAAATATCATATTAATAATTGATGAAAAGTTTATGGCTTTAAAGATGATAAAAATGGATATAAGTAAAAACTTTTCATATTCCTTTTTGTATTAGGTATTAATTTTTAATAATTTTTTTTTGTTTTATAACTAATTTAATAGTTTAAGCAAAAATTAAATTATAAAAATTAATAACCATGAAATATTCTTATTAAATTATAAGCATCAAAAAGAATAAGTTGTCATATACATAATCAATGTTTCTTAATTCTTTTACTTTGATTGTCTATCCTATTGATAAATTTGTTCAAAGTATCTTTATCATCTTTAGTTAAATAAGTAAATTCTTCATTCATTTCTTCAAATTGTTCCAGAAAAAAATTGAGTTTTAAGAAATGATCTTGTTTTTCCAATTTATGATCATACTTTTTCTTACTTTCTTACTGAGATAGTATATTATAAGCCTCATTAATTTCTTGGAATTGTGTAATTGCCTAAGCTCGACAATTAGTATTCTTATCCTAATAATAGATTAATTATATATTATACTGGATGCCATTTTAAAGCTAATTTATGGTATGCTTCCTTAATTTATCGTTGTTGAGCATTTCTTTACAATCCCAAGGTTATATAGTGATTCTTCATTATTATTAATCATTATCTGAAAGACTAATTCTTCAGAAATAATCGTTATGGAAATTCTGGAACATAGTTTAATAATAAATTATTATGATATTATTCATATTCAATCTTCTGTTGGATTACCTAAGACCTAAAAGTTTTTTCCTCTGAAATCTCCTGCTTATCCTCTAAGTTTAACATATTCTGCAAAATCTCTTTAATTAGCTGAAAATGCACCTATAATTTATGATACTAATTATCTTTTCTATTCTCTAATATATTATTATAAAATAAAAAGTACCTCTTTTCTCTAGTTAATTAATAATTATATGCCTTTTCTCTACATTCACCACCTCTATCTTCACTTTATTTATTTTTAGCATCCAATCTAGCATTATAATCACTTAAATCTCTTTTTTAATCTTATATTCTATTATCTAAACCTAAGATAGCAGCTGTTAATTAAGCAAGAGCATTATTTAAACTTGTTAAATCTTTATCAAAATTTCCTTTTTCTAACAAGAACATATTCAATCTCTTTTATTCTGCTTTAGTTTCCAATGCTTTACTATCTTCAATTTATTTAAGCATTAAATCACATAAATTAACAATTTTATTAACAGTAGGTGAATTCTAAAAATCTTCAGTTTAAGCAGCATTAGCAATTTCAGCAAAAACATTGAACAACTTAGAATAACTTTTTTTGATTTCAAATTTCTCTAAAAATATAGATATAATATATATTTACTTGCTTATTCAGATGCATTAATAAAATAATCTCTAACTTTTTACCATTATGATTCATTATTCGTTTATAAGAAACTTTAATTTTTATCTGAAAACATTCTTCTAACTGTTTCAATAACAAATGTTGCATAATCATGTTCTTCAACCTTTTTATCAAATTCAGCTTTCTCTGTTTCTCTTTTCTTAACAAGATCAGCTAATTTCTTTTCTGTTTCTACTTTCCATGCATTCTTTGCATCATATTAACCTTATTTATATGATCTTAATGGTTCTAATTCATCTAAAATTGATTAGATTTCAACTGTTCTTCTTTCTAAGTTTGCACTCTCTTATTATAATATTTTAATATCTTCTGTGCATTAATTTTAATATTCATTATTAGCTTTATCATCTTCTTTTTATTCATTTTCAATTGATGTTTCTAAGTTTCTCATTATTTCAATGAATCTAGCAATAGGTTCACCTGTACTCATTTGCATTTATAGAGTATCAATTAATGTTCTACCAAATTCATCTTCATCAAATACTCTAAATTGATCAAACTTATCTGCAATAGCTAAAGCTATTAAGCAAAGCACCAAGATTTTCATTTAATAAATTAATTAAAAACGAATTTCAAGAAGAAGTAACAATTATTTAATTATTATTTCAAAAATGTCAATTATTGAAAATGAAGTCATATTAAACAATTATATGGTAAAGAATTTATAGAAAGGTAAAAACAGAGAGAATCATAGTGATTTCTATGATTATAATCCATTAACATCAACTTATTAATGTTATGGATGTCAAAAATAAAAACCAAAATAAGCTTCATTATTATTGGCTAATTAAAAAACTAAAAAGAAAAGAAGGACTTTGGAAATATATAAAATGAATGATATCATTATTAAACCATGGCATCCTTTTTTAAGAGAATTTTAAAAAATATTCAAAAATTCAATTATTCCATAACACAAACAATTAAATTATTAAGTAGAATATCATAAACCAGATATTGTATTATAATTGTATGAAGTTATTCGTAGATTAAGAGAATAATTAGAGGAAAATATAAAATCTATATAAAAAGGAGATATTTACATTGCACCTATTCTTGAGACTTTGGCAACATATTCAATTGATGAAATTGAAATTAATTATGAAACTTTACACAATAGTACTAAATCAATCCAATAAGATTCTACTAAGAAATCATTAGCTAGTTCAAGTATTAGATATTAAATGCAGGAGAAGAAAATATAACATTATAAAGAATAATGGGAAATAGTTAAAGAATAAGTTGAATTATTAGAATAGAATAATACTATAGGTTTAAAATAATAAATAGAAAGTACAATAAAAGCATAAAAGGAAATTTAATATTTGAAGAGTGTTTTAAAAGAAACTTAAGATCATCTTATGATTATGGAAAGAGATTAGGAATAATTAATTAGAGAAAATTATTTTTTATTTTAATATGCATAATTAGATAGACATTATTTATTTATTAGAATAATGGAAGTAATTATAATAATCATATATAGTAATATCCAGCAGAATAATTAAAAGAAACAGATGTATCTTATTTTGAAATATATCTTAAAGAATTAGAAAAAGAATTAGCTAAATTGAAATTAGAAAATACTAAATTAAAAATGCATGCAAATCATTTAGAAAAAGAAACAGAAGTTATGAAAAAAGAATCTTTTTCATAATTTTCTAATGAATTTTAAACTTAAGAATAAAAATGGAGTAATGAAAAAAATAATTTAGAAAAGACACTTGAATAATTAAAATAAGAATTAGAAATTAGTTAGAGATTTGAAAAAGAATTAAGAATTTTAAATTAAACAATGTAAGAAGAATAAGATAAATTAAGAAAGTAATTGTTTGATTATCAAAATGGTATGAACAATATTAGTCATTAACATTTAATATAAAGATAATAAAATGATTAATTATTAAAATAGAATTAAGAACTTCAATTAACTATATAATAATTAGAATAATAAGTAATTGGAAATAAATAACAATTTAATAAAATGAATCCTAATGATTAAGCTTAATAATTAGCATTGATTATTCTATCTAAATAACGTCCTAATCAAGATCAAATTAATTTACTTAGATAAGTTTTTGGAGAATTTACAGATGAAATCATTAAAAATCAAGTAGAATAAAATTAAAATGAATAAGCTGAAAAATTGATTGAATAAATACAAGATTTAAAAAATTTCAAAGAAAAAGTAGAATCTTAAAATAAATTAACAAATAAATAAATAGATGAAATAAGAAAAGAATTAGAATATGCCTTTTAATAAAATGAAATATAATAATCATAATCTAGAATAGGTAGAAAACTAAATTATGATATTTAAGATTAAACTTAATATTTCTAATCACTTATAAGAATAAATGAAATATTAAACAGTTAAGAAGATGATCTTTAAAAGTTTAATAGATTAAAGAGTCAATCTCCACTAAATATGAAATAGGATATAGCTTAACTTCATTGTTTATTATTATTGTAAGCATTATCTTTAGAGGAAATGATTGTAAATAGTGAATAAAATTAAATTGAAGATTTCTCAGATCAAGAGATTAAAAGTTCAAATGGTAAAGAATAATAACCTCCAGAATTTTATCCTATTGATGAATAAGAGATGGAGGAAAGTTCTCAAAATGATTAAGATGAAGAAGTTGAAGAAAGTTCTATTCATTAGCCTGAACCATATTAGGAATAAGAGAATTAAAGAAAATGAATTCTCTAATGAGTTAATTAACCTCTATATTTTTTATTAATTAATTTATAATGAATAGTTCAATTAATTTCTAAAAATGTTCATAACATAATGATAATGGTTTAATGTTTGATAGAGATTAAAATTTACCTGAATAGAAAATTAAATGCATAAGATGTTTAGCATAAGAATATTAAAATCTAATTCCTCTTGAGGATATTATAAATCATAGAAAGGAACTTATATAGATATTGATTCATGAGAAAAGTGAGTAGAATAAAAATACAATCTCAAATCTTGAAGAAATTATAAGAATACAAAATGAGATAAAAAATAATACAATAGCATAAGTTGAAAAAAATATAATAAATTTGAATAATGAAATAAATACAATAAAGGAAGGGTTTATTTTACTTTCTTAATTTAATTTAGATATTTAAAATAATGAATCATTTTAATAAATATTCGATTAAGTTTAGCAACAAACTTAAAAAACAAATAATATAATATCAATGCTTAGTCTATAATTATATAATTTGGAATTTGATTAAAAAAAACTTTAGATTAGTGAAAAAATTAGTGAAATTTAAAATGAAAATTCTGAATAAATAAATGATATGATTTAAAATCTTTGTTAATTATTGAATAAATAATCAAGTTATGAAAATGTGAAATGTTAAGAACATAATCAAAAAGGAGTGATGATTGATTTAAATGAAAATATTACAATAATGGGTAGAATAGCATGTTTAGATTGTATTAAAGCTAAGAAAATTGCTTTTACTAAATTAGAAGATTTTTATTTATTATGTTAGAAATAATAGTTTGAGAAAAAAAAAATAATAGAATTATCTTAAACTTATTTTTTGAAAAAGACAGAGAACTCAATCTAATTACTCAGTTAATATAAACATTCTATGCAGAATTAATTAGTTAATGCTCTAATGGAATTGTAAAAATAAATGGGTGAATATTCAAATTAACTTTAAGATCAATAAAAAATAAATACCAAAGATTTTCAAAATTTAACTTAGAAAGAGCTTATAGAATTGGCAAATGAAATAGGTCATTAAAATAGTCTAATAGAATATTAAAATAAGATTAAATAATCAAATGAATAATAAATAAGAAAATTTTAAGAAATTTTAAATTAGATTTATATTGATTAACTTTAATTAATTACTAGCTTTTATCAATCAATTTATAAAATTGAAATGTGTGATAAGAATTGTGATATTGAAAGGATTGGAAAAAAGAAGAAACATGAAATATGTTCAAGTATTATAAAAGTATAAATGTAAAGCAAAAAAAAAGCTTAAAGTTAAATTCCATAATAAAATTTTTCACATTTATCTTAAAAAATTGAATATCAATAGGTAAGTACTATTAAATAAGAGTAATGGTGTTTTGCTATTTCATTTTATTATGATGCTTCTTAAATGGTAGTAGGTTCAAATTAATAAATAAAAGTTTATAAAAATTAAAATGATTAATTTTCATTAATACAAACTATCAATTAAGGTCATACAGGAAATATTTAATGTTTAAAATATATGAATCGTTCTTAAAGATTTGTATCTGGTGGATAAGATAAATTAATAATTATATGGTCTTTAGATGATAAATAACAATATTTTTGTGAATAAAAATTAAATGGTCATCGTTATAGTGTGACTTGTTTAGATTTTAATAAATTTGAAAATCTTCTAATATCTGGTAGTACAGATGAAACAGTCAGATTTTGGACTCTAAAAAATGAATGGAATATTTCTGAAACATACATTAATTTAAACTAATAAGTTCAAGCTTTAAGTTTATCAGAAAATTAATAATTATTATTATCATGTTGTAATGAGACGATATTAGTACATCAATTAATTAATCATGATAATATTTAATTGAAACAAATATAAACAATCACATCATAGTTTCCAATTTATAGGATCAACTTTATTAATAATAATATGTTTATTTTTTAATCTTCTAAGTCAACATTATAATTATATCTAAAAGAAAATGATTCATTAAATTTTAATAATGGAGTACAAATTTAAATAACACAAACAGAAGAATGCTATTAATTTAGTCCATCTATATATATAAATGAAAAAGGAATATTATTATTCAAATCAGGTCAAAATCTTTATATATTTCGAAGAATGCATGATTAATTCATTATTTAATAAAAAATTTAATTTTAGGGATTGCAAACCTTCGCTGTAATCAGTCAAAATGCATAATACTTGAGTATTTGGAATAAAGAATCAAAAGAAATTTAAATTAGAAAACTAGTATGAGTGAAAATAAAATATTTTATGATTATATTAGTTTTAATATAGTTAAAATTATGTTTTATTTTAGTCTTTTCAAAAGTACTTATATAAATTCAATAATAAAAATTTTATAGTATTAAATAAAGAAATTCATTAATATTCTATTTTTAACCTAATCACCTTTAAAAATAAATGATATTTAATTTTAAGATATTAAAAATTAAGTTTTAAAATGTTTAAAACTAAATAATATAAAATATTAATGAAAATTTATAAGAACTTAGATCAATATAATATAATGAAAAATACCACTTGTTAGATAATAAAATGTTCTAATATTGATATTTTCATAGATAAATAATTTTAATTGGATTTATGAATAAAATCTATGTTAAAAGGAGAGATATATAATAACAAATTTTATTTATATATTTATCCGTTAATAATTTACCCAATGAATTCAACCATCAGATAACCACTATCACAACATAACTCAATTGATAAGAGAGAAAATCGACCTGAAACTAAGTAGGATACAAAACCATTCTCATTCATAAAGCCAAGTGTATCAAATTATCAATCATTAACATCATCAAATTCTTAATTACCTCCATAATCTCCAATGACAATTCCACAATAGATTTCTAAATAATCAAAGCCTAATTGTTCAATTTAAGATTTGGAAACTTTTATAAAGGAAATAGACAGATTATAATTAGAAAATTAAAAATTAAAAGAAAAAAATTAAGAACCTTAAGTAATAGTCCAACAAGATCCAAAATTAGCACTTGAAAATTAAGAACTAAAAGTATATATATTTTAATATATATTATAGGATTAATTGGATTTCCATAAACATAAATGTGAATTGTAAGAAAAGAGTCACAATGACGCAGTGAGATAAATTGATTTAAGTTGGAAATAAGATATAGCTAATTTGAAATACTAGATGGAATAATAAGAATCAAAACATAAATAAGCTTTGAGATAAGAATAACTATAGGCAAAACAAGAAATTGATAGACTTTAATAAAATTTATCATAACTTTCTAGTTCAGATAATAAGAATTAAAGTCTTGTTTAAGCATTGGTAAAGATTATAATTTTATTTTAGGAAACTTAATTAATAAATCTAAAGAAAAATAATAATATTTTAGAAGAGAAGTTATCATATGCAATCTAATAATTTGATTCATAATCAAAAGATTAAGAGTTTACTTTATTAAAATAATAAGCTGTAATTGGTTCATAGGAACAACATGTAACTGAATTGAAGAATAAATTGACTCAATAAAGAGAATAGAATTAAGAAATTTGTTAATAATTAAATAAATATAAAGATGTAGCTGAATCTAAGAGTGCAAGTGAATCTATTTTATAAAACAAATTGAAATTAATTGAATGTGATTTTGAACACTTGTCTTAAACATATAATGAACACAAAAATTCATTATAATAAAAGATAAATGAATTGACTACTATGTATGGAAAATCTTAGGAGTAGATTTGTCTTTTATAATAATAATAAACTAAAGAACAGAATTAAATTAAAAAATTATAAACTTCTTTGGAAAATTAAGAGAAAAATCATTAAAATGAAATAAATGATCTTCATAAATAAAAATAAATGTTGATTTAATTTTTAGAATAAGAATTATTAGGTTATAAAGAATAAAATTAATAATTGAAATTAATGAATTAGAAATTAGAAACTTAATATAAAGAGAATCAATAATCATATTAATAAAACTTTAGAGAATTAGAATGTAAAACTAATATGTTAGGAGATGAATGTACTAGACTCAATAATATCATTAAATAAAAAGATGAGTAAGTTTTTAGATTGTAAGTCTAATTAAAAGATTTAATGAATCTTAATGGAAAAAATTAAAATCAAGAATAAATCTTAGAGACTTTATAAATTAAAGAAGGAGAAATTAATATTCTAAAATAATAGAATGATAGTTTGATAAGTGATTTATCAAGGTAAGCTGAAAATTATAGAAATCTAGTATAATAACATAAATAATTGTAAAAATACTCTGAAGAAGTAAAGATGAATAATATAACTATTAATGAATTTTAGAGTAAATGTGAATTATAGGATAAGGAAATTGAAAGATTACGTTAGAAAGTATTAGAGAAATCTTCATTACTAGAAAAAGTATAGAAGGAAAATTTGGAATATTAAGCTAAGCTTAAATCTAAGTTAAGATGATATGATTACTTTATTTTATTACAAAATAATTATATATTATTACATATCTAAATATAGAAGTCTTATTAGAAAGGATATCCAAATATCTATATATATAAATGAAGATAACGAACTAAAAATAACAAATTAAATTCAAAAAAAAGTAAAATTTAAAATGCTAATTGAATAAGGAGAACCTAAGATTATAGTGGCAGTTCGTAAGAGGCCATTAAATAAAAAGGAGATGAATAAGGGCGATATCGATATTGTCGATGTTTACAATTAATAAAGTCAAGTTGTTGTAAAAGAATAAAGGTATTAATTAATTGATGGATCATTATAGAACAAAAGTTGATTTAACTAAATATATAGAGGAGCATTAATTTAATTTTGATGCTGCTTTTGATGAAAATACAACAAATGAGCAATTATATTTATAAATAGTGAGACCAATTGTTGAAGCAGCATTTAATAAGGCAAAAGTAACATGTTTTGCATATGGATAAACAGGATCTGGTAAAACATATACAATGCTTGGTGATTATTCAGAAAGAGTACCTGGTTTATATTTATTGGCAGCTTATGACATTTTTTGTTTATTAAACAATGAATGTAATGGTCATCTCTAAATATCTATATCATTTTATGAAATTTATTGTGGGAAACTCTTTGATTTATTAAATGAACGAACACTATTACATGCTAGAGAAGATGCAAAAGGAAATGTTAATGTAGTAGGATTATAAGAAAGGAAAGTATAATCTGTAGAATAACTAATGAAAGTGATAGAATAAGGTAGTGCATCAAGAATTACAGCATCAAATTCATCAAATAATGATTCATCAAGATCTCATGCAATATTATAGATAACTTTAAAAGATGGTAATAAATGTCATGGAAAATTATCATTCATTGATTTAGCTGGTAGTGAAAGAGGTGCAGATGTAAGTGACACTAATAAATAAACTAGATTTGATGGTGCTGAAATTAATAAATCATTATTAGCATTAAAAGAATGTATTAGAGCATTAGATTTAAATAAAAACCATACTCCATTTAGAGGATCTAAATTAACTTTAGTATTAAAAGATTCTTTTGTTGGTAATTGTAAAACTGTTATGATTGGTAATTTCTCACCTTCTAATTCATCATCTGAACATACATTAAATACATTAAGATATGCAGATAGAGTGAAAGAATTAAAAAAACCTAATGATAAAGATTTAAAAGATTAAGTTACATCTTTAGATAAATTAGCTAGAGAATTAATGTTACCTAGATAATAATAACCTATTAAAAAATAAACATAAGTTTAATAATAATTTAATCCTTTTAAGAATAATCCATTATAAAATTATTAGAATTAAAATCTATTTTAATAATAATAATAACCTTAATTTTTAAATTTATAAAATTCTATTCCTGGAATGATGATTCCATAATAATAATAATAATAATAATATTCATATCAAAATTATATTTAACCTCCTCCTCCATAACCTTAACCTATGATTCCCTTATAATAATAATAATAACCACAATTCAAAATTAATGATACTAAAAATAAACATTCCTTCTAAAAACCAACTCCATAATTAAATGAACCTCGTCCATATGTAAATGAGAATGTTTTTCCAGGACCAGGACCTATTGAACGTAAATCAAGTATTAATACTTTATATATATTTTAAGAAATAAATTAATCAATGGAAGAAGATTTAATGAAAATTGGATAGAAACATGAATAATTAATTAGTGTAATTTTAGAAGAAGAAGAAAACTTGATTTCTAATCATAGATCTCATATAGATTCAATGGTTGAATTAGTTAAATAAGTAATTTTATTTATTTAAGATTATTTTAGGAAATGATGTTATTACATAATATTGATAAACCAGGATCTGATGTAGATGAATATGTGAAAGGATTAGATTAGATATTATTGACAAAAATGGAAGAAATTTAAACGTATATTAATTTTAATATATATATATATAGATTACAATTCTAATTATAGACTTTTAGATCTCATTTATCAGAAGAGGAAACTCTTTAGAAATAATTTTATTAATAAAGATAACAAATAACTCAATAAGAACCTGAAGGCTCTGATATTTTTAAATGATAATTAAATAATTAATAATATAATTAATTATTATGGATTCATTAATTCACTATTCAAAGAATGGATGTTATAAAGCATCTTCAACTTTAATTCTCTTTTAAGGATCTAATTCTAATAACTAAGTTAGTAAATCTTCTGCTTTATCATCAAATCCTTCTACATGAATTACACTTCTCCAATTAATTGGCGTTTTAGCTACAACAGATGGTAAATTTAAATAATATCCTATTAATGTATAATAAATAATATATTACCAAATTTATTACAAATCTTAGTAATTGCTTCAGCTCCAAATAGTGATGTTAATTCTAAGATAAAATTCACATAGAATAAATTTTTAGAAACTGCAGGCTTATGAACCATTCTCACATTACTAAATAGATTATATTTCCTTGTTAAAAATTATAAAAATATAACTCCTACAGCCCATATATCTACTTCATAAGATTATTCTTGATAATGTAAAATGGATTCTAATGGCATAAAACTTTCAGTGCCTATTTTATTATGACCAATCTAAGAAATTGTTTTCATAATATCTTCATATAATTATTTTCTTTATCTTAATTCTTATGTATTTCCACCATTTTCCAACATATTATTTACAAATGATTTATCTATTTCAGATAATCCATAATCAATAAGAATTCCTTTCTTGATTTTTGGATTATAAAGAAAATTACCTGGTTTGACATCTCTATGATATATTCCATTTTATTTCAATACTAATAGAGCCTTTAATAATTCTCGCAAATAATCTTTAATTTACTACATGTTAAAAGTAGAAAAAAATGTAATAAATGGATCAAAACTAAAATATTCTGTTACAATGTATATTTTCTAATTTGTCAAGAATAAATTAACTAATTGAGGTAAGTTCTCCTTTCCTTAAACTAATTTTAAGAATCCAATTTCTGCAAATATTAATTCTGGAGAGACTGTTGAGAAATTGACTTTAATTGCATATTTCTTAGTCTTGTCTTCTTGTCCATTATGGTATGCATATCTAAAATATTATTAGACATACCCTTTATAAACCACACCATATCCTCCTCTTCCCAATTCACGAACAACTTTATAATTGTTTCTAAGATAAGCATCTTCATCTATCAATAGATCAGGATAATATCGATCATTAGAATTTTAATTCAACTTACTTTATTTCTCAGTTGTCTTAGCTTTGGCTTTGGCTTACACTTATTATTTTTTCATTAATATAATTATTCAATAAAATGTCAGATTAAGAATATGATTATGACTATGATTATGATGAGAATCAAATTGATTAAGAAGAAGACCAAGATGAAATAGAATTAGAAAATAATTATAATAGAGCAGAAGATGAATGGAAACTCAATCCAGATATGGCATTTCAACTCTTTAATGAAGTAATATAGAAAGAGAAGTCTAAAGATATTAATTCCAGAAAGTGGAGTTTTAAGAGTTATTAAGTATTTACTTTTCATTAATATTTAATAGTTTTTGATTTAGATAGCAATTATGAAATCTAAATTTTAAGATGATCAATTTCTTGAATATATATAAGGATTTTTAGAATTATTAGATAAATAATATAAGACAGAAGGAGATAAAGCACTTAAGATTGTTGTTGATGCACTAATGAATTCAAATAATTCTCATCTTATTTCTATTGTTTTACCAAACTTATTAGATAAATTAAAATTTATGAATCAAATAGGTATTTATTGTGGAGCAAGTATGAAATTATGCAAAGATTATTTTTAAAAAGGGGATTATATTAAATTAGAAGAAACAATTAATGTATATTACTATTATAATATTAAAGAATATCTAATCTGTTTTGGATAATAGTCAAATACAAGATGAAGATAGAAAAAAAGCATTTATTTCTGAATTATTGGCTTACAGAGTTCTACTATACAATATTACAAATCGTCAAGATTAGATTAAACCAATTTATAGATAATTATTAAAATCAAATTTAGATTTACTTGAACCTTATGTATTAATCATTTATAATTAAGATATCTGGAGTTATCAATCTAACAATTGGTTAATAAAAGGCTCTTGAAAGATAATATGAATAAAGTAGAAAGAAACTTATGGAAGCTTTCTATAATTTCTTAGATGCTAGTTCACCAGAAGCTAAATAGACTCTTATTTATGCATCTGTAATTAGTATTCTTGAAAATTTTAAAATGAACTTATTTGATGATATGAAGAGTAAAGTTTATGATTAAGATCCTATGGTTAAAGTATTTTAAGATTTAAGATTATCTTATGAATAATAAAATGTTTAGACTTTTAGTAACATTATTAATTCAGAAGTAGAATATATTTTATATTTCATAGTTATTTTAAAAGGATCCATTTTTGGCATAATTGAAACCTTATTTATAATAAATAATTGTTGAATGCAAAATCTTAAGATATGCTAAATGTTATTCAACAATTAAATTGGATTATTTGTCTAAACAATTATTGATTGAAATTCCTGTTTTAAAAAAATATATTTAAGGATTAATAACAAAAAAATAGTTTAATGGTTTAATTGATGAAATAGCAGGATATTTAGAAATTAGAGGAGAAGTTGCAGAAACATAAACAAAGGCTCTAAAAGTAATTGTTGATCAAATTAAAATATTTGATTATTGATTATGCATTCATTAAGAATTTATATAATTATTCATCATTTAAGACATTCTCTATTTTTTAATCTATTTTTTTGTGTTTGTATATTCTTTGTTTAATTGTTATAAAATTGAATTTATAAATTTTTCAATAGTGTCTTCTAATTTTATAATCCAAGGCTCTTTCTCACCTTTGCTATTATTTATATATTTTTAAATTAAAGTGGAAGCCATAACTCCTTCAATCAAGAAACTAATAGGATATTCTTTATTATTTTGATCTTTCTCTGTAGTAAAAGGTTTTGAATAAAATTGAAAGTTCTTCTCTAACTCATTCAACTTATATTCATTTTGAATAGGAACATTCTTTTCAATCCATTTAATTACTAATTCATGTATGATTGAGGATAAAATAATAGAATTTTATTAGATTCTTAATAGTTATTATTGATTATCTTATGATTAATCAGGATGTTATTCCCAAGCTTTGAAAATGTTATCAAATGCAATTTATTTCAGAACAATAAATATTATCAAAATCATTTTTTAACAATTTTCATTCATTTATCCTAAACTACCAAATTTTGTAGTTGGAATTCTTATTATTTCAAATTTACTATATATTTTCAAAGGAGGAAAAGAATATGATTAAATTATATCATTTAAATAAGATGCTAATGGTCCTTTGATAATTTATTCTGGTTTAAATTCTTTTATTAATTTAATTGATAAAGTATCAAACAAAGCACTAATTTTCTTTTTATTTACAGTATTCTATTTCTCCTAACCCACTTATACTATTAATGATTCATTAGTATTCAATAAATCTAATAAAAAATCATTTGTTGTATCATCAATCCAATCTAAGAGCATTTCATTGGCTTCTACACGATTAGTTTATTACTTTCTAGATTATTAATCTTTCTTTATTTTTATTTCATTTTCTAATGTTTTTAAATATATCCTACCAAACCATTACATTTTTCTAATTCTATTTATAATTTTTTTGAATTTCATAATGGAAGGTTTTTTATAATTACCATATTACCTTAACTATTTCTTATCCTCTTTGACTTTCTTTGCTAATCTTCTTTTTTTCTTATCATTTTTTATTTCATCTTATGATTTTTCACCCATATGACTATTTTAACTTTGATTTTCTTCTATTGTTTTAATATCCTATTGTTTTTCTAACTGTTTATTATGTCTTGCAGTTTCTAATTTTATTCTTTCTAATTAAATTTCTCTTTCCAAATACTCTTATTTTTTATGGGCATCTGTTTATTTATTTTTTATAATTCTAAATTATTATTCATTAGATAAATAAATTTTTGGAATCTCTACCTATTCAAAATAATCAAATTCTGGTGCTTTATAAATAGTTTATGGAATTTTCTTTTTAACAATCATTCTTTATGGTTTTGGTGGTTCTTTTGGTAATCCAAAATCAGATAAATCAAATGCCAATCTAATTTAACTTTAAGGTTGATGAACCATTAAACCTAGATTATAATTTAATGGTAATGGATCAATAACCTAAGATTAAATATAGGGTAATTTCTAATTATTAGTATATGCTGGTATGAAATTAGTTTAATAGGCATAATTTAATGAACTTAAATAAGGATTAAATTGTTATTATTATTATTATTATTATTATTATTGTTATTATTAGTAATTTATTCCATACAATTATCCATACAATTATCTTTCATTTGAAGTAAGTGGTAATTGATTTATCAAGGGAAGTATGCTTGAATTATTATACTATAAGTAATTCATTATTAATATTAATATAGAATTTTAAATGTCATTAGAATTATTTTTTTCATTTTAATTAATAGAAATGATATTTTAAATGTTATTTGTTTAAAGAAATAACGAAAATCCTCTAAATAATTTACACTTAAGTGTTTATACTAAATAATTTCATTAATTAAAATGATCAGATTTATTTCTGTCCAAACAAAACCCTATCAAGGTTAAAATAATTTAGACATTCTCGTTGACAATTAAATTTGCTAATAGTATTTTAATGGTGGCCAAAACTTGATTATTGAAGCTGAATTCGGAAACACATTAATTTAAGAAATTAACCTTCGTACATTATTATAACTTAAATTAAGATCTCCATCCAGAACCTGAAAAGGATATCCTATATAAATGTTACAATTTAAATGAATTAGATCAAGAGTATAAAAGAATTAGTGGAAAATTGATAAAAATAAGAAATGAAGAAAATTATATTATTTATGCAGCATAAATTAAATCAGAAGTGGTAATTATTATTCATGTATTATTCAAGCCATACACTAGATTGACAATAACTATATAAACAGAAAAATCAGACTCTTTTAAAATATATTATTTTGGAGTTAGAGGTAAAAATATAGAAGAGGAATCAATGTAATAAGAATCAATTGAAAAGAAAAACATTAAGGTGATTTTAAGGACAGGAAGAAAAACTGAAAATTTCAATAATAAAATTGTAGATAATGATAAAATGACACCCTCCGAATTCTTTAATCGTGTTAAAAATGGTATACCTATTAGTAATAGAGAATAATAGTCTAATTATAATGATAAAATGAAAATTGAATAATCTTAAATAAATGATTAAAATGTTAAGTATACTGACAAAATATTAGAAGAATCTAAAGTCAAAGACGATCCTGATAGTAAAAAATACATTACTCTATATGATGATGATGAAAATTCTGTTTAATTCATAGATTAAAAAGTAAAATAATAATAACAATAATAATAATAATAATAATAATAATAATTCAATAAAAATCATTTCTATTCTTAAAAATGCTGTTTCTCAGATACTAAACCAAATTCAATTAATAAAATACATACTAAATAACTTAATATTACTAAATTCACTACATTATAAAAATAAACTGCCAATCAAGACACTAAAATAGAATATAATATTTTTCATAATATGATTAAATACACAGCCTAAGAAATTGATTAAGAGTTTCTTCAATTTCATAAAACAAGTAATTATTTTTTATATATTTTATTAGTTGAAGAAAGCAAAACTGTACCCGCAAAATATAGATTAATACATAGACTAAATACATAATAATACTGATTCTTTAATTAATATATATTATAACATAAATCATCCTTTTTTATTTAACTCTCCAATTTATCTTCTGTTTTTTTTTAATAATTTTGTTAGTATTTAATATGATTAATAAATCTATTATAACTTGACAACTATCATCAAATAAAATAAAAAATTAGAATGATAATTGATGCGAGATTTATATTATTAAATTTATTATATCCATCATTATATTAATATTCTGTGATATGATCTTTAAAAGCATTTATGATTATAAAAATTATTTGGGATTGCTATTAGTTTATATTGATATTTTGGTGGAATTAATGGAAAAGTATGAGCAATTAAATGAATCCTTAACATATTTTAATTTTTGTAATAAAAATTCAACTTAATTTATTTGTTTATAAAAATATTTAAATTTTATGGAGGAAGAAGAAACTCAACATCTTTAATTAAGGGATTCAGATTGTGAAGAGGATCTAATTCCTTAATTTAAAATAATGTCATTAAGAGATGGAAAACATAGGAAGATTTAATTGCAATCTAACAATAGTAATAATAAATCAGATATTAGACAATAATAACAAAATCTTATTGAATAGAATATTGTTACTAACAATTATTAATAAGTTAACAATTTGCTTTATGATTTAAGAAAGGAATATTTAGAAAAAGTTGAAAAAGATAAAAATTAGATAATTGAAGAATGAATTAATATTAAAATATAAGATTATAATATAATATTATCCTAAATGCTTAATTTAAGAGAATAAGGTTTTTTAAATATCTTGAAGGATTAATAAATGTTTTAAACAATAATATATTAAATATAAATAACACCAAAAAAAATAGTGGGAAATTTTAGTTTAAAAATATACAATAACCAAATATTTAAAAGAAAATAATTTTGTAAAAGACTCTAATAAAGGAACAAGAATATATTTAATTAAATATATAATCAAATAACTTAAAGAATAATAATCATAATTATTTACAAATGATTCATGGAATTATTTTAAAAAGATTACTAAACTTGATTTAAAAATATTTGTTCATCAAGATGAATTGAAAATTTTATAATCATAATTAATTAAGAATAATGAACAATAGGGTTCTTTAATTTTATTATTCTAAAGGGTAAGTATTATTGAATAATATATAACAAATGACTAAATATAGAATATAAAACAATAGTGTTTTAAAAATGAATGATTATAGATAAATCAGTCAGATGTTATTAATTTTATAAAATCTTTGAATATCTTAATGAAACTCTCTGATTAGTTTCTGTGGTTATTCATGTATTAACTTTCTAATGTGTGTCAAATGATTTCCTATAGTATGGAAAGTAATTTGTTCTCTTTCATAATGTAATAATAAATACTTTTTAAGAATTTTAGTTAATAAATGGAATCCAGCAAAGTATAATTTATTTATAACACTTATAACAGAATCTTCTTAATTAATGAGTTAATTCAATTTATTATCTTTAAGACTAACTAAAACAAATGTTGTAATATTTATTAGAGTAATACTAAATGGAATTTTAATATCCTGAAAAATCTTTAGTGCTTACTTGATATATATTTTATATTCTGATATAAAAGCAAGCATTTATAATAATCCAAGTATACCAGCTCCTCTAAGATCAGTAGCTGGATCAGTGCCTTAAAATCCAATCATTTCCCAATGAGATCCATATCTTAGACAATAGTCAGTAGTCATAAGTTGGCAATAGATTGTATAAAGAATTCTAAAATGAGATTCGTTATTATCATCAAATGACAGTTACGACATTAAGCAAACCTTGTTTAGAATTATAGTACTTAGTTTTTTTCTTAGATGAGTCTACTACTTTTCAAATGGATACTAAAACATCCGAATAGTTTATCTAAAAAAGATGTCTTTTTTTAGATAAATTCAATCTAATCACGTATATCTTAAGAACCCTTCAATTAATCCCAAGCTTCTATAAAGTTTATCTATTTAATTTCATTTTTCTTCTTTTCTAAATCCATCATTCTTTCTTTATTGGCTTATTCGAATTCTTCTTCAATTTTACCAATACTTCTTTCTGACAATCTAAAAACCTTTTTATCTGGACTTTCTTCTCCTTTATCAATACGAGGTTTTTCATTTTCATCATCACTTGATTAACATTGTTGTTTTATGGGTGTTTCGTTGTTTTGATTATTCTATAATGCAATACTTTTTGCCTTGTCTTTAAGATTATTGACTAAAGGTCCATTTCTTTAATTTACATTAGTTCCTTTCTTATTTAATTTCTAATTTATTTTTTATCTAGCTTATTCAACATGATCATTTGATTATTAGAAGACCTATTTATTATCAAAATCGAAATCATCATCATCTTTAGCCTAAGCAGCTGATATTCCAGCCCATTCTGCTACTTCTCCCATTTCATCATCATTATCAATAATATTTTGGATATTTCTCTTTTTTTACATGGCCTTTTAATTAGCAATCATTTAAATAAAATATGAATTAATAAATAAAGGAACCACTTAATCCAGCAGTTTGTGAAGTTTTTTAAAAACTCTTATCAGATGTATTCATTAAGAAGATATGGAAGGTATGAATGATACACAAAAGTAGGAATTCAGAGAATCAGGTAATTTATCTGAAGGTAAAATGACTAAATCTAATTTCACAAAAGAAATGTTAAAATAACTTAAATTACATGTCAAAAGTAGAGAATATAGTTATATTTCATCTTAATTCTTTTTAATTTTGGCACCTGAAGAATTTACAAGATATTAAAATAAAATGAAGAATGATTTTGAAGCAATTGTTGAAAGATCATGTGCTGAATCATATAGATTTGATCCAGATACATAATTGGTTAGAGAACCTGCTTAAAGAAGAGATAATTAATCAGAAAAACATTAACCACCAGATTAAGCATTTGAAAATTGGTTTAAGTAGAATTATGATTAATAATTTCTTAAATGGTTTGGAACTAATTATAATTCAGATAAAAAAAAGATGAAGATATCTGCTTTAGATAGTTTATTTGAAAGATGGTTTAGATCAAATAATGTATAACCAATATTTGAAAAAGCATAATAAGAGAAAACATATTTTGAAATTTGGGTTGGTAAGAAATTTGAAACATTATTTGAAAAGTTATTTGAAAGTAATATCTAATAATTATTATATAGGATTTTAATTAGAATTTGATGATAAAATTGAAATATAAGATTTAGTATTATCTCTTGGAGTATTAGCAAGAATGGAATTAGAAAAAAAATTAGAATTGATATTTGATTTAAGTGATGTTGATGAAGATGGATGTTTATCTATTGATGATATATAATAAATGATTAAAAGAATAGAAAAGAATTTTACAAGAGAAACATCACTTATTACTAGTGATTCATAAGCATTATAAAATGAATTGGCATTTAAAAGAGCTATGAGAAAGTTTTCATGGGCAACTATTAAAATGGATAAATAAATTGAAATTAAAAATGATGAATTAGGTTTAATTGAAGGTAAGAAATTTTTAGATTCTCTTAAATAAAATAAAATGTTATTTGAAACCTTTTTACCTGGTTAATTATTATTATATGATGTGTTAATGACAGATTAAGGAGAAAAAGAATTTTAAATATAAGAAATTGATAATAAAATTTTAGATGAAAATCAATTTAAGTAAGAAATTAAGAAAGAAGATCCTAAAAAAGAAGAATAGGTAGGATAATTTGAATTATTTAGAAAAGAAATACATGCTCAATTAAGAAATAATTATAAAGATAAGTAAATAAAAATATTAATTATATAGATTATCTAAATAATATTTATAAGAACATAAAGGTTAAGTTAGATATCCAGGTAAAATGGAAGTTGTTTAAGTTGGTAATTAAGCCAAAAGAGTTCCTAAATTAGAAAAATTTGAAGAGAAAAAAGAAGCTAAAAAGGAAAAAGAAGATACATAATAAAATCAATAAAAATAAAATAATATTGAATCTCATGGTATTAATAATATATTTATATTAAGAAAAAAGATTGAAGGACATGAGAGAACAAAGATAGTAATGGAATATAGAGAGTATATTAAAAGATTACAAAGCTGTATGAATTATTATTTTATAATATAATATTTCAAAAATCTCAAAATTATATATTTTTTATAATTGAAATAAGAATTTTAGAAATTTCATTAAATTTAAGAAAATGTACACAAATCCACATTTATATTTTATATATATATATGTAAATTTCAATGCGTGCTGTTGTTTTGGAAGGCCCAGGCTAAGAAGCTGTGGTCAAGGAAATACCAATTCCTACTCCATAATCTGGCTAAGTCTTAATCAAAGTAGACTCTGCTCCAATCAATCCTTCTGACATAGCATTTTTACATGGGGCTTATTCAAGTGGTAAACAATTTCCATGTGTTCCAGGATTCGAAGGTTCTGGAACTGTTATTGCTAATGGGTATAGTTGAATGTAAATAATTTAGAGGTGGAATTATGGGATGGAGATTAGTAGGAAAAAGAGTGGCTTTTTATTCATAATCTCAATTTGGAACTTATGGTGAATATAGTGTGGCAGATGCTTTGGGTTGTTTAGAATTAGATAATGATATTACATTATAAGAGGCTTGTTGTTCATTTGTTAATCCTTTGACAGTGATTTCAATGTTAGAAGTGGCAAAAGAACATAAAACTTAAGCTGTTGTTCATACAGCAGCTGCTTCTTAATTAGGCAGAATGATGGTTAGACACTTTTAAGCGAATGGTGTTAGAGTTATTAATATAATAAGAAGAGATGCTTAAGTAGATATGTTGAAAAAGGAAGGAGCAGATATTATATTAAATTCATCAGATTCTGATTTTTAAGAAAAGTTAAAAAATGTGTTATAAACATTACGGTATTATTTATAGAATATTTAAATAGTGCAACTGTTTTCTTTGATGCTTTAGGAGGAGAATTAACAGGTAAGATTCTTGAAGTCATGCCTAATCATTCAACTTGTTATGTATATGGAGGATTAAGTCTGAAACCTGTTGGAAATGTATCTATTATGGATTTAATCTTCAAAGACAAAAAAGTAGTTGGATTTTGGTTGACATAATATTTGAAAACAAAAAATATTATTAGTTAAGCACTATTATTGAATTAATTAAAAGGGTTGCTCAAAACTAATCTTAAAACTATTGTAGCCAAAACAGTTGATGTTTCTGAATTCAAAGAGGGTTTGGAGTTTTATAAGAAAAACATGAGTGAAGGAAAGGTATTAATTAGATTCGATTAAAAATAATAATAATAATAATAATAATAATAATAATAATAATAATAATAATAATTATAGTAGCAATGAATACATATTCATATCAATATTGAATTTATCATTAATTTTTAAAAGAATTTTATCTTTTTCTAATTTAATACTATTATAATATATATAATTCAATTTATAAAATAAAATAAATTACAATTTATTTTGGATTATTATTGAATATATTCAATTGCAACTAAATATATCAAGTCAATTTGATAAAATTAATTTTTACTCAAATATAACTAGAAAATTGAAAAATTTTATGTAATAAAATTGAAATTGTATATTCAAATTGAATATTTACAAAAATAAGATATTCTAAGTAGATACTATAATATAACATTATAATGAACTATTAAAAATTCTCTATTTTTATTAATTAATAATATTATTCATATAGATAATAATATTTTATTTTCCTTTAATTTTTTAAAAGATTGCACTCTATATAATTATTTAATATTGGATAATAATTTAATTCTTATATTCTTATTCTTAATATATCTAATTGATTAAAGATATAATTATTTGTTTAAGTAGACTTAATTTTTTAAAATATGAAAAATTTATTTATTATAATACTAATTATTTATGATAATTACTAGATTATTAGTAAAAAGTAAATCTTAATAGAATTTAACACTAAAATTTGTTTATTAAAAAGTATTTCATAAATGCATTTAATCAGAAATTATCAGTAATTAAACCTATTTAATTCGCTAATACCTATTGTAAAAAATATATTAATTCTTAAAATGTTAACTACATTTGAAGACATATTCTATGAAGATAATTTTTCATACTAAATTTAAGATGTTGACACTGATAGTTTTCTTCAATAAACAGAAAACTATGAACCATAAAATAAGTTAGATGGAATGCTGATTGAAGCAGAATTAAATGAGTTTATCAACGTTGAGATTGATTAACCTTAAAATGTAAATCAATCAGCATTCCAAAAAATAATCAAGACACCAAGCAAATAAATTCAAAACAAAAAATATAGATTCCCTAGAGAATCTAAAAATTATTTCAAAAATATTGGACCAAAACTTAAAGAATTCATTATTGAAAATTTTTCTCACATACCTCAAATAATTAATCAACCTCTAATTTAAGAATACCTGTAAATAAAAAATTAGAGACATATTAAGTTGCATATTTAAAAACTTTGTTAAATAAGAGAAGGCCTAACTATTGCTAAGTCTTTTTTCAAAAACTATAGATGGTCTAAGTCTCTTGTCAACGATGATCTCAGTAGCTATTTTCGACTTAATAGCGATTGGAATAATTGAGTATATAAATTATATTACAATTATTCATCTTTTATGATATATTTTCATTAGCTATATTAATAATGCCTTCTTATATGCTAATGGTGTGGGAGACTAAAAAAAAAACCAAAAATTCAAAAATAAAGTTTTGAATTGATTGTAAATAATAACATCAATCCTCAAAATAACAATTGCCCTAACTCAAATGAGAAGTATATTTTCTACCTTATAAACAACATCAAAATTAAAGCCACTCAAAATGAATTATTATTTCATTTAAATAACCACCAAAATTAAGAAAGTTAAAAAGTAGAATAATTTTTTCATTACAAAGTTAAATACGATTAAGACTATAATCCAAAATTTTATTTTTATGAAGGTGAAATGAAAAATTCTGATCGTCATGGATATGGTATATCATATTATGGGAAATCAGAAGAAATAGAATATGAAGGGATATGGTTTAATGGATAAAAGGAGTAAATTAAAATATTTGATTAAAAAAGAATTTAAGATTCTAAATTCTAAATTCAAAAAAAGATAAAAATAATGGAAAATGGAGTATTAATTAATAATTTATTCAAAGGAACAAATTAGAATCAAACATCTACAAAATAAATTTGGATTAAATTTAATTAATAAATATCATATCTGGATTTAAGAATCTTATAATAACCATAAACTTATTTCACAAGTAATATTATTGATGCATATGCATCTTATTTAACAATTAAAAATGAACAAGAGTTTTTTCAAGGTTTTAATTAAATTAATATTAAAAGAAAACTATTTTTACCAAGTTCATTATTTACAAATATGTGGTAAAACAATGAATACATATAAAAAAGAATCTTTTAAAATTATCTACTAGAATATAAATATATAGACTATTAAATACTAGATATTTATTAATCAATATATTTTGTGATTAATTAAGAATTTCATTGGTATTTGGTTAAAATAATGAAGGAAAAAGTTATAAATGAATATATATATAAAATAGAAATATTTGACTCCATTATACATTATGATTGGTATTATAAAAGAATGATAAAAATATTATTTACATTATTTAGTAATTTAAAGTAAGTGTATGTTAATTATAATTTTAATTATTTATAGAAAAATACTTATGATTGTGGTCCTTGGACTTGTTTAAATATGAAACTTGAATATTTAGAATCAATTTCAATCTAAAAAAAATGTCAATATAATGATATTAATGTGGAATCAATTAAACTAGAATTATTTAATCTATTAAAAAATACATGATTTTTATATATTTATTATATGATAATATTTATGATATCGTTTGTATTTTTTAATAAAAAACAGCAGATAATAGACAAAATATATATTTTTATTGTTCTTTTTATAATTGTATATTCAATTATTTGAATGTAAAATGGTAGAATCATAATTTTATTAGTGACTATAGATGTTCTTATAATTATTCCATAGATTGTATTTTTGATAATAGCTTTTTATTTTTAGATTCTTTTAACATATTATAACAAACATGGAAATAGGATTTTGTTAATCTTTGATTCAATTTACACTCTGCACATTTTATTATCTCTGAGCCAAGGCTAGGATAAATACTTTTAAGTAAGTTCAAATAGGGTGAATAATCATATCCTCCTTTATTTTAATCCTTTAGATCATGAATATATAAATGAGGAGGAGAGACTTCAATAAAAAAATAATCTTTATTCTCTTCATAAGATGTAATAAAAAAGATTTTATCGTATATTAATGATAAATCATATTTAATAGGTTGATATTAAAAAATATAGTTTTCGTATTATTATTTAAATTACTTTACATCCCTTCCTTTTTTTAAAATGGAACTAGGAAAGAAAATATTTTATTTATAGGTTTAAATATGATTTTTATTATCTCTTATATATTATTTTAAACTTTCAAGATTTAAGTATTATGAGAAAGCATCAATAATAGTAGATGATCCTTCTCTAAGTTCATCTTTTGTAATTAATTAATTGAAATAATAGTTAGCTAAATTTTATCTATTTATATCTTCTAAACCAAAATAAATATCTTTAGGGGCATTTTCAATAATACCCTTATAATAGTTTTCTTTAGTATTTTAGTTATATATAATAATTTGGTTTTTCTCTTATTCAATACATCTATATGATTAATTAAATTGATTATCTAATTTATATTGATATTCTAAAGTTTTAATTACTTTATTTTTGGATATAACTTATTGTTATTCATATAGTATTGATTAAGTTGTAATTTTCAGATTCTAATATTCATAATTTTAGAGAATCAATTATACATAGCCTTCTTTAGGAGAATCATAATTATCTTATTGATCTAAAAACTCATTATCATTTTAATCTTATTTTATTGAGATTTATGATTTGATTATATACTTCATTTTTTTAGGAGAGGTATTTGAACCATGAAAAAATCTAAAGTATTTAGGGATGATGTAGATTAGTAATAAACCAAGTAGAGCAGCTATTATAATTGTTAATATCATTTCCATTATTATTATTATTCAATAAAAATAATGTTTAAGATAAGACAATAAATAATTATATATATATATTTAAAAATATGAGAATGATAATAATTATAATATTAATAAATTCAGAAATATGAAACAGAAGTTAACATTTTCATTTGTGCCATCCATACCATTAGATATATAAATTTAGAATCTAAGAGTATTTTTGTATAATAATATTAACATAGAAAAAGATATTACAAGACTAAAATCTAAAAAAAATATGTTTTAAAGAGTTTCAAAATCAATATCGAATAGATCATCTTCTCAAAGTCTAATCAAATCTTAGATAAATAAATACTATTCAATAAGTAAAGTTTTCAAGTACTGTTTTATCAATTGAACATTTTGCATTGTTAGCTTAATGGCTTAAACAATTGCAATGTAATAATTTTATAATAAAATTAAATAATAATAAAGTAGATAATAATGAAATTCATGATTTCTTGAATGCAATAGTAAAGGGTGACATTTAAATTAAAAAAGTATATTTTATATTTCTAATATAGATAATAATTACAAATAATCCAGGTATTTATAAAGGATAACTAATATCTGAATTGAAAAAACTTATAAGATAATAAAATGCTAATAATTATTAGTATTAATATAAATTAGTATTAAATAAACAATATTTTTCACTTGCTATAATAAGATAGAATTATAATGAAACATAATAATAAAGAGATTTTTAAGAATAAAAAGTATTTTAAAAAATTAGTAAACTAAACTTTTTTTCATTTTCATTCAATTCAACATTTACTTAAATTAATTTTAGAGCCTTAGAATAATTAATTAATTTAAATTTCAATGAAAATGGAATTGATTAAATATCTAAATTATAAATATCATCAAGTCTGATTGTAAACTCTGCTATTATGTGTGAATAAATGTCAACATCTAAAGGATTATTAAAAATGGTGATGTAATCATAATCATTACTTAATAATTCAGTTCCTATAGAAAATTTAATGGGAAATAGATATCATAAATTTAGAGTAAATGTATTGGATATTGAAAAAAATTCAACCATTCTTGAGAAAACATATAAAATTCTATCAGATAATATATTTTTACATTGTAAGTAAATTAAATTTAGTTCATCCTTACCTTAATAATTAAGTACTTTATATAAGATGTTTGTAATGACTGAATCATTTCAATAATATTCAAACTAATTAATTCAATAATCAATTGAATAAGGAAAAATTCTGAAATAAAATTTAAGAGTATTAGATTTAACTTCACTTGAAAATTATAATAGACATGATTTAATTGCCAAATTTTTATAAGCCTTAGTTTTTACAGAAACATCCAATCTAAAAAAATTAAGTAATAAAATCTTATTTATATATTTTAGCTATTTAAAATATTGATATTGGACGTACTTAAGCATATATTTAAGCTTTAATAAGATTTAGAGAATATATATAACAACAGTAGTAAAAATATCCATTCTATCAAAATTTTAAATTACCTTTAAAAACATTAAAGTTACCTAATTAAACTTATAGAATGGAAATTGCAACAATGAAACAATTTTTCTAAGAATTCTTTTTTACTAGAGTTGGAGATATCCTAGAGATTGAAGAATTTATAATGGAAAAGTGTTTTAGATAATCAAATAGAGAGGAAGGATTAAAAGAGAATTGTGCAGAAATATTTTAATTATTATAAGCTAATCCTGATATAAGATATTCAATAAAAAGAATTAAGTTTATAGAATCAACATATTAATTTGATAGTGTAACATATCGTTGTTTATTTTTAAATCATTGTTTTAATATTGAAGAATTGATGATAAAGAAGGATACTATAGCAGGAGAATTTATTTAATTTGTTAATGAAACTGAACAATTTTTTCTTAATCAACCTTTAGATTATAAATTACCTTTATAGATAATAACTTTAGATGATATTGAAGATATAGTATTTAATATTAGTGATCTTTTATAATTCTTTGTATTTCATGATAGAATGAAAATAAAAAAATTAGTATTGAAATAAATTGTATTATTATATTCTTAACTTTCTATTAATAAATTAGAAGAAGTTATAAATTCTAAAGATAAAAATTAAATATTATCTTTAGAGGAATTTGAATTTTCTAATTTAACAGATGATGTAGGAGTTTTATAATTCTTTAAATATGTTGTATTTAATAAAAATATTCGAATAAAAAAATTAAAATTTGGAAATCTAGATTTTTCAGCTTGTGTGTACTTTTTATAATAATATTTTGAAACACAAAATGAATTAAATGTAAATCATTCATTATAAGAATTGAATTATCTAAAAATATCAAATGTAAATTTTGAAGATGAAATTTCATGGGAATTTTTCTTTTAAAAATTTGTCCTTCATCCAACAATGAAATTAAAATCATTAAAAATATAATAATAAAAATTGGATGAAGCTTTTTATTAAGGTATTTCATAAAGTTTTGAGAATTCTGGAGAAATATTGAAATTAGAATTGAAAGAATTAAAATATAAAAAATGTGAAATAATGGTAGATCCTTTAACAGCCTTTCTATATACATGTTCTTTAAATCATTTATCATTTGATTCATGTATTAAAATGGATTAAGGTTTAAAAATATGTATGGATAATTATCATTAATCAAATGTTAAATAATATAATAATTTTAAATTAGAATCATTTTCAATAAAAATGAGTAAAGTAGAAGATACTAAGATATTTAAATGGTTAATTAAAGAGATTGCTTTAAATATATAACATTAATAATTAAAAAAATTAAATCTTTCTGATTGTAATTTAAGTAATGAACATCTTAGAATATTATAAGAACAGATTGAACTTATTAAAGATAATAATCAAAAATAAAAATCAGCATTTAAATTATATAATTTAAAAATTGACTAAAATCAATAAATATCTGAATCAACTTGGATTGATTTCTTTAATGTTCTAATGAAAAATAAAGCACTAGTAGATTAAGATGATTAGAATTCCGAGAAAACAAATATTAATTAACAGAAACATAATAATAATCAAAAAAAGAAATTAAAATAAACTAAATTAATAAATGATAAGGAATAGTAATTATCTATTAATAGAATAAAAATAGAAGATTAATAGGATAGAGAAATTAAAGAGAAGATTGATACATTATAAAAGAACATAATAGAAACAACATTATACAGAAATGATTTGAATTTAAAATAGAAAATAATAAATAATTATCATATATTTACTCCTAATTTTCCTAAATAATTGAAATAATTACATTTAAATATGAATTTTTAAGAATTAGATTAAAATGATAAAACATAAATTTATGAAAGATTGATATCTGGTTTAATTATGCATCCAGAAAATCAATTAACTGATTTAACATTAGTAAATTTGAATTTAATTTTGTTTATGGAAAAATGTGAATAATTCTTAATTTATTATAATGTTTATTAGAATTAATGTATAAAAAATGAAGATAATAAATGGTCAAGTAAATTAGAAAGTTTATCATTAAAAAGTCTTGCTACTTAAAATTAAAAAAGCACAGATTAATTTGTTAAAACATTTATTTGTTCTTAATCTGTCAATTTATAGAAGTTATTATTAGAGAATTTTAATGAATAATTGATAGTAAGTTTAATGAATTAAATTGATAATCGATAAGATTATAAAATTACAGAACTTACTCTTCTTTGTATTTATGAATCAATTGAAAGTAAATATTTTAATTCTTTTGTTGATGATATCATATATTGTCAAAAATTTCCATTATAAAAAATTGAACTTATTGGAATGGGAATTCAATCAAATAATAAATAGATAAGTAGTTAAAATAAATAATTAAAATAAATTTAATATAAATAAAAATAGATTTCATTAAAATAAATAACAATTTAATTAATTGATGAATAATAGGTTAAAACTTTCATTTCCATATTAGGACATCTATTATAATAACCAGATTGTAAATTAGAAGTTATCAAAATATAAACAAAGGCTTAATAAGAAAATTTATCATCTAATTTCTTTTCATAATTGACAAATGAATTGAAAGATATCTAAGAATTAAATTTAAAGGAAATACATGTTCAAGGTAAAGTAATATTTGATGAAACATTTGTTTAATTTTTAGATAAATGTATATTAAGTTTAGAATAATTATCAATTTCTAATGTAGACTTTCCATATTCATAGAAATTAAAAGATAAGCTTAATAAACTTAAAAGAAAAGAGAAGAAATCTAAATTTACTATTGAAATAAAATAAATAGCTACTGGTATTGAACATTTTTTTGAATGTTTTACATTTAATAAAAATATCAAAGCTACTAATATAATATTGAGCAATCCATAAAATTTCACTTCACTTAGATTTGAAAATATGAGTCAATTTATTAAATCAATAAAATTAGATATGGGTTTACTTTATAGTTCAACAGTTAAATTAAATAGAGATAGTTTAACATTATTAAGTTAAAGATTTATTTATAATGAATAGAGTCATGTTGAAGAGATGCTTCTATATTAATGTTAATTAAAAAGAGAAGAAATTGAAGCCTTTTGTTTACCAGCAGCTGAATTTAGAGAATAGATAATTTAATAATAAAGATAAGGTATATGCTAATTAAAATTAAAATAATTTTCAATATATTATTCATTATATATTGGAGAAGTAGGTTGTGAAATAATTTCTAAAGATTTAATCTTTTTTGAATATATTGATATTGAAAGAATAGATTTCTTAGTTACTAATTTTAATGATTAAATGTGTGATCATTTTAGTCAAGCAGCTAAAAATTGGATGACATTCTAATAATTAAATAATAGAAAAAATAAAGATAAATATCCATTAAAATATTTAGATATTGGTAGAAATGAATTTGTTTAATCAAAAACTACTTGGGCTAATTTACTATAAACATTAGTATTTACAGATAGAGCAACAGAATTATCAACTTTAAATCTTTAATTTATGGGTTTTAATGATGAAACAATATCTTATCTAGTTGAATAAGCATAATTATATTTAGATTAAAAACCAGATAATTATGTATTACCAATTAAGAAAATCAATTTCTCTTAAAATAATGCATTGACACATAGAGGATGGTAGAATTTATTTGATAATTTCTTTTTACATAAAAAAGTTAATCTTATTGAATTAAATATGATTAGTACTATGTTAGATACTTAAATTAAATTAAATACTATTTATGAATGTATATAGAAAAGAGCTTTATAAGAACCAAATTAGAAATTATAATTATAAGTATTTTTATGTTATAATGTATCTCTTAAAAATGCAATTGAACCTTATCTATAAGTTCCAGCTAAAGATTATCCAAAACCAAAAAATCTACCTGTTGATATAGATTATGATAGTTGGAAATATGGAATATTTGATGGAATTCCTGAAGAATTTGGATCAATTATAATGTTAGTAAACACATTAATAAAAAAGAGAAATGAATTTATAGAAACTAATAAATGGAAATTATTTGAAGATATTAGATTTCCTAATTATCATTTAAATTTCCATTAACATTATTTAGCCATATTAAATTCCTATTTATATCAACAAAATAATAAATTAGCCAACTTGTATTTAAATTTATCTACTTTAGATATTATGTGTCAATTCTTTAATTATACTACATTTATAAGAGCTACTCCTTATCCTTATAGATTAATATTTTCAGAAGAATCATTACAATACTTATCTGAATAATAGATTAAATTAAAGAAATTAAAGCTTATACAAATTCCATTTGCAAAATTAGAATAATTATCTTAATTAGATGTATTATAAATATGGTAATAAATTCGATAATTAAACATTTAAATTCAAAAAATTGAAATGGAATACTATTTGAATGATGAATTAATTGAAGAAATGTTTAGATAAAATTATAATGAATCTGATCTATTAGATTTAATTACTTTAATCCCTCCTGCGAAAATTAGAATTGAAAATACATTGACTTTAAATACACTTAAAGGATTTTACAGTATCCTACAAAATTAATATTATTTCTCATCATCGATTATTAAATATTCATTTAATGATTGGATTAATACAGGTTTAGCTTATTAAATAAGAGAATATGCATATAATTATGTACCTAAAACATCAATCTAATCTAAACTTAAAACTATAGCATATAACATAAGTAATTGGTTAGTTATGCCTTAATAAACATATATATATTACAATGAAAATTAATCTCTTTAATAATATCTGGATAAAAATGCTAATCCTTTATTTATAATTTCTTTAATCAATATGTTTTATTTAATTTTACTCATCATCTTGCCATTATAGTAAATATTTATATATTCCATAAATCATGAACTCAATTTTAGTCTTGTGAATTCTTTTCAATTTATCATACTTATTTCAACTATCTATGAACTTTATCTAATAAATAATTTAAAATAAGAAAATAAACCAAAAACTTTTAAATAAATATTATTTAGATAAGTATAAGACTTACCAAGATTAGTGTCTTAGAAATGCATTCCCTATTTTAATGCTATTTCTATAATAATGTATTATTCATCTGACTCAAATATAATATTCACTATATTTATAATTATCTATTTTTGTTACTATTTACAATTACTATTTTAGAATACAACAATAATGTATTAGTATTATAAGAATAAAAAAGTTATATTACAGGATATATATCATTTAAGTAGAATAGGTAAATTTTCAGAGATTGAAACAATAATAAATGAAATATTACCATATAATTCAACTATTATCAAAAAAACAAAGTTAACAAAGAATATATTACCTAAAAGTATTTATGGAAAAGCTATTCATAATAAAATCTATTTTAATTTAAGAGATTTTATATTAAAAGATTTACCATTTTTAATATTAAACACAATATTCATTATTTCATAATTACTTATGAATACATTAACTTTATATTAATAATTATCTTAAATAGGATAATTGGTTTAGATATACATTTCATTTAAAAAGTAATTAATATATTTATAAATATTAGTTTCATTTCATATAGACCATCTGTAGTATCTTAAGATGATTTTGATACTATTTGTAAAAGAAATTAAAATAATTACAAAAGAAAAAAATTGAATTTATTATAAAAAGAGAAAAAACAATTGGATTTATATGCAAATATTTATAATGAGAAGGAATTAAAAAATAAGAAAAAGAAATGAATATTAATATTAAAATATATTATATATTATATTATCCTAATGTTCATAATTGGATTATTAATATTAATATAGATAACAAATACAGAGAATTCATACTGTTCATGTGATAATGGATTAGAAAATGGAATATATTGTTTTAAAACAATTTAAAATTGTTTAGATTGTTCAAATTATATTGTGAATGAATAAGATATATGTACTAGTGTAACTACTTGTGATTAAACAATATAATAATAAAAAGATTGTAAAACATGTATTGATAATTATTTATTATCAAATGGATAATGTTGGTAGAAAATATTATATTGTTCACTTTAAATAGATGCTACATGTTAGAAATGTTAAGATAAATATTTATTGAAAAATTAAGATGATAAAACATAGATATGTATTAATAGCAATGAAATATTGAATTGTAAATATTATTTATAAAATGGAAAATGTAATAAATGTGATAATAATTATCATGTATCTATAAATTCAACTATATGTTATTAAGATATTAAATATTGTGATATACATTTAGATGATAAATGTACATCTTGTATTACTGGATATTCAAAACATACAAATTCAACATTTTGTTTCCCTGATATTTTGAATTGTTAAATTACATAAACATATTATATAGATGAAACATAAAAAACATATTGTAATAAATGTAATGATGGTTATTAATCTACTGAAAATAAATAATGTTCATTAGATGATAAAAATTGTCTTTTATTTAATTAAGATTTAACAATATGTTTGAAATGTTTAAATGATTACATTCTAATTGGTAAAAAATGTGAATTTTGTCCCATTAAATTTTGTAGTACTTGTGGAGATTCATAAATATTTAAGAAAATCTGTTCATAATGTTAATCTGGTTATGTCAAAGGATCTAATGCTCTATCTTGTATAGGTTAATGTGAAAGTTAAACTTCTACAATGACTAATTGTGTTAGTTGTTCAAATTCTACATGTTCTAAATGTTCAGATGGTTATTTCATTAATCCCTAAGGCAAATGTACTGCATGTTCAGCTAAGTATGCTAGTTGTGAATAATGCATTATTAATAAATGTATAAGTTGTTCAAATAATTATTATTATGATAATAGTAAATAATATTGTTTTTTATGTTCAACATTTAATACTGGTTGTTAAACATGTTTAAATACAATCTAAATAGGAACAACTAATAATATAATATGTTAAAAATGTGAGTCTGGATATGTATTAACTAGCACTTAATAATGTATTAAATGTGGTTAATTATTTGAAAATTGTGATACTTGTATTAATTTAGGTAATGATTTTTAATGTAATACTTGTTTGCCAGGTTATTTAAAATTGACTGATACATCAGAATCTACTATTAATCCTATCTATTATTGTTTAGATTGTTCTGGATCTATTATTAATTTATTAAATTGTTATAAATGTGAAGTCTAATCTGATACTTCAATAACTAATTAATATATTTGTAAATTATGCAAAGATGGCTATTATTTAGAAGAATAATCTTGTCTAAAATGTCCAAATACTTGTACTTAATGTACTTCTCTTACAACATGTACAAAATGTTAAACTTCATTAATTTTAAACAATGGTTAATGTACAGATGATACAACATCTTTTTAACTTACATCATCAACAAATTCTAATGATGCATTGGCCTATGGAAATATACTTATTTCAAAGTCAAGTTTAGGACCATTCCCATTTATAGGTACTCTTAATTCAAAAGGATTCTTCTGTCAAAGTGATAAATAATGCAATATGTATGGAAAATGTCTTTTGATATCTTGTAAATGCATTTAAAATATATCTGGAAGTAGATGTTAATTCACAACAACATCTGATTTTATTAAATTATAAACTGAATTATTAACATATTTGAATACCTAAACTATTTATGATCCTATTTTTGTTGATATTATTTAATTGATATCAGATACAACTTATGCAATAACTGAAAGCAATATTAAATCATTTCAATAAGTATTAGATAAACTAATTGCATTAAAATTTGATCTTAAATATTTTACAACTATTGGAGCTATCTCTAAAAATTTATTTAACCAAGAAAATATTTCATCTTAGAAATTAAATAATTTAGATAATTCATTATTTAATTCTATTTTAAAATAATCTGAATCTATTATGATTTCTGAAATATAAAATACTTAAGGACCATTTCATAAATAAATTATAGGAAAATTTGATCTATTTAGTGATGANGTTGTTCAAATTCTACATGTTCTAAATGTTCAGATGGTTATTTCATTAATCCCTAAGGCAAATGTACTGCATGTTCAGCTAAGTATGCTAGTTGTGAATAATGCATTATTAATAAATGTATAAGTTGTTCAAATAATTATTATTATGATAATAGTAAATAATATTGTTTTTTATGTTCAACATTTAATACTGGTTGTTAAACATGTTTAAATACAATCTAAATAGGAACAACTAATAATATAATATGTTAAAAATGTGAGTCTGGATATGTATTAACTAGCACTTAATAATGTATTAAATGTGGTTAATTATTTGAAAATTGTGATACTTGTATTAATTTAGGTAATGATTTTTAATGTAATACTTGTTTGCCAGGTTATTTAAAATTGACTGATACATCAGAATCTACTATTAATCCTATCTATTATTGTTTAGATTGTTCTGGATCTATTATTAATTTATTAAATTGTTATAAATGTGAAGTCTAATCTGATACTTCAATAACTAATTAATATATTTGTAAATTATGCAAAGATGGCTATTATTTAGAAGAATAATCTTGTCTAAAATGTCCAAATACTTGTACTTAATGTACTTCTCTTACAACATGTACAAAATGTTAAACTTCATTAATTTTAAACAATGGTTAATGTACAGATGATACAACATCTTTTTAACTTACATCATCAACAAATTCTAATGATGCATTGGCCTATGGAAATATACTTATTTCAAAGTCAAGTTTAGGACCATTCCCATTTATAGGTACTCTTAATTCAAAAGGATTCTTCTGTCAAAGTGATAAATAATGCAATATGTATGGAAAATGTCTTTTGATATCTTGTAAATGCATTTAAAATATATCTGGAAGTAGATGTTAATTCACAACAACATCTGATTTTATTAAATTATAAACTGAATTATTAACATATTTGAATACCTAAACTATTTATGATCCTATTTTTGTTGATATTATTTAATTGATATCAGATACAACTTATGCAATAACTGAAAGCAATATTAAATCATTTCAATAAGTATTAGATAAACTAATTGCATTAAAATTTGATCTTAAATATTTTACAACTATTGGAGCTATCTCTAAAAATTTATTTAACCAAGAAAATATTTCATCTTAGAAATTAAATAATTTAGATAATTCATTATTTAATTCTATTTTAAAATAATCTGAATCTATTATGATTTCTGAAATATAAAATACTTAAGGACCATTTCATAAATAAATTATAGGAAAATTTGATCTATTTAGTGATGATTCATATTCAACATTTAAATATAATTTTGTTAAATCTTATGGTACCTGTGATAATGATAAAAAATTATTAACTCCATAAATTTATTTTACAGAAGAAAATCTTGCTGAAATTAAAATTCTATAATCTGATGCATAAACTCCTCTTATTTTCAATTAAATGCATCTTTACTATTAAAATCATAGATCATCAGGATAGACTATCAATTCTACTATTTCAAGAATCTAATTAATTAAATCTGGAAAAATATTATCAATAACTGGAATGAATATGGTTATTGTTGTTCCAAAAAATGACTAATATTATGCTGATCTAAATGAAAATAATGTATGTGTATAATGGAATGAAGATAAATAAATTTGGGAAAATACTAAAGCTACATTATTAAAATGTAAATATTATACTGTTTGTTAAGTAAATAATTTAGGTGATTTTGGTACTTATGTTTAACTTGTAAGAAATGTTACAAATAATTCATCTGGTTTATCAAGTATCTTTGAGATACCATAAGAATTTAAATTTGTCAAAACTGTATAAAATAGTGCCTTTGCTATTTCCATGACTTTAATAGGATTATTTTTAACCTTTCTTACTTTATTATGCATTTTATATAAGAGACCAATTAAAAAAAAAAAGTAAAAGAAATATTCTGACATCTATGAAACTGTGTAAACTGGTAATGTTTTAGTTCAGAATCCTTTGAATTAAGTAAAAAATAGAAAAAAATCAAAAAATTTTTGGAGTGTTTATCCAATAAATGCCATTTTTACAGCATCTTCTCTAGAATTCTCTTTATAAAAGTTATCACTTTATATAATCTAAATTTAGATGTATGTAACCTTTACTTCCGTTTATTTATCATCCTTGCCATTTAAATTTGGAATGTTAACAGCCTATTATTTATTAGTAATTATATAAACTTGGATTTGTAATTATTTATATGGAGGATTGGCCTTAGCATTCAGAAAAAAGAGAAAAGGAACAGTATTTGGATTTTATTGGATACTATGGGTAATTTTATTTTTAGGGAATATGATAATAGGAATTTGGTAAATGTATGGACTAGAATTTAAGTTTGATATGTATTTGTTGGTTGGTGTGTTAATAGAATTTATTTTAGATTCTATATTTTGTGATTTATTCTTAACTTATTTGTATTAGAGCTTATTTATAAATGAAGTTGTTGGAATATTCAAGATCATAAAATTTAAAGGTTATTATGAATAATGATATATAACACTATATATATATATAAATATAATCAAATAATGTTTATTAATTAGCTTAGATCGTGGTTTCCATCAATCCATGGATGATTGAGTATTTATTCAATAGTATATCTGTTTTCTGGATCAGGTGATATCATTTTTTCAAATAATTCTTAAAATAAGACGTCATTTATTTTAGTATTTCTATTGACTTGTTTCCAAAAGGTATTCCATTTTTTTTCAGAGATTATTTTCCAATAAGGACAATTTAAGGAGGCCTCAGAGAATGGAGGAAATCCGTAATATAGAATAAATATTAGGACAGCTAATGCAAAAATGTCAGATTTTTTCAGCAGATTTGATTGCATATATTTTTCAGAAATTAGTAATTCTGGTGACATATAATTACGTGTTCCACAATTTCTAATGTACTATTTTTTATCATCTACAATATCAGCAAAACCAAAATCTATTAGGATGATTTGTAAGTGGTTATCAAGCATAACATTTTCTAATTTGATATCCCGATGAACATAATTAAGTTTATGAAGGTATTAGATAGTTTCACTTAATTCTAGTAGAATCTACTTCACTGTTCTAACATCGAATCGAGTCCCATTCTTGACAATTGTATAAAAATCAGTCTTGAGTTATTCACAGATAAAGTATTTGTAATCAGGATGATGATCAACAATCTTTATGATGTGTGGATGATCTAGACTTTTCAATATTTTGATTTCCTTCTATCTCAATTTATCAGAATAATTTTCCTTATAGATCTTAACTACACACTATTTGTTCTAATAATCACATAAATGTAGATCGCTTGAAAAGCCATCTCCTATTTTCTCTTTCAATTGCATAATATTTTAATTTAATAATTAATTTTTTACACCACTTTCATTTTACATTTTTTCATATGATGCGTTAAATAACTCAACTTACATAATATAATAATATTATAATCTTATTTATTAATATATATATTATTATGATTATTAATATTTTATCATTCTTCTTCCTAAGCTTATTCTTATCCACCTTCAATTAATTAAGTCTAAAGGACTCCTTATTCTTCAACATCACCCATTTATTATTATTCTTCATTTTGAATTTACATTACATCTTCTTATTACTCATAAATCTATTCTTTTTATTTTACATCTTCTTTTGATTTCTTTTGATCCTTATTCACTTTATTTCGAACTATTTTTCCTTTAGCTGCTGCTTAGATCTTAATAATATTTTGCATGTCTCTATCATCCTAATAAATTAATATTATTTCATTACAAAACTTGTTAATTTTGGCAATTCCTCATGTTACTCGATTGGATTTTCAAATTCATCAATATCCTATGTGATCTTATCATAAAGATTATTCACATATTCCTTTGCAGCTTTCTTCTCTTCAGGAAAGCTTCCTTAAGAACTGACATGTGAAACATTGTTTGGATTACCAGATCCCACTCTTTTCTAACTTTCAGGTCTGTTATTTGACATCTCTACTACTATTTTTGCCTTTTCAGTCATATTTGAAGGTTTAGGTGGCTTGTGTACTCTAGCTGGAGCCTCTCCTTTGGCTATATTGTATTTGCTTTCAAATTTAAATTCTTTTCCTTATGCCATACATTCAAAATAATCAGCACCATACTTTATGATATCATCTGGTTAATCTCTTAATACCTTTTTATTAAAATTCTATTTACTTCTCTAGCAAAATCATGTAATATTTAATGAAATCCCTCTGGTACTGGATATTTTTATAAGTATTTTGATGCCATTTTGATAACTGTTTATATAATATATTAATTATTATTTTTTATATTTATATATATTAATATATAAATATAAAATTCTTTTAATTATAATTTTCTTTCTTAAGTAATAATAATTATTTTAATAATCATTCTATTTTTACTATTATAGACAACTCATTAAAACAGCATAAATCAAGAAATATTAATAATCATATTCAATTAAATCATTAATCCAGCCCTCCTAGCTCAGTTGGTCAGAGCGTTGGCCTTTTAAGCCAAATGTCAAGGGTTCGACCCCCTTGGAGGGCGGCTTTTTTTTATTTTTTTAAATTAATAAATAAATTTATTTATCAATATTTAATCATGTAACAACTAAGACAACCCATTGTAAATAAAACACTAAATATTGCATGTGAATAACTTTAGATAAGATCTAATTATTAAGTAATTTTTCATTATCCAAACATAAATACTCAGAAAGACAATTAATGTGTAGATGAATATCAAGAAATAATAAACTTAACTCATTAATTCAATAAATTATCAGAAAAATTATTTTGGGGAAATTAATCAGATACAATTGATATAATTATTTTCAATTAATAAATTGATGATAATCCTAAATAGGCATTCAAAATGTTAGGAGTGAATCATGTTATTTCATACTATCATAATGTGAAACTGCTTTTTCCATAGTATTTTTTCAATCACATTAAAATGGTCTTGATTTCTCCAAAAAATAATATCATCTATGATTTTAAGAATAAAAAAATAATTTCTACCTTTAATAGTCCTTATATTAAAAACTTTTTATCAATATTCATAAAAGAATAAAATATTAAAGATTAATTTGAAGTTGAAAATGTAAATGATTTATTTTTAAATCAGTTTGTAAAAATATCAAAAAAAAAACAATTTCAAAATTAGAAACATTAAACATCTGTGTGTAAAATAGTTGATGATAAATAAACTATAATTTGGCCAATTGATAACAAAGGTATTAATTATTACCTATGCTTTGAACCTAATTTTATAATATATTATGGATAATTAAATGAAAATTATTAAAAACATGGAAGAGGGATATTCTTTTAAACTATTTGGAATGATTGTAATCCTAATTATACAATTTTATAAGGAAATTTTCAAAATGGAAAGAAGAATGGTATCATGCTTAAATTTAGTTCTCGTAGTCAAAATCTATTTTAAGGACATGAATATAAAGATGATGAATTCATAAAGTAAGTAGATTTAGATGATAATGGAAAAATTAAAGTTGTTGAGATTGTTAAACCTAATGAAATCTAAGATAAACCAACATAAACAGCACCAAAAAGAAGAATTATAATAATGGAGGAAGGAGTTATAATAAATACTAATACATAATAAGTTTAATCAAAGGCAATAAAATCAGATATATTTGTTAAATATAATTAATAGTTTAATTCTAATGATGAGAAAATATTATCAAGTAGTAGATATTGGTTAAATAGTTCGATGATAGATGGTTATGTATTGGCTCTACAAAAATAACAAATGGAATAAGTTTTTAAAAGTGATGACCCAATAAAGAATCTAAATACTTTTGTAATAGATTCTACTTATTTTACATCTGCTGCAATTGATTATAAATTAGTAACTTCATTGAGATCTTTATGCTATGAATTTAAAGGAATTACAATATTTGATGTATACTAAAATATAGCAGTTGTTGTTAATTAAAAAAATTCTCATTGGTTTTTGGTTTTGGTTAAGAGAGAATAATAGCAAGAATTATATTAAATGAAATTTCATATTTTAGATTCAATGTCAGGATATCCTAAAAAATATTACGATACATGTTAAAAGATTTTTGATTTAATGACATTCCACCTTGAATTAGGAGATAATTATCGTTTTGATTATTAGAATAATATTATAGTTGAAGATGTTCAATAATAGAATGATGGAAGTTCTTGTGGTGATCATACATGCTATTTTTTGTATTAAATATTTAATGGAAAAAACTATAAAGAAAAAAATAGATAATAAGTTGGAGAGATGAGAGGAATGATATATAAACTCATATTTGGTTGATAGTAATTTAATATATTAATTATTTTTATATCTATTTTTATGCGTCTTGGTTTGAAACTCAAAAAAGAATCTAAACCTCCTTAAGAATAACAATAAGAGTAACCTACTTAAGAATTCAAATTTGATTTTGTTTTCTTTAATTCTAATTCATAATCACAATTTGATAATCAAGATTCAAAATAATTTAAGTTAATTGTCTAAAAAAAAAATACTAAAGAATAAATGATAATATAAAAAGATTATATTTATATAGGAGAAACTTATAATAATAAAATGCATGGAAATGGTAAAATCTATATAAAATAATATGATGCTTATTGCAATAATAATTATTTTGTTTTTGAAGGTTAATTTTAAAATGACTAAATCGATGGAAAAGGTACAGAGTATTATGGAAAAACTAATAATAAAAAGGTAGATGGAATTTTCTAAAAGTTGTCCTTAATTGAAAAATTCTAAGAATATAATTAAGATGGAACCATACTGATTAAATAACAAAATTTACAATAATCAATGTTACAATAATCCTTTATTTAAGAAGATAGAAGTAATAATAAAATGTTTAGAATCAAATCTGGAGTTAAATAAACACCACAATAAATCTAATCATAAAAACCATAAGTAAAATAGAATGACAAATGGACTAAATTTGATGTTGAATTGAGTAAAGACCATCTCTCTTCTCTTTTATCAGAAAAAGCCATAAATGATTCAATTATAGAGGCATATCTTAATTATATTAATTATATGGATTCAGAAAAATTCTTTAATCTAAAGTCATTACCTGAAATATAAGCATATAAAAGAACTCTTATTATTCCTTATTTCTTATTCGAATAGTAAAAATTAGATGTACTCACTTACTTTGCTGAATTTTCTTATATTAAAGGTTAATTTTGGTAAGTTTATCAATAAATATTTGCCATTGTTAATTCTAATGGACATTGGATTCTATTAGAAATAATTTTTGAAGGTTAAGATATAAAAATGAAAGTTTATGATAGTTGTTCTAAAAAAAAAGCAATATTTTATGTTACTATCTGCAAACATATATGGAATATGATTGAACCACTCGTCAAATAACATAATTTGTCAATCTCTTGGAAATCTAAAGATATTATTGTGGCTGAATGTCCATAATTATAATAACCAAACGATTCTGGTATATTCATCTGCGCTTATTTAAAATATTTGATTTCAAATATTAGTTTAGATTAAATTACATAAGAAGTTATTAGTAATATAAGAAAAACAGAATTATTTAATATTGTAAAAAAGGAAAAATGAAATAAATATTAAAATAATAGATTATGCCTCATTTCAACTACTTCTATTTAGAATTATTTATTGTTTTTAATATTTTATTTAATGATTATTCCTTTTCACTTTTTAATTTTTCAGATAATAAAAGATCCTTTTCCAAATTATTTCCTTTATTTTCATCATAATTAAAAGAATTGTTTCTTTATATTCCATTTATTGAATTATTTTATTGATTCAAACTATTTTTTTTTTAATTACTTTTTCTTCTTTCTTGTTTGATTTCTTAATCTTTTTACCAACTTTCTTTATATCTATTAATTTCATCTTGAATTTAATTCACAATTTCATTTTCTCTTATTCTTTTACTCTCTCTTTCAATTTCCCATTTAATTGCATTTTCTTATTATTTCAATTTTTTAATGATTTATTTATTTTTCTCAATTTCCTATCTCATTAAAGATTCCTTACTATTTGATCTATAAGATCTATTAAGAGATTATGTGCCTTCAATCATTTGTTTTATTTAGGAATTTGCTTATGGTTTATTAGTCTAAAGTTTTAAAATTCTATCCAATCTTGATTACTATATTTAATTTACAATATACTTTTTTAATTTAAGCCTCTATAACTCGTTTCTAATAGTCCTTTGAATTTGATGATGAACGACTATTACTTAAATTTGATTACTGACTTTTTGGTCTATTAACTTTGCTATGACTCTGATTTAATTATGATTAAGAGATATTAGTCTTATTGCAAAATGATTTTTAAGATGATTGAAGTTTATTAGTTTTTTATAAGCCTTATTAACTTAATGATCTATTTCTTGAATTACTTCTTTTACATAATAATAGATTTTTAAACAAAGGCTTTGCAATAGCTAAAAGTTAATTCAAAGTATTCTGTATTAATTCAAATGTCTCATAATCACTTTATTAATCATCTTCTTTTTATTATTGAATTTATTATAAAATCTGGATTGATTTCTCTAAATTTTCAAAACGTACTCTTTTTTAAAATGTTTATTAATCATTAATAATTTCTAGGATCTCATTAGTATTTCGTAAACAATATTTTATTGATTACCAATCTGACTTTATTTAATTTCCTTGAATTGATGCTATTGTTCCACTTAATAATGTTACTAATGCATGAGTAATCTATACAATTTTTTAAGATGGCTTGATCATAAGTTTCAATTGCTAATATATATATATCCTATTTACATTAAGAAATTTGAAAGTGATTTTCTTGATTTATGTTTCCTATTACATTTCTGTTAATAATAGTTATTCTATAATTAATTAATTATATTAAATATGAACACATAATCATAGAAATTTTTTGTAGATTGCAAATATGTCTATGATTCCTAATAATATTATAATAACCATTAATGAAGCTTTATCTAAAGTTATTTTATTATTCATCATTTATATTGTAAAATCACTCTTCCTTAAATTTGATTTTAAGTCTTATTTCTATTTCATTTTAAAATAATACTTTAAATTTAGATTATTGCAATGCTAAAGTTCCTGCATTCATTTTAGAATCTACATTTAAGGCAATTTATTCAGTCTCTTAAGTTAATCTATCGATCTCTTCTATAATTAAATCATTCTCAAATAAATTTCCTTTTAAATTATCTGTTTTCTTTTGTTTTATCAATAATTCATTAATGCTCTCTTCAATCACATCCAATTACTTTTTATATTATAAAATCTTATTCTATAATATTTTTTTAGAATGAGTTGAAGTCATTTAAGCTTCGGTTTCCATCATTTTAACCTATTTTTTATTCTAAAAACCTTACACATCTTTTTAATTCATCCACGTTCTTCTTATAAAATTCATCTGTACTATATTCTCCTTTTCTCAATTTCTATTTCACCTACTCACTAATGTATTTAAATTCTTATTCATTTTATACAAATTCCTCACTTGCTTTTGCATCTTGCATTATTTATAATTAATTAACAGAATGTCAGATTCAAATTCTCACAGACTAAAACTATCCATAGACATTCATTCAATTAAAGAACATTCTTTTAGAGGTTTGATCTATGCTCATTATTCTCATTATCCATAAATAGGAATCAAATAATAATTTAGAACTGCACCAGTCATGTAATATCATTCAATATAGTAGTGAAATTACCAAACCTTTTGTTGAAATCTCATTTTAAAATTCTTTTGCTTCTTACATTTTTGATACCAATAAAGAAGAACTTCAAAAACTATTTGAAGAGACTTAATTATAGATTGAATTATTCCATTAAGATAGATTAAAAAAAGATTAGTTTATTGGCATATCGACCATAAACTTAGCAGAATTATTAAAAAGTCCAATTAGAAAAAGCTCTAAAAGTTATGCTAGAGCATTGGATGCTTATTATCCTATAGATGATAATAATGATTAAGATACTAAGAGAATTGGATTACTGAGATGCATCTGTTATCTTGAAGATTTAGGACCTCTTGATTAATTATAATAGTAAGAATAGACAGCCATTGAATAAATAGTTGGAGATCCTGCTTTACCAATTATTAGTTATCCAAATTCAGATGATCCTGAAAAATAATAAGTTATTTTGGAATTACATTCATTAGAACATAAAGTTATTTGGGAATTGGATACTTGGAAAAAAAGTGAAGAAGCTAAATTTAGAGTATTATTAAAATAGAAAGAATTTGAATTAACTACAAAATTATATTAAGATTTCAAAAACAAAGAGTTAGATAGAGAAAGATAACTTAAACAAGCCTTAACATAAATCTAGGTTATAGAAAATAAAATTAAAAATAAAGGAACTGAACTTTTGAAAAGAGAATAAAAAATTTAATAGTTAGAGGATGAAGTAAAATCAAAACTTTTAGAAACTGCTAAAATAATCAAAGTAAAAGATGAAGAAATGGGTATTCTTATTAAAAGATAAAAGGATGAGAAACTTAATTTAGAAAAAGAAAAAACTCTTTTAAGTTTGAAATTAACTGATGCTTAAGCAGCCATTCAAAAACTTGAGGAGGAAAATAAAAGTCTTAAAAAGGAAATAGAAAAATCACCTGTAGCGATGGTTAAGGAAAATTTATAAGAAAAAGTAATGGAAATTACTGAATTAAAAAAAGAGTTAGATAGAACTAATCAAATCAAAGAATAATATAAGTAATATTATGAAAAAATGAGAGATGAATTAATTAAAGAAAAGAAACAATCCTAAGATAATAATTAATTAATATAAAATACATTATTAGAATTTGAAAAAGTAAAACTTGAATTGCTGGAAGTTAAATAAAAACAGTCAATAAATTCACAAACTAATTTTTAAATGATCAAATAAAATATGGAAATTTATTAACAAGAATAATAATAATAATAATAATAATAATAATAATAATACTAGTAATAGATTATCAACCCTCCAAAAGTTGAATAAATATAAGAATATAATAATTAATCCAATAATCCTTTTAAAAATGGATTAATAGACAAATCATCACAAAAACTTACATTTTAAAAAAATTAAAAATCCTATAAAAACTACCCAAACCTAGATAATAAGTCTGATCTCTAAAGATTGCTATAAGAAAGAGAATACTTGATTGAAAGTGGAGAATATCAGGTGGATGATCCATTAATAGAAGAACTCACTAAACAAATATAACAATTAGGTGGCCATTGAATTCAATTAAAATTTATAATTGTCTAATAAATTCAAATCTAAATTTTATCTTAAATCTTTATTTGTGAATAAAATTAGTTCATTTGATTATGAATATTCTTTCATCTTTTCAATTAATACCCTAGTTACAAAAGTTGTTTATCATTTATACAACTTGCATCTAAACTTAGAATTTATTTTAAAAATCTTCTCGACATAAGATTTTTTAGCGTTCACTCCAATTATGTTATAAAACTTAAATTTTGGTTCTATAAACATACAGGTTAAATTGATAATCCTCTCAACTAATTCAGGCGGTTTAAAATAAGCTTATCCTCGAAAATACGAGCTTTGCTCATTTTGGATAATTAATCTTATGCTGTTTGAAGAGTTGATTATAAAATCGGATATATTGTTAATTCTTATACACTTGATTATCAATTATAATTCATATTTTTTTTCAGCTATTTATTTTTACCTAGAAGTCAAAATCCATTTTGCTAATTCATTTGCTCATTTACTCAGCAATCTGTATAATAAAATTGATATAAAGTCTAATGATATTAAAACTAAAATAGAAAACTTCAGGTCTCATTTAATTCAGCTTATTATTTTTAATTGATATTGGATTATTCAGGTTATACTATAACTTATAGATTTCAGAAAATTAAATGTATAATTTCTCTAGCCTTTAATCTTTTTCTTTGTTATGAATGTTTCTTATTATAGTATTTCTAGCATTTGTGTAATTTTTGAATAGTATTAATAATAAACAACATAAATTAATTTTTTTTATAGAGAATAAATTCTGTCTAATCAATAAATTTACAATTGCTTTAAGTTTAAGAAACATATTTTGCCAAGACAGATTGTTACATCAATAAATTTGACAACCCATTTGATAATGGTAAAAAGAGTTAAGACTTTAGATTATTTTTAAATTACCTAAGTAAAATTCTAATTAAGAAGATTAAGTTTTATCGATATATTAATATATAAAAATAACAATAAAATTATTTGAAAAAAATCTTTTAATCTTCTAAATTAATCAATAAAATATACATTATAGTATTTATAAATTAAATAATGTATCTTTTTGAGAATTTTATATTAGTCGCGAATATTTTTTTTGTCATTTTCTAGAGGAGCTGAAATTTGAGCAGTAAATAAAAATGAAAATAATATATATATTTTTTTTTATGAAATGAGAGCAACAAGAACTAAGACTCCTAGATTAATTAGGCTAAAAAATGTAAATCCTTAAGCATTCATTAAGTAATTTGAGACAATCTCAAATTATTTAAATAAAGATTTAACTATGTTTTTAATTTTTATTAGATTTTTCTTATCATTGATTAGACTTGAATATAAATCTAAGGTTTTGTATCAATTCAAAATTACACTTAAAAGGGTTAATCTTCAACTTTCTCTTTTTAAACAAAAAAAGTCTTATTATTTTTATTGAAAATAAAAAAATGGAATTAACAGTCTTTATCCGTGTTAATAACTGAACATTAAATGAAATAATATATATAATTTAATATTATTCATTAAAATCATCCTCAAATAATGTTAAGTTATTAATTTTAATTTATAATAATTATATTTATTAATTTTATATAATAAACATAAAATATGATAGTAATAATAACCTAATAATGTGAATTTATCAAATTAAAAATAAAGTATTATTTTTTTACAATTTTATATAATTATCATAACATAATAAAGTTGATTTTTTAAATAAAAAAGGTATGTAATTATATAT